GTCATTGGTGGCTGCTGGGCCGAGGTCATCAGCTGCGCTACTCCTGAGAACCAAGTTTAATCGCAACTCAGTCTATGCATCTCTAAGTTGTGTCTTTGCATTTCTAAGTGAGCCTACGTGTCTTTATGCAAGTCCATGGGTCTGTGTAACTCAGTGTGTCTTTGAATAAGGTCGTGGGTCTCTGTGTAAGTCAGTGGATCTGTATGTAAGTGGGTCTGCATGCGAGTCAGTGGGTCTCTGTGTAAGTTAGTGGGTATCTGTGTAAGTCAGTGGGTCTTTGTGTAAGTCAGTGGGTCTCTGTTTAAGTCAGTGGGTCTCTGTGTAAGTCAGTGGGTCTCTAAGACAGTGGGTCTCTGTGTAAGTCAGTGGGTCTTTAAGACAGTGGGTCTCTGTGTAAGTCAGTGGGTTTCTGCGCAAGTCAGTGGGTCTCTAAGTCCATGGGTCTTTATGTAAGTGGGTCTGCATGCGAGTCAGTGGGTCTCTGTGTAAGTTAGTGGGTATCTGTGTAAGTCAATGGATATCTGTGTAAGTTAGTGGGTCTCTAAGTCAATTGGTCTCTTTGTAAGTCAGTGAGTTTCTGTGTAAGTTAGTGGGTCTCTGTGTAAGTTAGTGGGTCTCTATGTAAATCCGGTGGCGTCTGTATGCGATGTCATTGGTGCACGGCCCTGAGACCACCAACTTGCCCCAGGTTCGTGTTCCCATGTGCGTGGTGATCTGTAATGACATCGCTTGCCCTACATCTTCGGATCTTCTTCGGAGAGGACGCCCCTCATCAAGGTGAGGATCACAGAAAGCCCCCCCACGGCGACGGGACGGATCGCCCTCGTCGCTCGCGTTCATTACGGGACTGCTCGTCCTGCCAAGCGGACAACTCGGCTCCTTCATGTGTCCTTCACGATTCCTTCACGTCTCCTTCAAGTCTCCTCCACACCTCCTTCACGCCTACACGTTTCTTCACGTCTCTACGTTTTCCTTAACGGTCTCCTTCACGTCCCTTGACGTCTCCTTCTCTCCACTTAATACACAGTCTGATTTACAGTCCCTTGTAAAGGTGTTTTCGATGGTTAGATTAAGTAAATAAACCCGCCACCACCCCGACAGCCAATCAGTGAGGTTTGTCACGTGAACAGAACTTGACAATTAGTTACCACGTGAGCACATTATAATAACGCGATCAACCCAAAAACAACCTTTATTGGGGATAATATTGGTCGGCGAACGCCTACTGCGTGTTATACAACATGCACGGCCCTTCTGGGAATTAATAATTTCAGGATCATTGGTTGGGTACAAGCAAAAACTTCGGCGCGGTTTTTGGCAGTGTCTGGTAATTTGTGACCAAGATGAACGAAAACCGCCTGACCACGATCACAGCCAGTGCAGCGAGCGGGGCCACTGTGCGTGCGTGTTCACGTTGTGCGTGCATGTTCATGTGCGTGTGTGACTGGGCGCGATGTTCCCCGTGTACACACCATCGTGCTCTGCAAGATCAGAGATGTAACTGTCTTGCGCGCCTTCATCATCGCATGTCGGCTGCGCATGCATCACCTGGGACCCTGGACACCCGCATGCGCGCGCGCCGTGTCCCATCTCACGGGGATTCCCAGGTGGAGGAGTTGAGTCTGTTGGTGAACTCGGCAAGCCCGTCGCTAACGAGGAGTGGACCGCGTCCCCCAGGTATCGCCCAAGAAGACGTGGGAAGGATTCATCGGCGGCTACATCTCGACACTCGTGTTTTGGAATCCTGGTGAGAGAGCAGCCGGCCGTCGTGCGTTGGCCCAGTCTCTGTCCGCTGCTGGCCAACCCACGTGGCTCGTGTCCGCCGATGTCACCGCACCTCGCTGTCGCTTCCTTCCTTCTGCCCGTACAATACCCACGACCTTAATAGGCGCTCGCGCACAGCGCCTGCGCCTGTGCGCTGTTCCTGCCGCACGATAAAGGAGAGCGGCGGTGCAGCGGTTAGCGCCCCGCACTCTGAACCCAGCGGCCAGGTACCACGCCCGGCCGCCTCTCGGTTCACATTTGCGGCGATTCTGACTTGCAAAAATTCGACCTCGAGGGTGCTGTGAAAATCCCAGCAACTGGAGCGACAAAGGGCGGCTGGAGTGATCTGGGCCAAACCCGACCCCTCGCGTGTTAGCCGCTCGCTCGGTTGAAGCGCGCTACGCCACTACTTGGCCTGTGGGGGCTACCACGGGGGTGGTGGTGGGGGCCTTCTGTCTATGTGTCACTGGTGTGTGGTCACTGTGTGTGGTGGTGCGAGGGTGGGCAGCTCTCCCACGTGCTGTGCGGGCACCGCTACTTCGTGCTGCGCCGTGGAGCCGCGTGGCGGCACGGAGGCTGGGGCTGGCGGCGGGTCAATCTTTTTTTCATGGAGTGCGAGCCCTCGAGTGAGAACGTTCCGGCTCACGCGCTCAACCACGCGCCGGCGCTTGCTGCAACACCCTACGCCGGCATCGTTTTGAGCACCTGTCGGGGGGGGGGAGGTGACGGGGGGGGGGGGTGACGGGGGGGGGGGGGGTGACGGGGGGGGGGGTGCGGGGGGTGTTTGTCTGTGTATTTATATATCTGTGCGTCTATCTGTGTGTGTGTGTCTATCTGTGTGCGTCTACCTGTGTGTGCGTCTACCTGTGTGTGCGTCTACCTGTGTGTGCGTCTACCTGTGTGTGCGGCTACCTGTGTGTGCGGCTACCTGTGTGTGCGGCTACCTGTGTGTGCGGCTACCTGTGTGTGCGGCTACCTGTGTGTGCGGCTACCTGTGTGTGCGGCTACCTGTGTGTGCTGTGGGTAGTGTCGCGGTTAGCGCGCTGCTCTACGAACCCGGGGACCGCTCACGGCCAACACCGGTGACGATTGTCTGCACCGGTCCTGAGCCTCCCCTAGATGGACTCAGCCTCAAATGAGTACCTGGTGCGGTGTGGTGCTGGCCACCCACCCCCTCGTGCGCCGTGCCGGCCTTCATCGGTGCTGCTCGCTAACAGCACTTGCCCCAACAGTCTGTTAAGGCTTCACGGGGATCTTTGTCGATGTTTTGTCTCCGTGTGACCGACTGTCTCCCCATGTCCGCGTGTCCCTAGGAGAGCCTCTGGCTCTACCCGTTCCAGCTGCACGCTCTCGCCCTCTCCTCCTTCGCGTCTCTCGTCGGCCCCTTTGGGGGGTTCTTTGCCAGCGGCTTCAAGCGCGCCTTCCAGATCAAGGTGTGCGACGCAAAGACAAAGATCCCCCGTATAGCCTGTAACAGACTTGGGGCAAGTGTTGTTAGAGAGCACCTATGAAGGCCGACACGGCACACGAGGGGATGGGTGGCCAGCACCACGCCCGGCCGGCTTCGTCTCCCCAGTGGCGATGTTTACACACCGCACCAGGTTCTCGTTTAAGGCTGAGTCGACCTAGGGGAGGCCTAGAACCAGTTAAAATATTCACCACTGTTATAGGTCGTGACCAGGAATCGAACTTGGGTCGCCAGACTGTTGTAGTGCACCGCTAGTCAATGTACCACCGCTCCCCACTTGGTGTGCGACGCACACACATACAACGCACGCACGTGTGTGTGTGCGTGGTAATGGCCGTGGTGGTTGCGGTTGCCGCGGTGACCGTAGTGATCACGTGGTGCGGCCTGCAGGACTTCTCGAGCAGCATCCCGGGCCACGGCGGCATCGTGGACCGCCTGGACTGCCAGTACGTGGTGGGCACCTTCACCCACGTCTACATCAGCACCTTCATCCGGTGAGGGCGCCGCACCACCTCCCCTACCCAGCAGAGGGCGCCCCCCGGGAAAGCGGCGGAGGTCGGGGTGGGGGTCACTCACCGGCTGTCGAGACTCCCTCACTTACCACCCGTGGGTGGCCAGGGCACCCACCTCCTGGCTTGCCAGGGTGCGACGGGAGTACGGCAAGGGGGTTGATTTCAGGGGGGGCCGCTGGATTTGAACGGTTGAAACCTCTGGTGACGACGACTCTGATGTTGTGTCGCCACCTCTGCTTCTCCCCCGCAGGGCTCCAAACGTGAATAAGATTATTCAGCAACTCCTGACGTTGAAGCCCGAGCAGCAACTGGAGATTTTCAACCAACTCAAGGATCAGCTTCTCAGCAGGGGTCTCATTTGACCACCACGTGGCTCCTGGTTGAGGAGGCTATAAACTCAACTGCATACAAGCACCACAACCGCCACCTCCACAACTCTCCTCTTTTCTCCACGTTCCAAGGAGGAGCACCAGGGGCGAGCCCTCGTCCCAGGCCCCTCCCCGCTCAAGGACACCGTCTCAGCTGGGGTTCTGGGCCTTCTTCTCTCGCAGCGTCGAGACATTTCTGAGTTTTGGTCGGTGAAACGAGATGAAGAGTGAGGAGGAACCACCGGCGTTGCGATGCTGCCTTCTGGGAGCGCGATGCCCTGTCCTGGGTGTCCGCGTTTGTCACCCGGAGTGGCGATGACCTCAAGGGCGGCGGTCCGTCATGTTTTTTTAATATTTGTCTCACAACACAACAGATGGTTTGTGATTCATAATTAGATATTTTTCGGGGTGAGGCCACGAAGTGATCTGGCCAGATTTATCTCGTAAGAACCTCCCCACCACACGACACGGCCAAACAAATGAATTGTCACGTGGTGTGCAGACGTTTCATGACGTGCCGACGATAGCAAACCTGTCAACCCCTTATCAGTGCCCCTGCCTTATTACAGACCAATTCAGACCTTATTGGTCACCCCGTGCCATTTATTAATCTCAAGGTTCATCCTGCAAGTCCCATCACAAGGGAGAAACACAAACAAATAGACAAACAATATGTTCTCCGTGTTGAAACGGCTGTGTGACGTATGGACTCAATTTCCCTGTGCAAGAATACGGGGTAAACCGCGTGGGCTGACAGCTCTGCTATAGTTTGTTCACCTCGCTCAGCGGCGAGGTGCGGGGGACGAGCCTCACGGCCACATTCAGCGGTGAGATCCGCGACGTTTCTCTCGAAGCTGCCCCGAGCATTCTTGGGGCCTGGGTTGACGGTGGCCTGGGTTGACCCGACAATGTGCGCGTGCGTCGCTGTGGTCAGAGCAGCTGACTCGTGATCCGGAAGTCACGAGTTCAAGTCCCTGGCTCGGGGTCAGCAGCTGAGGAGGTGCAGTCAGTGCCGGATGAAGTTCGCGTGGGGCCTGTAGCATGATGTTATAAAGGGGCCCTAAACAAAAGAAACACATAAATATTAAAACACAATTTTTTTGTTACTGTCATAATAAAGTAATTGTATGTTTTCATTTGCTATACAGCCCGATGATACGACAAATCGCTAACCTTACACACCCAGTCATTAATAAAAATTGAAGGCAGTATAGTACTATAGTAATAGAGCAAGTACAGAATAACTAAACCGGAGTTGATACCTTGAAAGCATTTGGCTCGGGGCCCTTGAAAGTGCGGGGCCCGTAGCAAGTGCAGCTGCTACACGTGTAGCTACTACTACTATACGTGCAGCTGCTACACGTGTAGCTACTACTACTATACGTGCAGCTACTACACGTGCAGCTACTACACGTGCAGCTACTACACGTGCAGCTACTACACGTGCAGCTACTACACGTGCAGCTACTACACGTGCAGCTACTCGTGGTGCTACTACACGAGCAGCTACTACACGAGCAGCTACTACACGTGCAGCTACTACACGTGCAGCTACTACACGTGCAGCTACTCGTGGTGCTACTACATGTGCAGCTACTACACGTGCAGCTACTACACGTGCAGCTACTACATGTAGTAGCTACTACACGTGCAGCTGCTACACGTGCAGCTGCTACACGTGCAGCTGCTACACGTGCAGCTACTACACGTGCAGTAGCTACTACATGTAGTAGCTACTACACGTGCAGCTGCTACTACTACACGTGCAGTAGTAGCTACTACACGTGTAGTAGCTACTACACGTGCAGCAGCTACTCGTGGTGCTACTACACGTGCAGCAGCTACTCGTGGTGCTACTACACGTGCAGCTGCTACACGTGTAGTAGCTACTACAGGTGCAGCTACTACACGTGCAGCTGCTACTACTACACGTTACAGCTACTACACGTGCAGTAGCTACTACACGTGCAGTAGCTACACGTGTAGTAGCTACTACACGTGTAGCTACTACTACTACACGTGCAGCTACTCGTGGTGCTACTACACGTGCAGCTGCTACACGTGCAGCTGCTACACGTGCAGCTGCTACACGTGCAGCTGCTACACGTGCAGCTGCTCGTGCTGCTGGGATCGTCGGCACTGGGTGCAGCGGCTGGGGAGGCGTGCACTTCGGGCTCAGGGCCACCAAGGGAGATGCGGAGGGTCGCCCACTTGTTTGATTTGACGAGGGTAAATTATGGTAAACGAAGTGAGGCGATGTTTAATAATAATAAATTATGTTTAATGATGGTAAAATATGTTGTTTGTAGGAGCTACTGAAATAAAACCGATAGGAGTTTCCACCAGAATTGGTTGATGTGCTTACTTCGTGTATAGACGAGAGAATCCAAAATCATCACCAACTATGGAGTCGTCGATTTACTACGATGACCATTGCATCAGGCAAGTCCCACTGAGCGATGTAGCTCCTTTTCAGAAGCGACCTGCACATCACAAATGAAAGTTCAACGAAGTGGTTCATCATCACGTGGAAATGTAAAGCGGCCAAAATACTCTAAAGGCGTGATGTTAATCCTAAGTGGGTAGGGAAAAAACGAAGGACCCGGAGAAAAATCCACGTGGCAACAGGCAAACTCCAAATATACAGCAGGCGTCGGGGTCGGAATCGATCCCACGGCCTCCTGTATACCAGGCGAGGTAAATTGAGATTTAAAGCTTTCGTGGCTGCAGGGATTCATATTCTTGGATCTTTCGATAAAGTCACGTAGAAGGGAAATAATAAAATAATAAAAATACGACAAAATTCTCACGACGTTTCGGCCACAACACAAGCAGCCGTCTTCAGGTGAAGAACAGAGCTGTCGGAAAGACCGCGTCCTCACTAAGACTAAGAATACCAGGCGAGGGAGTGAACATCTTGCTGCTGAACGAAGGCTTCACCAACCCGTCTCCATGTTTATTTCTAGATTTGAAGCTTTCGTGACTGCAAGGATTCGTACTCTTAGGTTTTTTCGGTAAAGTCGCGTAGGTAAAAATAAAATGTAACAATGCTGTGACGTGACAACCCATCGAGTCTCTGCGCACGCGCGGATTTCGTCGCTCCGTCTCCGCAGCGGACGTGTACTTTCGGACGCCGCCTCTCCCCTCCTTGGCCGCCACTCCGCGGTCGTCGCTTTGTTAAGACTCCGACAATTGTGACCTCGTGGAAATTTGCCGGGGAACGTGCAGTCAGATATCTTGTGATGGATGGCCCGATTTAAGTGCGTGCTGTGGCGGTTGAGATCGCTGTCCAAAGACAAAGATCCCCCGTGTAGCCTCAAACAGACTGGGGGCAAGTGCTGTTAGTAGCGGCACCTAAGAAGGCTGTTACGGCACATGAGGGGGTGGCTGGTCAGCACCATGCTGGCCAACCACCCTCTCGTGGCCAAACCCCCCCCCCCCCACACCACCACCTCCCCCCGCTGGACAGACTGCCACTCCCGCCATAGTAACGTGGCATTTCCACCAATGGGATCGTCAGAAGGGTGCCACCCAAATTCCTCATTTGAAAAGGGAGGCATCCTCGACTTGACTTGAATAATTTAATCAACCCATCAACGCTATCGGCCGGCGTTGTGGACACGTGTGTACGTCACGAAGTAACACACACACGCGCGCGTGTCACGTGTCCCGTCAATTCCGTCATCGGACAACCGATGCGGTGAAACCTGAATCCGACGCGACGTGAGTGACATGAAGGCTCGTGGTGGCGACGATGATTGGTGGTGGTGAGATTTGCACCTAACGCGCGGCCGACCGCAAGACTTGCAGCCGACACACAAAGTAGGGCAGCAAGGACGCATCGATTAATCAATTACAATCGATTATTTTCTCTTTATGACGTCACTGGTTTTGCAGGAACACCCGCCAGCCACTAGAGGCGCTACAGCAATTAACACTGTAAAATAAATAAATAATCGACCAATTAATCGACTCGCAACTCGGCGAGGGAGGCGGAAATCGCTTGAGGGCACCCCGAGCAGAGCGCCGCGAGGCGCACTCCGTGTGCCGACCCGGGCGGCATCAGCACGCGCCGTGCCGCCTGACGGCACGGCGCCCGCTCACACCACGTGGCCAACAACAACAGTCCGGCTCAAGCTCTGTGTGGGGTAGGGGGGGAGATCTTTGTCTTTGACGGTGTTTTATGGTGGTAGCGGTGATGGAAGTGGTGATTGCGGTGGTGGTGGTGGCGAGGGTGGCGATGTTCAGGACAAGCCGTGACGTGAGCACACGCGAGTCGCACCACCCTCACCACCCCACGCACCACCCACCCTCACCACTCACGCCACCCTCACCACCCGCACCACTCACGCCACCCTCACCACCCGCACCCCCCTCACCACCCACACCCCACCCACCACACGCCCCACCCTCACCACCCGCACCACACAATCACACATACTAACATACAACACACACACGTACATGCAGATGCATACATCCACCACACACACCATCACACAAAGGTTTCCGTTCTCCACTAAGATATGGTGGTGATGTGACAATATCGCTTATGTCGGGCGAGGTGCACGTTCAGGCTGTACACAAAGACACAAACATCGACTTCTCACTTGAATCCCAAATCTGTTTATCCACACTGATGGATGGGCAGGCAGACGCGCGCGCTCTCCGACAGAAGTCACGTTGAGCGAAACACCGGGGGGGGGGGGGGGGCAGCATCCACAGAGACACAGCCCCGCGAAGCGCCAATAGGAGTCATCATTCAAAGCACTCGCCCATTCACTCGTGCCGCTCGCACTCCGGCGACCAGTCGCTACTGCCGTGGTTAGGGGCCACACATCGAGTGCGTACGCAAGAATCTGTCAAAACTTGACCCATCCACCCCCCCTCCCTGTACGCACGCGAACTTTTTACACCCCCCCCCCCCTCCGAATCCTAGAGCGGCCCATATTTAATCCACGCAGAAATGATCAAGGATGAATAACATTAACGCGTTTAAGCAAACAGATAGTCCACCGCCGGCTACATTAAAGAATTACGTCGCGTGCCCTGGCCACTGATGTTGTTGAGCTGCGTGACAGCTGCAGTCAGGGGCACGGTGGCACACGAGTGACACCTCTCCCACAGTCCCACTTCTCCCGGCAGTACTTGTTGTCTCACAACTGAAGAAACTCAACTGTGGCTCATTTGAAGGCCGATGTAGACAAATTATTATCGAGGCTTCACCCCCCCCCCCGTTTCCTATGTGTACATTGTGAGTAGACCCCCCATACGCAAGCGTACACATTTGGGTTACCTCCCCCTCCCCCCTCCATGCGTACGTACGAGATGGATGGCCCCACGCTGCTGTTACCGTGAACTTTATTCATCGAGTCTCCCCACCACTCGTGTCGAGGCCTCGGTCGCGACCAGTCACCGACCGTCGCGTCTCGTCCTCGCCGTGCTTTCAATCGCCGTCACGAGCAAATCCTCTCGCCGCTTGCGCCCTCACACTGCTCCACACTTTGGCGTTTTCTCCCCATCGCCTCTCTTGCCTCCCCCGCACCGCCTCGCGGCGGCAATGGACAAAGTCCTCGTCCAGCAGCAGGTCGACGCGAGCGTGAAGCGCGCGGCTCGTGCACAGAGCGGACACGGCTCCATTTGGTGGCCCCGGAGTCAGTGACAGGACCGCGACTTTGCGATGTTCAGGGGCCCAGGTCCACCGAGAGGAGACCGACAACCATCGTCGACGACGCGTCGTCGTGTTGCGCACAGCACTAGGACAATGCCGTGCGAGCCAGACACGCGAGCCGACACCGTGGCTCTTTTGTAAAACATTGAATTTGAATAGCAGTCAATTGAAGTCGATGAATTTACGTCAAATGTATCATCTATTGGGGTCAATGACTATTGGGGTCAATGACTACCCCCCCACACCCCTCCTCGAGAAGGCGGGAAACCCCAGGCAAGCCCCGCCCAACAAGACGCGGCTCGCGGTGCCGATCACATCAAGGCCCGCCCATCACCTCCCGTCCAGCGGCACACCCCAATTATTTTCGTGTTCTCCGATTGTGACCAAACGGAGTAATCCATTACTTAAATAATCACGTGTCCCAACTCTTCATCGTACACAGGTGACTTTGAGCGTGTAGGCTAGCGGCGTCATTGAAGCAACTGCATTTTAATGCCACGCAATCCACAACACACGCAGGCGCGTCGTATAGATTAAGATGTATTCAGCCAATGAGTATTGATATATATACACACACGTGGGAGGAGACCGGAGCACCCTGAGAAAACCCGGCGTGCGAGGGGGCGGCACTCGATCCCCCGTGCAGATGGGAGACGGGTGGATTCGGCACGCGGCCGTACAGCCTTCTCCTGGCGAGCCACCGTAGCGGGCTCCTCCTCGACGTCGTGGTGGTGAATGAAGGGACTTTCACAACATTTGTGGGGTGACCCGTCAACCCTCGCTGTTGCCTCCACGGCGCTGGATATCAGGCAGCAGCCACGCGCGGCGTAGCCACCACTTCCCGGGGGGGGGGGGGGGGTCTGACACGAAACTGCCTGCTTTGTCCATCATCATCATCAGCAGTTATTGCACCATGTATCACAGAAGCGTCCTGCCTAGGCATCAGATGAGATTGGCGAATTTTACATGAAAATGTACAGCACAGTGTAAGGGAATAGTAAACAGAACCGCAAACGCTGTGATATCGCGTGTAACAAAAAGTGTTCAATGCAAAGAAAGGCAGTAATCAAGTCACATGGATGTGAAAGCTGGGCTCTGGTGATGACACACAGACACGCACACTCGGGCAAATACACACAGCCATACGCACACGAAGTGATACACGCACAGATACACAAATAAACACTGGGAGCGACACACACAGCCACACAGAGGGACAGACACCCACAGAGATACACTCCGATACAAACAGAGACAGGCACACTGAAAGATAAAGATCACCCATGTAGCCTCAACAGAGAGTTGGAGGCAAGTGCTGTGAGCACACGGGGGGTGGGTGGCCAGTGGCGACATTTACACATCGCCACTGGTGATGGCTGCGAGCAGGAATCGAAATTGGGTCGCAGTCTGCGAACCACTTCGCTTCCGCTCCACCACCGACACACACAAACACACGGACGGATAGACGCGCGTGCACGCACACACACACAGAGAAGCACAACACGCACGCGCGCACAGACGCATGTACACGCAGTCCCTGCAGGTGAATGAGTGAACCGCTCGCACAAAATTCGTTCACTTACAAGTCATCTGCCGATCACGTCAATCGACATTTCTCTCCCACACGACCAATGAACCATCCGCTCCAACGTCGCACATCAAACGGACGACCACGCATGCGATCCACAAACCCATTTAGATCGAGCATCTCCCTCGAGATATGACGATGATCACAACAACAATAACAATTATTATTACCATTGTTCCCCCGAGTCTAAACGCTAACTTGAACTCTTTGTATTCGCGCCGCAAATCTCATTTTTAAGGACCGATCATTGCACTTAAAAGTTTTGCTTTAACGCAACAGCCACTTGCCCACTGCTACCAAACCGTTAAAACCATAAACATCTAAAAACCAGACCCTGGCGGCGGGGGTTGTGCTATCATGCCCAAAGCGAGAGACGGCACCGCCTGCATTGTGGGGGCTCGTTCCGAGCTCGGGCACGGAGCGCGGAGCGAGGACGAACGGGATCCCAGGGCGCTCTGGGCACGACCGTGGGTCAGGAATGACGTGAAAGGGAGCAGACTTTTCCTTCAAGTCAAGAGTTGGGATCCGGCTGGTTCTGTTCAAATCAAGGCTGATGGCGACACGGCGTGAACCAATACGTCATAACTCACGAGTTGTTATTATAAACTCATCCATTGGTCCCCTGCTCCTGTCGTGCTTAGTCCCTGCCTGCATCTCCCTACTCGCCTGTCTCCCTACTCGTCTGTCTCCCCCTCCTCCCTGTCTCTGCCACTGTCCGTATCTCCCGAACGAATCCCTCTACACCAACATCTCACCGCCCCCGGGGCCCCGTGGACTTTTAACGTCGTGCCGACGCTAAAAGTCCACGTTACGGATCCCCTCCGCATGAACGTGGCCCTTTATCCGCGTTTCCAACTGAACCTTATGTACATCGCTACACGTCAGAGGGACAGACATGTTCACGCGCGAGTAGCATCGTCTATAGTATAGTGCTGCGTCCATCCCACTTAGCCTCCTGTACATGACAGCTCCACTTCCTCATGCGCAGTGGCAATTCTAGGACCCAGTAATGGGGGCAATGGGGGCGAGTAACCACCTGATATGGGGTTTTGGGGCAAACTCCACTGCAAGGGGGATGAGACGTCTGTGGTGGTGGTGGCGGCGGCAACATCGTCAAGGATCTGACTCTAAATGGGGCGGGGGGGGGGCACACTGGGTGTTGGGAGGGGGGGCAGTGCTGCTCATTCGGGCCCCCGATAGAATTGCCACGGCTCACAGAGCACGGCTCACAGAACACGCGCTCCCAGCTTTCACAACTCCACCCATCTCAGTGGGAATAAAACGATAAGTATTGCACGCTCAGACACGTATGATATAACGCCGCTCCGACGCATTGGAGCCGGCACTCCGACAAGTCCCTTTAGCGAAACGACGGCGCGCGCCCGTCAAATAAACACCACGACGATGACGACGACGACGACGACAGCGACGGGAAACCCGCCAAGCTGGGGGAGGCCACCGGCTGCTGCACCAGGCCGGGGCGTCCCTCGCGCGTAATTACGAGTAGACAGCACTTGCTCGCTAATGAGAAAGGCTGCGCAAAACTTCGGCATGGCAGCTACGATCGCTGGGCCGGTGTGTGTGCGTGCGTGTACGGTCAAGTTGTGAGTCACGGTAGAGCTCGCGTGCAGTTTCTCTGCGCCAATATTCGCAAATATCCGCCGTGAAATAAATTCGACACACGTACATACATGTTTAGTTGGGGCGGCTTTGCGTGAGAATTCGCCGTTCCATTTTGCAACAGGTGACTCGGCTCCCGGTTTTGTGGCTCACCGACCCAGCCGTCGGTGACCCGGTGCGTGTGTGCGTGCGTTCTTGTGTGTGCGTGTGCGTTTATTTTGTCATCTCCTCCCAGCGATGCCAGGTCGGTGCCTTTCCCAGCAGCAGATAAATAAAAATAAAATAAAAAAATCACTCACGACCAGCATACCATAATTTTTTAAAACGATAAAAAAATGTTTAACAAACAATTGGGAATTATCTCTCCTGTCCCATCTTAGCCCGTCAACGGGGGAATTATGTTAGGAAACAGCTGCTGGGTGGCTCTGGGTGGTTCAGGGTGGCCCACTGGAGACCCACCGAGCTCCCACCGGATTTCAGCCGCCTGCGTGGAAACGGTCGTCAAGTGTGGGGAGTTGACGCGTTCACCGAAAAGATCAATTTGCGTCAACATTTTTTGGTTTCAATTCAGAAAATTTCAGCTTTAGGTTTTCCAAACACGACGACTGCTGGCGACAGGGCAGGAGGGAGCGCCGCCTGGCACGGGCGAGGGGGCAATCGAAGGGATTTCAAGTTTATTTGTTTGACCAAACGAGACCCTACGCGACGAGGACGGTCTCATTCGCACGAGCGACCTGGGTGACTTCACGTGAAGCCGCGTGACTTCATCCTCCGCGGCTGTTCTGCTCTGCGGCGCGACGTTGCTCTGCTCGCCGCCAGAGTTCCGCATGGAAACGCCTCGACGTGACGCCGATGCCACGACAACTGGAATATAATTGGGCGTAAAAAAGAACCGCATGCCCACCGCACCCCCTCCGCCGATCGCGCGAAGTACGGGGCAACCGTGGGTTACAGGGAGACACCGCCGGCGAGGCAGGGCCAGCAGCGTTCTGTCCGGCACGACGCGGTGGCGCATCATCAAGTGGCCACGCGGCCATCACGTGGCCACGCGGCCACGCTCGCCGCCGTCCCCGCCGCTGCCGCCGCCGCTGCCGCCACCGCCTGCAGTGCCACCGCCGCGCTCTGCCTGCAGGCTGGCGTGGCAAGCTTGGCACACCCGGACCGGCGACATCAGCTTCAGCCGCCGGATCTCCGACTGGTACTTGCTGCACCTGCGTGGGGAACACGGCAAGCAGTGAATCGTCACGTTTTTGTTATGAAGAAATGTTGAAAGCGTTGATGCATGAGCTCTGTCTGTAACTGGGGGGTGGGGGGGGCGAGATAACTCTCATAATGCTGATCCGGTGTGAACACAATTAGAGTATAAAGCTGTGCTGCTCTTCGGGCCCTACACCAGAGCAAACAAGGAATATTTGCAAATATATAATTGTCCTTCTATATTTTGAACGCAACCACAAGCTAGCTTGGTGGTTCTTCTGGCTGTATTGGTACGTGGTTGACTGGGTGGCTAGGTGGCTGGGTGGGAGGTTGTGTGGGTACGTGGCTGACTGGGTGGGTGGCTAGGTGGCTGGGTGGGAGGTTGTGTGGGTACGTGGCTGGCTGGCTGGCTGGGTGGCTAGGTGGCTGGGTGGGAGGTTGTGTGGGTACGTGGCTGGCCGGGTGGCTGCTTGGTTCGTTGCGTGACCAGCTGGCTTGGGTGGGTGCCCAACCTCTGGCAGAAGAGCTGCCCGCAGTTGCGGCAGTGGTGCCGGCGCTCGGTGATGGAGAAGCGCGTGGCGCAGGCGGCGCACGCGTCGCCGCCCTCGTCGCGCACCCAGTGGTCGGCGGCCGTGCGGCCGGGGCTCTCGCTCACGGCCCAACTGAACACGCGGCCTCGCGCGTCGCCCACCAGCACGCGGCTCTGGTCCCTGCGCACGCCGATCGTCAACCGCCACCATTCGCCGGGTAAGCGCCGGCGGTGTCGCCGCGGTGCTTGCGCCGGGCTAGGCGTGCGCTCTTGAGGCCGTCACGAGACGAGACTCGGGTGCCCGTGGGTTGACTGACCGAGATGATTGGCAGATATGCACAACCTGTGCTGCCCACTGTGTCGACACCCACGCGACAAAGACCCCCCGTGTAGTCGAAATCGGCTGTTCGGGGAAGTGCTGCGAGCGAGCACGGCACGCAATGGAGTGGTTGGTCAGGACCACATGAGGTCCTCATGTCGACAATAAGCAGTTCGCCAACCACTTCACTACCGTTCCACACACGCACACGTGCACACACAACACAACGATAAAAGCGAAAATTGCATTGGAGCTGGGACGATGGGTCAATGCAAAGGCTAAATGCGCAGCCCTGCAATAACCTGCTCACGCCACTGCTGACAGACGTGCTCCCACTCGAAATCTGACACAATTTGTCCAAATTGCGGCCGCTCGAAGGAAAGTGACATGCAGGAAGGATCGGACGTGCGGCATCGCGTCACGGTGGGTGGGACTGCGCGCGCGCGCTCACTTGGAGATGGTGAGGGCGGTGACCTCGGCCGGCTGAGCGTTGTCCTTGCGGTCGAACGCCGTGTGCATCGTGAGCCTCCCGCACAGCACCAGTTGCCGCTCCCAGCAGAAACCTGCAAGTGGCACAGCCGCGTCAATGACCATCGTGCCGTGCCATTTCCATGTGCCTGCTATGGTGTTAGAGACGCGTCATAATCCAGCACTGTGGAAGCAGCGAGGCTTCGCGGATCACGCAAATGTTGCGAGACTCCCTTCCCGTGAGCGTCGAGGAGGAGCCATATCCTGGCTCGCCAGAAGGCCAACCCAGCTATGCCACTGGATACTCAAGTGCGAATTAACGTATAAACAAAAACATTTATGAAATACCGAATCAACGAGGAACTCAACGAACAAAAGAAAGACCAAATAGACAAATGACCGAACGAACGGACAAACGAATGAACGAGGTGCCGAGACCGGCACGAGTGCACGCTCACCCGACTTCAGCTTGCTCGCCGGGCTCTGCGTTTCCGGCGGAGGCTGCGGCTGTGATTGCGCCAGCGCCTGGTTTTCAGGAGAGGCCTCGGAGCTCGCCTGGGAGCTGGCGCGGGAGCGCGCAGGGTCTGCGGGGCGGCCCAGGGCGGCGCCGTCGCCGTAGCTCACCAGCACGTAGCCGTCGCTCTCCTCCACGCTCAGGTTCTGGGACCAGCGCTTGGGGTCGTCCGAGGCCGGGACTGAGTTCCGCACAGAACGCTCCGTTTAAGGCCATCGCATCCGAGCACAAAGGCTTACGGCAGGTGCTGTAATGAATTAGTTGTTTCTACTGGAGCGCCTGTGATGCTGGGGCATCTACACCATGACGTACATCTCATCTCAAACATTCGAAAGGGCTCCCCCCAGTGGCAGCTGTGCATGTGTAGAACAAGGTGACTCAAGATCTGACATTAGTCTGCCTGCCAGTAGAGGGTGATGATTGTTACAAGTGAGCACAATTGAGTACTGTAATTTGTGGGTATATTTTTCAAATTTGGCAAATAGGGATTGGCACACAATGGCCTACTTGTTTTGAATTACATCACAGGAACTGTAACGTTCACTTTGAAGCAGACGGCGCCTAGTATTTTATGGTAAACTAGCTGTACTACCCGGCTTCGCCCGGGACTTGGATCCACCACGCCTCGGCCGCCTTTGTCTCCCCAGTGGCGATGTTCACACACCACACCAGTTACTCGTTTGAGGCTGAGTCGACCTAGGTGAGGCCCAGGAGCGGTTTAAATATTCGTTACCAGTGGTGGCCGTGAGCGGGAATCGAACTCGGGTCGCCGGGTTCGTAGCGCGGTGCGCTAACCACTACACTACAATGCGTGACGCTTCCACATGCGCGGGTCACGTGACAGATTTGACGTCACAGCTCACTTGCCGTGCAAAAAATATCAGCATTATTGAGCTCCCCCCCCCCCCCCCAAAAAAGTGTATTTTTAGAATTTGTGCATGGTGTACAGTCTGAAAAGTACCCACATGGCAAATTTCCAGTTTGTTGCATGTCGGGAAGTACGCTAAACATTTTGAACAGACACACATATTCACAACTTTGCCTTTAAAATATATGGTAAATATACCTGGGTTAGATAACAATAGCTTGGTCACATAGTTAAGTGGTCTAACCCAAACATCCATGATTAATCACACGGATCCGATTCTTGATGGCGCGCGCGTGCGTGCAGCTATGTGAATGGCGAGCGACCCGTTGCCACAGGGAGCGCTGCAAGCGGTGGACACGCACCCTTCGCGTCGCCCGTGCTCCAGGGCGCGCTGTGCCGCTCCGTGCCGCGTGGTTGCCGTGGCGATGCCGAGCGGTTGCTGCGGGCGTCCGCGGAGCTGCTGCACTCGTCCCCCTCGGACTCGCTGCTCTCATCATCTGCACCGTCCGTCACTGCCGGGGGGGGGTACGGGGGGGAGGGGGGGTAAATGGGGGAGAGGAAAGAGCAAGAGGACATCCTAAATAAAACCATCATCTCATCCAAAAATTAACCCCCCTCTCACCGATAGTGCACCCCCGTCTCACCGATACGAGACCCTGGTCTCACCGATACCGGACCCCGTCTTACCCATACAGTGCCCCTCCATCTCACCGATAGGCTGCAGTGTGGAGGGCAGCGGCTGCCTCTCCGAGAGCCTCGTCTCGTCCTGTGCGATGATTTCTGGAACTTGGACAAACTTCATGCGCCACATCTGCGCACAACAGGCACGTGCACACAAATGACTCATATCGCCGCCCCAGCTGACTTCGCCGATCCAAGGTCAACTGAGTATACGTATGCTTATAAGGGGGAGTAGTGGTGCAGCGGTTAGCGCACCATGCGAGGACCACGGCATCTGACTTTGATTCCCAGGCCGACACAACCTTTAATGGGTACCTGGCAAGGTGTGGAAGATCAGCGCTGGGGAGACCGCACATTGTGCCTAGCCTTGCGCAGGTGCTGTGGCTACGTCACCGCCACCCGGTAGCGAATGGCGGACGCTGTTGTTGTGCGAGTTGAGTCTCGGTAACGTCAATAACCTGGTTAACATCGCGGGTTTATTCACCACAAAGAGGTGCCATGCGCCATCTGTATCACTGTATCTGTATCACAGTGGATGTTAAAGACCCTGTGATGCGAATGGCAAGAATAGGCCATTGGGTTCCAGTGTCACGGTCCAATTGGTCAAAAGTAAAAAATCATGCAGTAGATCACTCAATTGGAATCTACTATGCAATCATTGCTCCCTCCTGCAGGACCCTCCTGCAAAAGAGTCATGAGACTCAGCGAGTCTTTCCCAAGTAAAAATAACAATAATGCCGTCACAGGGCGCAAAGTGACGGGGGCGGGGTGGAGGTGGTGGCGACTCACGCGCACGACCCCGTCCGAGTGGCCCGTGACGATGACGTTGTGCGGGTCCCACTCGCTTGTCTCGGACACGCAGCAGCACAGGATGTGCTGGCTGCGTCCACCCGCGCACGTGTTCACGCTCGCCACGGGGTCGCCGTTGATGCTCCACACAAACGCGTGCGTGCCGGCGCACGACACGATGTCTCCCTGCCACGTGGGGGGAGGAAGAGGATACAGGAATGCACGCGCACACAGTGCAATAAGCGTGACGCACACTGCAACAAGCTTGACGCACACTGCAACGAGCACGTCACCGTCTATGGGAATGGTGCGAGTCGGTGGGCCCTCAACGCGTGCTGACCCCCCGCCCTGCGTACGTGACAGGACAGCGTGCGTGCATGTCGGCCGTGGGGGGGGCGGCACTCACGGTGAGCTCGTTGATGCAGAGCGCCGACACGGGGGCCCGATGGCCCCGCAGCTGCGTGACGAAGGTCAGCTTGTTGAGGTCCCACACGCAGCACGTCTGGTCGCGCGAGCCGCTCACCACGATGTGGTAGGCGGGCGACGCGGCCAGGCACGTGACAGCGTCCGTGTGGCCATACAGCGGCTGTGGGCGACAAGTGGGGACGAGTGGCCGGGGTTAACGGCCTCACTCAAAACTGCAAAACCTCTCTCAGCGTCCGGCAACCTCTCCAGTGCTGATGTTGACACACCACACCAGGTACTCAATTCGGGACAAACCGTACTTGGTGGAGGCACAGGAGAGGTTCAGATTTCACTCGTGGCTGGAAACTGAACCTGGGTGGCTTCGTAACGCAGTGTGCGTACCAGTGCGTCACCATTTCCCCACCCCATCCCCCATATGTCCATGAAGCCACATGCAAAGGCAAAGATTCTTCCTATAGCCTAAACAATCCGTTAGGAAAAGTGTGTCCGTGTTTGTACCCGTGCGCCCGTGTGTGTACCCGTGTGCGTGTCCATGTGCGTGTCCGTGTACCCGCCCATGTACCCGACCGTGTACCCGCCCGTGTACCCGTGTGCGTGTACCCGTGTGCGTGTACCCGTGTGCGTGTACCCGTGTGCGTGTACCCGTGTGCGTGTACCCGTGTGCGTGTACCCGTGTGCGTGTACCCGTGTGCGTGTACCCGTGTGCGTGTACCCGTGTGCGTGTACCCGTGTGCGTGTACCCGTGTGCGTGTACCCGTGTGCGTGTACCCGTGTGCGTGTACCCGTGTGCGTGTACCCGTGTGCGTGTACCCGTGTGCGTGTACCCGTGTGCGTGTACCCGTGTGCGTGTACCTGTGCGCGTGTACCTGTGTGCGTGTACCTGTGTGCGTGTACCCGCCCGTGTACCCGTGTGCGTGTACCCGTGTGCGTGTACCCGTGTGCGTGTACCCGTGTGGGTGTACCCGTGTGCGTGTACCCGTGTGCGTGTACCCGTGTGCGTGTACCCGTGTGCGTGTACCCGTGTGCGTGTACCCGTGTGCGTGTACCCGTGTGCGTGTACCCGTGTGCGTGCCCACCTGTCTGAGCGTGAGGCGGGCGCGCTCCTTGGTGCCACCCTGCTCCAGCTGCCACACGCACACCACCGTGCTGCTGCCCCCCGTGACCACAAGGCGCGGGTTGGGGCACACGGCGCACAGCACGTGGCCCCACTCCCACAGGCACTCAAACACCACGCAGCACTGGCACGCGGTGGTGGGGGGGGGGGACACAGGAGGGAAACACGTGGGGGAACAGAAATATTTTCATTTGAGAAAAGAAGTTGGTGAAGATGGCGAGCATAGACATTGGATAGTAGTGAAGAGGTGTAATTGCACATGGCTACGAATGTTGAGGCGTGATTATGCATGGCCACGGATGGCCAACAAACACAAGGGGCGGGGTTACGGCCGTACACAAGGGTGGCGCTCGCACCGACGTCCGCATGTGTATCCCCCACGGGCCCCCCCTTGGGGGCAAGTCCTATAAAAGGTGATGAGCCGAAAGGCTCGGGAGTCGGGACTCAGCTTTAACCAGAGAAGAACGAAGACCTGCTAGTATAGGCCCCGGAGCTCCCCTGGCTCGCTGTCCTTCTAAGGGCCGACCAGGGCAAGCCGGTGGCGTGGCCCCGAGAGCCCAGACGAAGCTGGTCTGGTGACTCAGGGAGCCGGGATCCCAGCTTAACCAAGCTGGGACAGATAGCCTCCCCTAGTCCCGTAGTGGAGGAGTTGGTATAGGCTAGAGGGGTTAGCTGTCGAGAAATCCCTGTAGCCAAGTGACCTGTAATAACTGTGTTGGTGTAATAAATAAGTGTGCCTCCGATCCTGTCGTCAAGCCTCCATATATACTTACTACAGTAGTACAGGGGTAAGAAAGAATGCGGGTGATGGGGCAGGTGCAGGGTGAGAGGGTGCAGGCGATGGGGCAGGTGCAGGGGGTGGTGGTGCAAGGGGCACCTTCTCCGACTCGTAGCTGCCCAGCTTGCAGCTGAGGTCTGCGTAGCCCCAGGAGAACGTGCGGTTGAACTGCGGCGGGAGCAGTGTGCGGTTCTGCTCGGTGGCCAAGACGCCCTTGTCCGTGCAAACGATGTGACCCACAGGTTCCTTGAGCTCTGTTATTCATTCAGTCATTCATGCCATCATTCATTTGTTAAGCTGTCCATTCAGTCGACAGTTCATTCATTAAGTCCATGTGATTTAATGAAACCTCCCCTAAATCAATAATTTAGTAAATCATTTAATTAGTTCCAGTGTTTATTCGTTCAATCCTTCTTTTTTGAAGTAATTCGTTTTGTTGATAAGCCATTTAATCATTCAGGCCCCCATTCCTTCAAATAATAATGTAGTCCCTACATCCATTCATTCTTTCATATTGTTTCAGCTCACGTCATTTATAGTTGTTTCAGCTCAGCGGTAAGTGAAGAACGCTTATCAACATCGTATCGCTTACTCGGATCATGATAATTGTTCAATTTGTGTGGGGCTGTGCCAGCCGGTGGAGGGTCTTACGACACAGATTTCGTCAGATCATTTCAGCTGCCGAACCTGAAAATGTAGTATAAATCGCGCGGGTACCTTTGACGGGCGCAAGGGACGGCTTCAGGTTGTCAAGGTGATGGAAAAAGAGGCGGTCTGGGACCCCACTGCCACCCCCCGCCGTCGGGGTCGCGCCGGGGTTCTCGCCGTTTCCACGGCAACGCACGCGCTTCGGGGGGTGCGGCTTCCGGAAGAGCTACGCAAACACCGTCATCATCATCATCATTATTATCAGCACAGGCAGCTTCAACAGCATCAGTGGTAGTTTCATCATCATCAGCTTCAATCATCATCAGTAGTAGTAGTAGATTCAGCATCATCACCACCATCATCGTGAGCAGCATCATCATCATCCTCAGCAGCAATAGCTTCAGAAGCATGAACGTTTGCATGATTATTTTTCTGTGAGGTCATTAGTGACCGAGCTGAGACCATCGACTCGTTCGCTGCACTTGAGAACCCGGTGTGCTCACTGTGGTTGGATGGCCAGAACCTCGATTCGATTCCAGGTTCTCAGTGGCGCCGGCTCAGCGGCTCTGACCTCAAGGCCACCACCGCCACCTCCTCCACAAATCAGCCGACCAGAAACCAGACTGAGACCGAGCGGCGCGGGTTGAGGTCACGGTCACCTGCTTGGGGATCTGCCCGAAGTTGTTGATGAAGCCGATGGTGGCGGTCTTCTTGAGCGGGTCATTGATGTTGTAGATGTCCACCTGGCCCTCGTAGAAGAGGTGGTGGAACACGTTGACGGCCTCCACGGCGGCGGGGCCCTGCTGTTTGTAGCCGAACACCAGGTCGATCCACTCGTGCAGGTGCGCACTCACGTAGTCGCACTCCAGAGCCTGATCGATCGGGGTGGCGTGGGGATGGGGTGACACGATGGCAGGGTGACGCAGCGGCGGGCGTGACAACGGGCCGACACGGCGGGGTGTGTGACACGGCCTCTATAGAGGAGGCTCGTAAAAGACGCTACAGGGCATTTACAACAACAGCGGAGGGCAGAAGAGCAATGCTCACAACACCGAGTGGAGCGCGGGGTAGCTAAAATGCAGCTAGTTGGCACAGTGGGGGGCACAAGTGATGCATCTGCCAGTCATCTCAGTCAATCAACCCATGAGACCTGGGTCTGTCCCGTGACCTCCTGCCAGCAGGGCTTCGACACTTCACCTGACGCGCCGTAGTGACGTAACTGCCACTTCGTGGCGAACGGCGGCTTTTCTCGTTGTTGTTGGAGGAAGGATATTTACAGCGAGAGCAGTGGCATAGATGTTGAGTGTGCAGGCAGTGCAACTGCACCGGGGCCCAAGGGCCGAAGAAAGCCCAGGCGTCGGGCTGGGAAGCGGTTGTGAAATTGGATGGGGGACGGGGGGTGGCGTGGGTGCAGGGGCCAATTTCACGCGCAGGACCCACCTGGCGGTGCACGCGGATGAACTCGCGCGGGTCTCCCTTGGCCCAGGCCGGGAGGAGCACGTCGCCCAGCTTGATGCCGTTCTGCTTGCAGCCTGCCAGGGCACGGATGGCGCGGAGACACGCGTCAACTCAGTGCTGCAACGAAACTCAGCGCGGCGGCCGATGGAACACCGAGAGCGGCCGGAGCTCGCGGGGGCCTGCGGGCCGAGCACGCTCTCGCACGCCGTGCGGCTAGTGGGGGCGACCGTACCCGCGTGTTCGGTAGACAAGGAGTAGCTCGACGCGGCATTCAGAGCTGCGCGCGCGGGGGCTTGCGTTAATTTAATTTTAAATTTATTATGTTCATGCACTGTTTTTTTATTGCCCGCATTGCAGTTGTCTCTTCTCTGATTTCTATTTGGTTGCTTTTGCTCTGATTTCTATTTGCTTTTAAGCTGAACTTGCGTATAACGAGAGTTTTCTCTTCTCATGTCTACGTGTCCACCCTCTTACATCTCCGTGTGCAGAGTGAGGTAATCTCCCTCCACTGCTCCCCTTTCATCGTACCCTCTCGATTTTCTCCCCCTACTTCCCCACACACTCCCTCCTCTATTCCTCCATTCCATGATCTCATCGTGAAACTCTTCGGGACCGACCCCCGTCCCCCCCCACCAGCCTCTGAATGGGAAACCTCCTGAAATAGAGTCCCAAGACTCAACGAGGCCTTCCCGGGACAGACAAACAAACGTGCGCCGCGTAGCGACGGCGCGGCGAGTGGCCGGGTGCCGTGGGGGGGGGGGGGGGGGGGGGGGGCGGCTGACCCAGGTCAAAGTTGTTGCTGTTGAGCAGGAACTCGGGCAGGTAGAAGAACTCGGGGATGAGCTCCTTGACGTCGGCCATGTTGTGCTTGGAGGCTGAGAACCAGGCGTCGCGCACGCTGTGGAACATGCGGTCGGCCAGGTCAAAGTGTCCTCCCTGCGCACGACGGACAGGGGAGGGGCGTGAGCGGCCGTGCTCCGCGCGGCCGGTGACACGGCTCCGCGCAAGGCAACGAGGATTGGTGGATCACACGCACGTTCGTGAAACTCCCCACTACCTGCGGTCTGCGAGATCTCCATCTCTCCTTGGCTTGCCAGGTTTTTGTGGCGGTAGAGTTTGTGGATTGAAATCCCATTCACACGTGTGGGTTTTCTCCGGGTACTACTCCAATGTATGCAAACACTCATTAATGGAGTTGGCCAAACATCCCGTTATAGGACCACAGAGCTTGGCAATTGTTGGTTTCGGCTCTGGCTGCTCTCCTGCTCGTCTGTGGTTTCCCACGCCTTGAATCTCTCTCTCTCTGACAGTGAACACAAACTGTGTGCCGCGTAACGCTGCTGGCAAGGCGCAGCCCTGACATTTCTTCCTCACGCCACTGGTGGCGCTATCGCGAGCTCTAGAGACCCCAACCTTTTTGGCAACATGGACCGATTTCGTGGAAGACAATTTTTTCACGGACGGACAGGGGTGGGGTTCACCATTGGGTCTTTCCCCCTTTTCAAAGAAGCTCTCCAGCGACGTTTGTTTTTTACTCATTGTGGCTAGGGGTTAGAGCTTGTGGGCTTACCAAAACTGTGACTGAGACAAGTGCGGAAAAGAGTGGTCAATAATAGAACAATGGGGGCGGGCCAAGGGCGGACTCACCGCTCACCTCCTGCTGCTGTGCGGCCCGGTTCCTAACAGGCCACGGGCCGGTACCGGTCCGTGGTCCGTGGCCCGGGGGTTGGGGACCCCTGCTCTAGAGGGCATGGCCATACGTCTTCACAGAGGTGGAAACACCCAGACTTTAATCCCTCCACAGCACTACCTGCCGATCAACTAACTCTGGCGGTAGTGGACTGAAGAAGCTTTCACTGTTGTCTCAACCGTCCCGGCTGTGAATGGAGTGAAGTAGCGTGGAGGGAGGGGGCACAAGGTGGGGACGTTGGGGGGGGGGTGCACGGGACCTGCAGGCGGAGGAAGGTCTGAGTGAATGGCTCCATGCGCAGCAGGTACGACGCAACAATCATGGCCGACGAGTAGTGCGTGCCGTAGTGGTACGCTGGCGTCTCTCCTGCACGCACGCACACACGCGGAGACGCACACATGCACGCACACGGGGACAGTCGCACGGAGAGTGTGACGACACGTGCAGCGTCACGCATGGAGTAGGTCGTGCATGCGGTGTCACGCCAGGAGTGTGGCACGTGGATTGTCACGCACGCAGTGACACACTTTGAGTATCGTGCGTGGAGGGTTGCACAAGGCGTGAGGGCTGGTGCGAGTGCTAGGGTTAGTGTTCGGGGTATGCTTATGGTTAGCGTTGGTTCTGGTGTTGGTGCTAAGGTGGGTGTGTTTGGGTTAAATGGAGGGTGAATGTGAGAGCGAGTGTTTATGCAAAGATAACCGTTAGGGTTAGGGACACGGTTCATACTGACGCTAGTGCAAGTGTTGGGGCGAGTGTTAGCGCGAGTGCGGGCTGTGTGTCTTGGCGAGGTACCGGTGGGGTCGTCCCAGTCGCGGTAGCGCTTGCGGTACTGAGCAAGCCGCTCCTCCGTCTGGGCACCCATCGGCTTGGAGAGGTCGCGGAACGTGCGTGGATTGCTCAGGTCCAGCTCCTGCGTGCACGGCGCCACAGAGGGCAACTCAACTCAACGCAGCAGCAACGAAACTCTATGCAACTCAACGCTCGTGTTACACCCGAGCGAGCGAGCGAGCGAGCGCATGGGCAATCGTGCGAGCCGGTGAGAGCGTGGGTAAGCGGGTGAGCGAGCGGTCGAGCAGGTGAGCAGGCGCGTGAGTGGGCAAGTGTGCAAATGAGCGATCAGGCAGGTGAATGGACAGGCAGCACACTTGCCGACCCCGAACAGGCTGAGGTGGCTGAATGTGTAAACCCTATGAGCGCACGCTCACTTTCTAAGTCAACATTTAAGTAAAAAAGATTGTTGTCAAAATGTTTACAAAGCACTTCGGATATCGGTGGATGGTAAATGGGTTCAGGCACTGGCAGCCTTCCGCTTACAGTGCTTGGGTTGGCAAATGTGTAGATGAGCGGGTGAGCCAGTAAATTGAGCGGGCGAGTGAGCGAACAAGTGAGTGATCCGGCGAGCGAGTGAGCGGGCGAGCATGCAAGAGAGCGGGCGGCCGAACAAGCAGGCGGGCGAGCAGGGTCACCCCACCTCGGAGTCGTAGTCGGCCAAGATCCAGGGGAAGACAGGGTACTGCATAAGGTCGTTGTAAGAGCGCCCGGCCAGCGTGTTCAGGTGCATCAGGTACTGGAAGTTGCTGATCTCTCCGCGCTGTTACAGGCGAGAGGTCAGAACGTCACGTACAGCAATGAAGAAAATAGAAATTAGAGAAAAAACAACTGTATCAAGTGAGATTATTGAAAATATTGCACGAACATAAATCAACGTAAAATAATAAAATCCCTGCAGTGAAAGTCGGTTTTGACAGAGAAACACTGAACAGAAAGAGGGTGACAATTGTACGAGTGTGTAAACAGACAAGGGGATGTATCAAGTGTGGAGTGTCAGCTCACCTCCCATCGCTGAGTCACAGACTTCTCCCACAGCGTACTGAGCAAGCCGGTCCTGAAACGAGATACACAAAGATCCCCCGCGTAGCCTTAACAGACTGTCGCGACGAGTGCTGTTGACGAGCGCCTGGGAAGGCCTGCACGGCACACGAGGGAGTAAGTGGCCAGCATAGCACGCCCGGCCGCCTTTTTCTCCCTCACGCACAACACGGTCAGCTCAACCGCCCACGGAGCCCGGCGAGAGCGGCAGGCGCAGTCACCGCCAGCTCGCATGCGCGCAGGTTTGCTTCCTTCTTCCTCGCGACACCTTCCACCAGCGGGACGCGTCGTGGTCCAGAGATTAATCAAGTTAGGACAAAACAATGCACACACGTGGATCCTGTAAGGCTTTGCAACGTGCGTTTGCCTTCACTAATATTTCGCTGCGAGGACAAAGCACATTTGCATATTTGCGAAGAGTTCTGGCTCGACTCGCAAGGTTTTTTGACAGTGCTTTAATAAATGTCGCCGAAAACTTTGCGGCAAGTCCCTGACACAACCCCGCAAGTTTACACTAAAGGTTTATTCACTTGTTTAAACAGCAAACCTTGGACTGGTTTTGACTTCAATCTCATCAGCAGGGTCGTGGGCTGTTAAATGTCACTGGGTCGTCTGGTATTACAGGTGAACGCGGTGGTGAGGTGCAAACCATCAGGCTAGTCACTGGTGACTGCTCCAATACAACTATGCGTACCCTGGTGGAACAAGCAGTCTCCACTCAGCTAGCCTGGTTGCCGTGGAATGGCTGACAACGTTAAACGTAAAATTGTAGCCTGGTTGTTGCGTGAAAAAATTAGGAGAGGAATCGGCAGGCACCCTCCAAGAACAGTGGGGGACCCCCCCCCCCTGGGGACCCCCCCCCGTTCAGGTTTGACCCTTTCTGGCAATAAAACAGGAGGTGTTAAGGTGTTACAACACCACACAGAACACGTTTTGCAAAGAATCACGTCTACATTAACCACACATTACTTGTGGTGAACATGCAAAAACAACACGCTCTGGTAATATAAGCATTGTCTTTGAAACTAATTGTCCACACCAGAAACAGCGATCTTCAGAGCCTGGTATGTGTGGTTAATGCAGACATGATTCCTTGCAAAAGGTTTCTGTTTGGGGCGGTCACATCTGAACAACAGTTTTTTTGCCAGAAAGAGTCAACCTATTCTTATACTTTGAAACTGGCAAGAAAGGTCCCGTGGAAATGAAGATCATTGCAACATATTTACACAACTTTAAAATCGGTCACAAAATTAAATGTCTTTCTCTTGCACGCTGTGAACTACAACCGGGCTTTGCTGGGAAATAGTTAATTAAGAAAAGGGATTGGGTTTCATCGTGGTGTGTTTTTCCCCCCCCCAGGAGATGCCAGGCACTCAATCCTCCGAGCACGGCGACAATGCATTATTGAGCGGTGCTAATCAGGCTGGCAGATAGGGGCTCTGGTTTCTGACGGAAGCCAGGTCCCCATCTCCTCCGTGCGATCGCTCGCCGCCCGCCCGTCACGAACAATCACAGGCGGCACCCTGCGTGAGCTGTTTGTCATAACTCACGCTTCTCTGAAAAGGCCCGGCAGCAGGGCGTAGGCCTGGCCCAATCGCCAATACCACAGAGACATGGCAAAACAAAACCACGAGCCCGTGCCACACGCTCGCCGCGTGAGATTACACTGCATATTTAAACGCGGTCACGTACGCCGTTCTGCGTTACAGGCCCCGGTACACGACGGACGCGCTTTGTGCACCGCGGACTGAATGACGCAAGAGATTCATTCTTAAGCTCACGACACGTGCGTCCAATCGTTGACGCAAGAAACAACGTTTGGCAGCACAAGGGCCTGCAGTAAAATCCATTGTTGTAGTGCACTATGCTTAATTGTCTATGCCCACAAACCCGCATGAATCGTAAGGCGTGGGCCCTCATCCAGTAGTGGATTCATAAAAAAGGCTGTACATGTACACAAAGTATGAGGATACTTTTTTAAAACACACACAGTTGGCCCAAGGACCCAATATGTCAAGCAGCCAGCAACAAACAGCACTAATTTCAAGATAGTAATAGATAAGAGTGTAACACGTCTTAAATTGAGCAAAGTTATTATGGAGAAAGAGGCGATGTGGGAAGAAGCAGAAATAGAAGTGTTGTTACCCTGCAGTGTGGCGAGTGAGTTAGTGAGTGTTGTCGTTACTTGCTGTATGGAGAGTGAGTGGGTGAGTTAGTGAGTGTTGTTGTTGCCTGGAGTGTGGTGAGTGAGTGGGTGAGTTAGTGAGTGTTGTTGTTGCCTGGAGTGTGGTGAGTGAGTGGGTGAGTTAGTGAGTGTTGTTGTTGCCTGGAGTGTGGTGAGTGAGTGGGTGAGTTAGTGAGTGTTGTTGTTGCCTGGAGTGTGGTGAGTGAGTGGGTGAGTTAGTGAGTGTTGTTGTTGCCTGGAGTGTGAGTGGGTGAGTTAGTGAGTGTTGTTGTTGCCTGGAGTGTGGTGAGTGAGTGGGTGAGTTAGTGAGTGTTGTTGTTGCCTGGAGTGTGAGTGGGTGAGTTAATGAGTGTTGTTGTTACCTGCAGTGTGGTGAGTGAGTGGGTGAGTTAGTGAGTGTTGTTGTTGCCTGGAGTGTGAGTGGGTGAGTTAATGAGTGTTGTTGTTACCTGCAGTGTGGTGAGTGAGTGGGTGAGTTAGTGAGTGTTGTGACCTGCAGTGTGGGGCTTAAACACGGTGTGGATAAGAGACGAAACCAGTGAGTGTCTGATGGACAGAGTCCTTGACATTGGTGTAGGAATCAATGAGTGAAGTTCACGGGAACGTAAACCATGGTAGTAGCTATAGAAGAGTGACAAGGCAGCGACTGCCCACCGATGAGCGAGCGACTTGAGTGAAATGGGAAACCATAGGATGCCTTTTGGAGGGCAAAGTGTTTCAAAATAAGTTCTCCATCAACACGCATCACCTATTAACCCCACCACTCACCCCGGTGGTGACACCTGACCTCAGGTCAAGGAGGGCAGCTCAGGTGTGCCTCCAATTACATCTAATTACTAGGAATTTGCACTGTGCCTCCAGGGCCGCGGAAGAAATGGGGCCCCCACTGCATTTTACGTCCTAGCAACGGGCCCACAACAAGGCCAGGGAGAAGGAACAAAAACACATGCGCACGCACGCGTACCCGCACGTACGCGCACACACACAAGACGTATGCACACACAGAAAAAACCCCACATGCAGCCTCCGCTTATCTGCCCACCGATTGTGTAAACGAACGCCGCCCGCCCGAGCGCACGCTCGCTCAGCGGCATCGTCGCTTGGCGAACGAGTGAACCTGTGCGTTGCTAAATGCACGCGCATCTACGAACGTGCCAGTACAGCACAACGGGCCAGGGCACTCAGCAGTGGAGCGAGGAGTTCGCGATAAAAGAGTTCAGATCACGTGAAGCGGCTGACTCAGCCCATCATACCTCTATGGTAGATACATTGAGTACCAGTTTCTGTGGAAGTTAAAAGTGCGTGTCCTATGGATAGACTCGCTCGCCCACCATGGCAATGTTTAATTTACACCACTGCCTCTGCAGGGCTGTAAACAGGAGATGAGCACCAATGCCCCAATGTTCATATCAGCAGGAACTAATTTTGATATCTTTAACGGTACCAGTAATAATGAAGGCTTCACCACGACATATCAGTCATGGGGATTTTTTTTTAACCATACTTCACCATGCTGGTCAATGCGTGTTGGTGAACGAGGGGAGCATGGACTCAAAACTCGGGTTGCCTGGCTGTTAGCACGGTGAAAATAACCACTGTGTCTTTGCTGCTTGTGTATTCGTGTGCATTCCCTGGCACATTTGTGTTGCCAGTCCACGTGTAAGGTCTGCCCCGGTGGGTGCACAAATATTCACCTTGTCAGAAGCTGTCAATTCGCAATTCGTAAACAAAAACCCGATCACGTTGTGTTCTTGCGTACAATGGCAGCAATGTGTTTCAGGAGCTAAATGCCAATGTCGAGGTCTGCTGGCGACGACGAGAGGGCTTCAGGGCAGAAAGTTCGTGTCATTTTGCGATTTCTCTGTTGAAGGAGCAGAGACTACACAGTGGTTTACTATATGGTCGGCAGTCAACCACAACTGCGTTGTGCGAGCTGGAAGTCTCTAATCGTGGGGCGTAACGACTTAGGGTTTATCACTGATGCACAAAAGCGGACGCAAGCGGTGGTGATGTGTGATCGAAGGCTCGGTGTTCACTTTGTTTAAACACTGCATTTAAAAACATTTCTGATGGAGGGGGAAAGCTGAGACAGGAATGAAAATGAACTCTGTGTATTCTGTTTAAATAGTTTCTAACATTGGATCCGATCTCTTAGAGAAGCTGCACAAAGTCAGGCTGGAGATTAAGCGAGACCTGGTCGTGCGTGTGTAAATGTCTTTGTGTGTCTGTCTGTCTGTCTAAGTACACAGTGGGGACTGCACTACGAACCCTGGCGACCCCAGTTTGATTCGGGGACGATTATCTGAACAGGTCCTGGGTATCCCCTAGGTCGATTCAGCCCCAAATAAAAACCTGGTGCAGTGTGTAAACATCACCGCGAGGGAGACAAAGACGGCCAGGCATGGTGCCGGCCACCCACCCGCTGGTGTGACGTGTCGGCCTTAATAGGTGTTCGCTAACAGCAATTGCCCCAACAGCCTATTAGAGGCTGTACGGGTGATCATTGTATGCGTGTGTACGTACGTATGCGTGCGTATGCGCACGTATGTCAATGTGTGTGAACGTATGTGCTGGTGTGCGTAAGTGTGTGTGTGGCAGCGCGAGTTCACTGTTGGGGGTGGGGGGATGACAGAGGAGAGCAGGGGTGGAAGCTGCCCATGTGACCACTGTTTGTTCCCAACCGCCCCCCTCTGGCAATAAACCACCTCCACCAAACACATCGCTGGCAACTGGTTGTCGTGCGGGCAGGCGAGCGGGCGTGGACGAGCAAGCGAGCGGGCGTGGACGAGCAGGGCAGACGGGGGTGGGCGATAAAGGTGGGACACATCGACGGCGCATCGAGGCCAGAACCGTGCGCCGCCAGCCTTGTGAGTGACATTGGAGAAGCGCTCGCGAAGACTCAATCCAGCACAGGCGTGGGACACGCAGCCCGGTGAGTGGCATTCCCTCGCACGGTCACGCACGCTCACTCGCTACAACGATCCATCGCGTCGTACAATCTGAGCAACGTCGCAAACATTATTCGCGTGTCGTTACAAATGAGACTAAAGCGAGACAGGAGTTTGCCGATGTCAATTGGCAAACTCTCAAATTGGCACCGGCTGACGCTGGCTAAAGAAGTCAGCCAAAGGTGTAGCGATGCGATTGTGTCGAGTCACAGCTGTGAGTAATGCTTAAAATTACTCGGCGGGATTCCGTGCGGTTGAGTTCTTCCGAGCTTCTCATCAGTGTCTGGTGTTGCCCTGACACTGAACAACGGTAGAGAAAGATCTCCCTGTGGAGCCTTTCAGACTGTCGGGGCAACTGCTGTTAGCAAGCGCCTATTAAGGCTGGCAGAGTACACAAGGAGGTGCGCGCTGTGGCCAGCACCGTGCCTGGCCACCTCTGTATGCTCAGTGCTAATGTTTACATACCACGCCAGGTACTCGTTTAAGACTGCGGTGACCTAGCGAGGGCCAGGACCAGTTCAGATAACCGCAACTCATGTTGGTCGTGGCCGAGTCCATATTGCAGTGAGCTGAGCACAATGTCAGTATGTGTGTGGATACCGATATACGCATATTTACACACATAATCACAGGGAATACATACAACATCCTGACGTGTACATAAAATACATGTACCAACTACAAACTACACGTCGTCAGTAACACATAATCGTACGTGATATGCACACTTCCATGTGCGTCACGTAAACACAAACTTTATGTACCGGGTACACGAGTGTAAGGAGATCCCACGTTTATAAACAAAACCGTGGTTTTGCTTGGCTTTAGCTGCATGGGTCCACAGTGCAAACAGCTTAGCCGGACATTTTTCAGCAGCTTTCCCATAAGAAAAACATCCCCCGCCCTGTCCCCCCCCCCCCCCCCCCCCGCGACCAACGCAACAAAGAAAATCCGTCCCCTTTTATTGGCCCTTTCTTGCGCTGTCAACCAGCAGTGAATGCCCAACGCAGTCTCTATAGCTACAGGGCCCACCGCCCGTGCCACGGCCACGCACAGAGGGCTTCGCTGTGCGGCAGATCCGTTCCGGCGTCGAGTGCGGCCCCTGAAGGAGTGTGGCGACTCTGGGTGGTTGCACGGCCAAGCGGTAGCATAGCGGGGGGGGGGGGGGGGGGTCGATCGCTCCCTTTCCTTGGGAACCAGAAAATTGGTGCCTTATTGACGTTAAGCAGAGAAGACACGTTGAATGTTTTCTTTGGTAAACTAGGGCACCTATTTAAAATGCATTGAAATTATGCGACCGCCTCCACCCCCCCCCCAGTTCGGAGAAGTGTTAGGATCCTTCTCTAGGCAGCAGGTTTTGTTATTTGTTGCAGAGGATTTCAGTTCAGGCCCTGGAGCCGTCTGCTTCACAGTGGACATTACAGTTCCGGTGATATCTTTCAAAAGCGAGTAGGCCGAGTGTGCCGGGGGGCACCTTGCTCCACAATTGAAAAAAAAAACTCCTTAACTCTGAAAACCACGTGAAAAAAACATTCTCCCTGAGCATCCACAAAAATACGATGACAAAGCTGTTCAGCTTTTACTCACGCAAGTTACATTTTCACATTGTGGGCATAACTCAAGCGGTGATGGGAAGCAGCCCTGCAGCACCTATGGCGCGGGTCCTTTCTCTGCGGGAGGCACGCTAATGTTGAACGAATCGCATCCTCGACTTGACAACCACGGAGCGGCTTTAACGACCCCCCTCCCCCCACTGCACAGTGAGCGCGTGGTCCCAGGGGGGCCGCCATGCCGAAGAAAAAGGGCCCCAAGAAGCCCAAGGGCACCAAAGTGACGCTGGCGATGGCGCAGAACCGCATGCGCACCACGCTCGACGGCAAGCGCCGGCTGGACCTCAGCAACATGGGCATCGCCTCCTTCCCCAAGAGCATCCTCAAGCTGAGCGATGTGGAGGAGCTGGACCTGAGCCGCAACGCGCTGCGCTCGCTGCCCGACACCGTGGGCCGCTTCCAAAACCTGCGCTGGCTCGACCTGCACAGCAACCGCCTGGAGAGCGTGCCGCCGGCCGTGGGCTCGCTGCTCAAGCTGGTGCACCTCAACCTGTGCAACAACCGCCTCACGGCCGACGGGCTGCCCCGCGAGCTGGCGCAGCTGCGCATCCTCCGCAACCTCAACCTGGGCCTCAATGCGCTGGAGCGGCTGCCCGGCTGGCTCGCGGCGCTCAAGGAGCTCACCGAAATCGGCCTCTTCGACAACCGGCTCAAGGGCCTGCCGGACGCCGTCATCAAGCTGCCCAAGATCCAGCGCCTCAACGTCAAGCGCAACCCGTTCCCCGAGCCGACGGACAAGGCCGCCGGCGGCCGCGAGGTGGAGCGCGAGCGAGGCTTGCTGCTGGTGCCGCGCCAGGTCATGTGCGCGCCGTGCCGGGAGCACTGCGAGCACGAGCGGGAAAGGATCAGCCAGCTGAGGGAGGCGGCGCTGGCCGCCGCGTTGGCTGCGGCGGTGCGGAGACCGCGTGTCGGCGCCGTGAGGTCGCAGCAAACCGCGTCCACCGACACGCAGGCCGACACACCGTGGAAGTGAACGGTGGTGGTGCCGGCGCGCCTCTAATCCAGCACGTTGGAGTGCGTACTACCCCTTCACCCCACTCGGATCCCGCTCGGATAAAGGGGTAGCACGGGAGATTGCAGCACAAGCAAGGTGGTTCGTGAGCCTGTCTGTACGACAGACAATTGAGTGCTACCTCCTCGTATTGTGTGGTGGGTTTTCCCCGGGTGCTATGGTTTCCTGGCATTGCAAATCACTCCTGAGTGGAATTGGCCAAACATTCCAATGCAAACCTCTCAATATAAAGGGCCGCCTCTCTCGAGACCCCCTGAATACGCCCTTGTTATTCATTGCAAAAATTCCCCCATTATATTCCCACTGTGCAATCGGCATTACACAGCGAGCGGCGGTGAGACACCACGACCTTCCATTTGGACGTCTCGCAGAGAACGGCGTAGACCTCGCACCGTGTCGTTGGAAATGACCTCGGCTAATTCTGGAGTCCCCAAGGCAGACCCCTCCACACTGGTGACACAGCGGGCAGGTGGAGCGATATGAGCACCGACACACAGCGAGCTGATCCCTGCACACGTCGCCCCCTTCTCAGAGAGAGACCCCGACACCTGGCTTTGAGCGCATCCGGCGTGTGCATTTCCAGGATATAAATATTCTAAACTTTAATCTTCTAAACGTATTTTCTTAATGTTGTCAACAAATATTCACAAACAATGTGTGCATGGCACGTGTTTCTGTACCCCCACCCCACCTATATAATTATTTCTCGAGTGATTTCCTGTTCACTTGAGCATCTCCTATCTACATCCCTGAGCCAGTGATTGAAGTTCCACATTGCTATGGCAGAGGTGAGGATATTCGTAGGGCAACCACTGTTGACTTCCCCACAAGGCGGTACTCATTTTATTGGGCCCAGAGACAGGGATGATGGGCGGCTGAGTCAACCCACAACCGGGATTTGAACTCACGACCTTCTGCTTGCGAGCCGCTTTGTTGTACCGCTGAGCCGGATATAGAATTTTACGCGGAGATATTAACCACAGGTGCTTGAGCGTACCGCCACCCATAATGAGTGACACACTGCTATATTTACACTCACAAACCTGGGTGAATAACGATGTCTGATTTAGCACAATGACGAATAATGAATAAAAAAACTACTTCCCATCAATCGGTGTGTTGAGACTTTGCTTCACACAGACGTGTCAGCGGTGTGCTGCGAGATCATTTTAATTGGACCCGCGTGCGTGCGTGTGTTTGTTTTTAGATCACAGATGCACAGGCTCCAAGCTTTTTAACGCAGAGCACCTGGCACCAATGATAGCCTAACAGATAAGAGCCAAAGAGACAGGGTGAACACGGTTCTTGAGCCGAGCGAGGCCTTAATAACTCGGGGAAAAGAGGCGGGAATTCTGAGGAGTGTGAAAAATGAGGCAGTTAGAAAAGGTTTGTGACATACAGTGTGGTGCTTTAGTGAGTGATTGGGTGAGTGATTGAGTGGGTGAGTGGGTGGGTGAATGTATTGTGGCGACCTGCAGTGTGGAAGTTGAACGCAGTGAGGATGAGTGGAAACGGCCCATTCTTAGTGCGATGGCGTAAAGACGGCTGCTGGAACAATGCCCATGTGTAATGGATGTTGGAGCTGTTGGCAAAGCCATTTTTACGTAGCCTATGAATGCACCTGATCTCGTGAGATCATGGAAGCTAAGCAAGTTTCACCCTGGACAGGGCTTGGATGGGCAAGCAGCGCGCATTAAATATTTGTCTGGGGCTGTTGCCGGGCTACGCTGTCAGCATAGGGCAGTGAGGCATAGTACAGTATCCATGTACTGTACTATGCCTCAACGTCTATGCTCCCAGCTTTCATCAGCCTGCACTGAGCAGTGCGGTGAAGTATGGTCACACAAGCTCCATGACCCGCACAGCGTGGGGAGGCCCTCATCCAGCAGTGGACTGACAAAAGGGCTGCACGTGTACACACACGCGCAGAATAAGTTACGGTTGAAGCTGTCACAAATCAGATCTCTAAAGTAAAACAGCCGGTGCGGTCGAGGCCACCACCTCACGCAACTGTCGCTCAGAACTAACGCACGACCTCCACAGTGTGTTCTTGCGAGCAGATGCACGTCCGTGTGAGACTCACCCCTCCACGCTGGTGTTGGGCCTTTGCCCAGAGACGGACTCGCTGCTGTCGGCCAGAGACGGCACCACCGACAGGAACCTTCACGCACGCACAACGCAACAACAAGTGTAACACTTTCTGAAAACGATCATCACACATGTTTACCCAGGAGAGGATCACCGAGGAGTCTCAAGCCCTCCCTGATCACAGTGGGGATGTGCAGGATAAGCCAGAATGGCGGAATCGGTCAAATGTGTCAGTGAGATGGGCCAGATGGATAAGGAGTGGGCCGCATGGGCCGCGTGGGCCGGATAGGCCGCGTGGGCCGGGTGGGCCGCGTGGGGCAGATGGACGGGGCGGCCGGGTGGGCGTACCTCTGGTGGACTTTGTTGCGGATGCCCCTTGGGAAGGCGAGTAGGTAGTTCCGTCCGTCGCTGGAGAAAACCTCGATTGCGATTGGCTGCATTGGAGACACCGCGTCCAAACAAAGAGGCAAGGGGAGAGGCTGCGAGTCAGCAATCAGGGTCACACGTTAGATGATCTTGGTCTCATTTATTTATTTTGTATTCGTAAAAGGGTGTTGTTTGTACTGTCTGGTTTGAAGTGCCTGGCTCGTTTGTCACATCTCATTTGTTAATCAATCCAAAAGCAACATTTTTATGGAACAGAAAATGAAAGAGTGCAAAAAGAAGCATGGGACGATGCAAAATGGGAATTACATGGACAGAAAGAAAAATAAACAAGTCGATTAAAGAACATACGCATGGATGGATAGTTGGTTGGGATTAGGTTCAGTGGGAGGGTAAGCTCTCATGCATGGCTGGCAGGTTAGGATTAAGAGGTTAGAGTTAGGAGGGCTAGTACTGGTCACCGGTTTATTCATAGGTTAGGGGTGGGGCTCTAATTCACTCGCTCAATGTGTTCCACCCACAACGCAGCTCACCCCTCCTCCTCTCCCCGCCGCGCGACCCGATCAGTTCACGACGGCGCACGGCATGCGGCACCACGCGCTCTCACCTGCAGGAGGTAGCGCCGCTTGTGCACCTCGCGCTCTCACCTGCAGGAGGTAGCGCCGCTTGTGCACCTGGCGCTCTCACCTGCAGGAGGTAGCGCCGCTTGTGCACCTGGCGCTCTCACCTGCAGGAGGTAGCGCCGCTTGTGCACCTGGCGCTCTCACCTGCAGGAGGTAGCGCCGCTTGTGCACCACGCGCTCTCACCTGCAGGAGGTAGCGCCGCTTGTGCACCTCGCGCTCTCACCTGCAGGAGGTAGCGCCGCTTGTGCACCTGGCGCTCTCACCTGCAGGAGGTAGCGCCGCTTGTGCACCTGGCGCTCTCACCTGCAGGAGGTAGCGCCGCTTGTGCACCACGCGCTCTCACCTGCAGGAGGTAGCGCCGCTTGTGCACCTCGCGCACGTCCTCGTAGGCGAACTTGCTGCACGTCCTCTTGAGCTGGCATGGGCCCTGGCGCGAGCCCTTGGGGATGATGGCGTCTTGTTCACTGGCGGAAACAGAAACATCGGGGAAAGCTAAATTGGCACCGTCGAGCGGCAGCAGCAGCAGACGGGGAGGTGCTGTGCTCAGGGTGGGCGAGCACCATGGTAGCCGTGACAAAAACATTTCACTTCGAAATTTCCCTGGGGGGGGGGGAGGGGGTGGGATCCACACATGTCAAGCCTTTTAAAGAGGGCCTGCCGTTAATATAAGTAAAAGTAAAAAATGCCAAAGCATTTTTTCCGGCATATATAAGAAAAAAATACACATTTTTAAGGTGGCGATTCCCCCCCTTTTGGATCAACGACTCTTTGTCCGGAAGGTCTTGAGATGTTTGGCAAACACCATGGGGAGGGGAGGAGAGGGGAGGGGAGGGGAGGAGAGGGGAGGGAAGGAGAAGACGACCGGGGGGGGGGGGGGAGAGTATGAAGTGGGGGGAACAAGAGGAGGAAGGAGCAGAAGGACGACGAGACAGGAGGAGAAAGAGGACAGGGTGCAGGGAGGGGGTGGCCGGTACCTGGCGGGCAGGTGGTCGATGTCGCAGATCTCTCGCGTGGCCGTCACCGTGAAGCCGTCGATGACGTAGAAGTGCTCCTTGCCGAAGAGGAGCAGCCCCTCGCTCGTGTCCAGACCTTGTACCCGCGCGCAGCGGTACAGGTGGCAGATCTACAGAGGAGCGAGCGAATGAGAGAGGGGGGACGGTTACATTTAAAATATAATGAAGCCAACGGGCTTTGGCAGATGGGGCAAATCATTTCAGGAATATTATTCATAATAAAGGTTTTTGGGTTAGATTGCGTTACTATGTGTCGTAACCCTCCACCACCCGACACAGCCAATTAGTAAGGGATTTGTCATGTAAACAAAAGGCCAATAAGTTACTACTACAGCCCACCAGTGTGTTGGAGAGTAAATACACAATATTTACAATTTGAGTACGACGTTTCGCTGGTAATACCATCCAGCATCATCGGGCGATTTGTCAGAATAGTGCAGCAAACCACCTGGTTCCTGTCTTAAATAGAACATGTATCTCAAATGAGAGACATCAATAATTACTATTAAAGATTGAATTACAATTTTATAATTATTGAAAGATAACCGTCCGGGTCCCGCGGACCCCCATGTATGAAAACAAATACATCTCGTTAGACGTCAGTCACAAATGTCAGTCACCGACATCAGCAGCGATCAGCAGATTCAGTCAACAGTCTGCCAAATACAACCTAGAGTTTAACGGGCCGTAAACGTTTGAGTTATTGTTATGAATTTTTTTTTCAAAATATTTGCAACCTCTTATCCAACGGCCGTGTAAGGAGTATCATGGGACCTTTTTGCCAGGATCGAAGTATAAAAATAACAAGAATAGGTTTTATCCTTTCTGTTAAGATGTTCAAACACCAAATAGAAACCTTCTGCAAGGAATCAAGTCTGCGTTAACCACAGGTACTTGTGGTGAACACGCAAACAAACATGCTCTAATAATATACGTGTAAAGAGCGTTTCAAATTCTATCACACTATACAATGAAGTGTTTTGGGAAAGGGCCAAAGCTGCCAACCCCCCTCCACCCCCCCGTGTCAAGTTTCTCGCTGCCCGCTGTGGCGGCGGCGGCACCTTCTCTCCCTCCTCCAGGAGCCGCAACACCGTCTGATTGTCGGTCTTCTCCTCGCTCTCTCCTCCGACCGCGTCGCCCTGCATCTCGGCGCCGCCCTCGGAGCCCTCCTCCTCGCTGGGGTCCGGAACGGAGCGCGAGCGCCGCAGGGGCGCCTTCACGATGCCTGCGCAGGCAGCACAGCCGTCGAGTTACGTTAGGGACTGTTGCGACCAGACACCGGGCCAGATCTATCCAAGCTCCATACCTTCCCCCCCACTCCATCACTCACAATAGACTAGTCGGGAAGTGAAAAAAAAAAGTCTTCGGCACAAATTAAACAACCAAGATTCTTCTTCGCCAGGCTAGTAACGCAGCCATTCCACAACAGCTCTGATAGGATTGCAGTGTTGATGAGTTTACTACGGGGTTGAACGTCGAACCAAACCGGCCGTGTTAGCGGTGACGGCAGTGATTATAATCACCGATTATAATCATTATAATCGCCGATGATAATCAGTGTCGTCACCGCTTACACGCGCTGGGGTGTTTTCGCCCGTGCCATCGCGTACATGCATGCGTGCGCGGGCTCGTGGTCATGCAGTGCGTGCATGCGTACCCCTGACGCGTGCGATGGTGTCGTCGCCGCCGCTGCCGCCGTGCTGTTCGCTGTCGGGCGGCGCGCCGTCCACCTCGGCCGCCTCCTCCGGCGCGACGGACTCGAGCGCGCCGCACGCCGAGCGCCGCTTGTAGAACTCCTTGCTGTCGTGGCTCACGGCGCGCCGGTACTTCCCCGGTCGCTGCGGCAGTCGCGGCAATGGCACGCAAGCGGCACGGCAGACGAAGCGCGCGTCAGTCATCGTGGCCATCGCCGCATTTTGCGTTCGCGCCGTTCCCGTAGCACACGGCGGTCACGAAGCGAGGCGCTGCGATGTTTCACAGACACCGTTTCACAGCAGGGGCCGATGTTGCTCTCTGTAATCCCAACTGTAAAGTTTTTAAATTTCACAAATGTACACTATGATGCCGGTGCACAATGGCCTACTCTCATCAAAGGACGTTACGGGTTCTTTCACGTCCACTGTTAAGCAGACATTGCGTAGTGTTTTACGGTCAACGCACCAGCAGTATGATAATTGTTTATTTACCCTTCTATCTGGCAACAAAACTGACACCTTTTTTTTTACAAGGAGTCATGTTTGCATAGACCACAATACCTGCAGCCATAATGCAAACAAAAGACATAATGTGCACTGTCCTTGAAGTTGATTGGTCTACACCCGAGACAGCTTTCCTTAGAGCCTAGTCTCACATGGGTTGGACCAGATGACGCCAAAAGGCGCCTTGATGTCAGTTTTGTTGCCAGATAGAAGGGTAAAAAACCAATTATCATATTTTTTACTGGCAAATGAGGTTCCAATGGTGCACCAGCAGTACCGATCACGATTCGAAGCGTGAACCTCCACAACAAGCGGCGGATTACTCAATTGGAAAACATGTAACAATCATCGCTCCCCTACTGGCAGGCTCGTGCCCACTTGCAGGCCTGTGCCGAGCCACCTTGCACCAAACAGGGGACATAACTGCCGCTGGAGGCGCCGCTTAAAACGTTTGAGATGAGGCGCGATGTAAGGCACTCTCTGTGTTGACGATGCATTTAAACTGGCGCAATATGAACGCAACGTATACTTTAACGGTGACATCACGATGGTCACGATGATGATGGTCATGACAATTAACGCGAGCCTCACGTGCTGACTTGCGGCGGCCGGGGACGACGGCTCCCCGTCGGGCGCGTACGGGTAGTGCACGTAGAACATGTCGTTGCGCAGCATCTTCTTACGCGTCCGGCACGGCCCCTCCGTCATGTCCAGCATCCACTTGTCGAGGTGCGAGCCCACGGGGGGCCCCCAGAGCCCCCGCTCGCGTGTCAGCTCCCCCTCCAGCTGGCTGAACTCCTCCGACACGTAGCGCTGCGCATTCTGCTGGCGCTGAACGCGTACACGGGCGGACACGCGGGGGTTAAATCCAGAAAGGGCGACAGTTCCTACAATGACGGTGATGATGACAATAAAATTGACAGAGTGATGTGTTTATTGGATCACGGGGCGCGGGTGGCATTGCTGCACTTGGCCTTCAACTCAGCTCTATGCAGGCAACGTGGGTTGGTGGATCGCACGCACAAGTCCGTGAACATCCCTCCCTACCCATGGGCATCGGGGTCACCATCTCCTTGTCAAGATGTGATGGCAGTCCGGAAAGTGGATTCATATCTCCTTTGCACGTGTGGATTTTCTCTGTGTACCCCACTCATTAAACATCCCAATATAAGGCCACAGAACTTGGGCAACACTTTGCCCCGTCTCTGGCTGCCTTCTCGCTTGTCTGTGGTTTTTCCCGCAAATGTGCGCGTTACAAATCAGCCTAATTATTAATTATTGTATTTATCTGAATAATAACAACGCTGTTGTCTAGAACAACACCAAGGCTCTGCCCCCGTCTCCCCCTCCCACCCACCCTCCGGCAACAGCGGCGCTCACCTCCACGTGCTGGCGGTGCTGGAAGCTGACGAGGTCACGCACGACCGCCACGTGGGTGAACATCCAGCCCGTGGCGTCCTGCAGAGAGGGCGCCGCGGCGCGGCCGGCGCCGGCCTCCTTGCGGTACTTGCGGCCGCCGGTGAGCACCGAGAGCGCGAAGCCGCTGCTCACGCGGTACAGCTTCGATTGCACGGCCGAGCCCACGGCCGCCTCGCCCCGGCCAATCAGCTTCTTCTCATGGGCTGCAACATCATCATCATTGTTGTCGTCAGTGTCGTGGGGTGGGTGGATGGGTGAGTGGGTGTATGTGTGTTTGGGTGGTTGGTTGGATTGGTGGTTTGTTGGGTGGAATGTTTTTTGGGTGGGTGGGTGGGTGGAGTAACTGAGTGGATGACAGAGTAGTTGCTTCAGTAGCAATATTATCATGATCATTATCAACACCAATATCACCACCATCATCCATCAACCAATACCACCATCACCAACACCATCATCATAACGATTATCACCACATCACCATCACCACCACCACGACGACCACAATGACCACCACCACTGATGAGTGAGGTGGGTGCCTGTGCATGTCTGTGTCCGTGGGCCGCACCAAGGTGTGTCTGCCAGCACTTGGAGGCCGGCTCCTCCAGAATGCTGCGTGCGGCGGTGATGTCGACGCCGCTAGTCTCGCTGTTCGGCAGCGACACGCGAAACCAGTCTTCCACGGCATGGCGCCGGTTCACCATCAGCTCGGCCCACACGCGCCGCACTGCCTTCAGCAACAGCTGCCGCCCTGCCGCACAAGAGCGCAGGACGACAAAGAACCCCCGTGAAGCTCCAGGCTGTTGGGGCAAGTGCCGCGAGAGAGGCGCCCGTTGAGGCCGACACGGCACACGACGGGGTGGGGTGGCAGCCGCCACAACTGGCTGCCTACTCCCCAGTGCTGTTTTGACACTGCCCCAGGTGCTCATTTAAGGCTAAGTCGATCTAGGGCAGTCCCAGGATCGGTGCAAATTATCGTCATCGGTGTTTTGGTGGTCATGAGAAGGAATCGAACTCAGGTCGCTGGGTTCATAGAGCAGCGCGCTAACCACGACGCTACTGCTCCCCGCACACCCTCCCGCACGCACGCACGCAACTGGGTAGTTTTCAGAGGGCTCAAGCACTGGTGCCATACCTTCACTCGTGTCTGGGCCGTGACATCGGTCTGACTCGAGCTCAGGAGCCAGGGTCACGTGCCACGTGGTCATACGACCCTCCGCCTCCAGGCCAAACCCGTCCGGGTGGCTGCAACGCAACAGCACAACAACTCAACAACTCGCCCGCAAGTGACTGTCTCTCATTGTCCCAGAAAACACTGCCATCCGTAGAGCTCTCTCATCATCCTCATTACTGGCCAGGTGGCCTCTGAGTTGTTGTTGGGAGGCAACTGCTTTCCAACAACAATAATGTTAGACTTGTAACGTTATTCGTTCGCTCTCTTTGACAACGAATGACTCAAGAGGCACGAGAAACCACGGACATGCAGGAATAAGACAGCCAGGCTGTTAGCCGGTGCAAACAATTGATAAAGCTCTGTGGTCCTCTATATATTAAGATGTTTTGTGCTTACATGTGGGAGGAAACCGGAGTACCAAATAAAACGCCTGCTGGGGGTGAGATTCACCCACTTTGTTGTACTGCCACCACCTGGCCAGTGAGGGTAGGCATCCCGACACTCATGGGAAAGGGAGTTTAAAAATTGTGTGAGACCCATCAACCCCCGCTGGCTCCATAGTGCTGGGACAGGTGTGCACCAACACCACCCGGTGGCATCTTTTACAAGCCTCCTCCACACAACATCAAAGGCAAAGATCACCTATAGAGCATTTTAACAGATGACCACCTAATGAAGCAGAACACCTATTGAGGTCGGAATAGCACACGAGTGGGTAGGTGGCCAGTACCATGCCCAGCCGCCTTTGTCTCTACAATGCTGATATATATCACATTGCAACAGGTACTCATTCAAGACTACGTTTGACCTAGGTTAGGCCCAGGAACCTGTTCAGATATTCATCACTGATGTTGGCTTTAAGCAGGAGTCAACCTTGGGTCGCAGTGTTTATAGCGCTGTGCGGTAACTACTATACGACCGCTCTTCACAAGCACCCACATATACTTGCACACGCACACACACCAAGAACAACATGACCCAGCCAACGCAGCCCTGCCTGCCAGAGGAGCTCACTGATGGGACTGTGTCCTGATCTTTCAAGGATTTGCGTGCTCCACACGCGTGCACACACGCATGCGCACGCAGAGCTCACCTGCCCGCGTAGAGCTGCATGAGGCAGTAGACGAGGCAGCCCAGGAACTCTGGGTCGGGGTTGTGTGCGCCAAAGATAAGCGCGCGCTGCGTGGTGAGCGTGCGCAGCGCGTCCAGCAGGGAGATCTGCTGCGAGACGGTGCGGTGGGGCCGCGACAGCTGGTAGAGCACGCTGCGGTTCAGGCACTGGTAGAGGATGTCCGCCGACAGGCCCGGGGCCTTGCGCTTGGACTGCGCGAGGGGGGAGCAGCCGATTCGGCAGGGAGGAGGAGACACGGTCCAGTTTGTTTGGCTTGTTGTATTGCATAGAGATAATAATGCGCTTAAATGCAACTCAAAGCGCCTTATCACATCTAAAAATAAGGGAACCACCAGTGGCAGCTCTCCCTGTGTGGCACACATTTCTTCGGACTTCATCGCTGCCTGCCGTTTTTTACCGACGGTCTCTCGCAACCTCTCGAGTCAAGAGCCCTCGGTGTAACACAGCCCAACGCGGTCCGCGCGCTCCAATCCCGACCCGTGGACCCGGGGCGGCCAGGGCGCTCACCTGCGTGATGAGCTGCAGCAGGGAGTCGACCACCTGCTTGGAGTCACGGGCGTACATGCCCTGCCACAGCTTGTCCACCAGCCTCTGCGCCACGTACAGCGTGTTGGCGACCAGCGTCGAGTAGCTCCCGCCGGCCGCCAGCGGGATGGATGCATCCTCGCCTGCACGCGACCGCAACAGGTTAGGAAATGGCCAGTAATTTCTTGCTGAAATAATGATCGTGAGCTTGTTTTTGGTATGGCTGCCGTCCTTTCCGCCGGAGCACTTTACACGCGATAAACAAGTCACATCTCATCTCAACACATGTCAAAGGGCACCCCCAGTGGCAGTGGTTCCTGCGTGACGCAAGGTGACTCAGCGCCTGGCCAGCAAGCACTGGGGCGGTGCTCATCTCCTGTTTATAAACCGGAGCCAGTGGGGGAAATTCCACATTCCTGTTGAATCTATGGTGCATGCATGGCATACCTGTGATCCTGTGGTGAACTGTATGACAAACCATGGCCCTTCTGTGAATCAATGCTGAACGCTGTGGTAAATGTACAAAGTGATGGTAAATTAATCAAATTGTTGGGTACCGATGATAAATCTACGGTGAACCCATGCGCCTGCAAACCACCATCCACACAACACTAGCCACAACCCTAACCATGCCCTAACCCTAACCGACATGGCCAATCAGACCCTAAGCCTGCCACCGCAAACCACACTGGACAAACAATCTCTGCTGTGTGCGGTTGTCTGTGTTTGGAGGTAGTGGCACCGCACCCAGCAACACGTCAGCCGCCAGCAGATGCTCCATGACCCCAACAATGAGGTCAGTCTGGAACTCCTTCTGCTGCGCCTTGGTCGAGCGGTCAGGGGACGCCTGGGTCACGCACACACACACACATTCATGCCGATGTTTACACATCACACCAGCTACTCATTCAAGGCCGAGTGATCTTGGAGAAGGCCCAGGATCGTCAATGTTGTTGGTGATGAGCAGGAATCGAACTCTGGTCGCCAGGTTTGTTACGCACCACGCTAACCGCTACCACTCACAATACGCACAGGCACACATGCAATAGACAACGAGCACACACACACACACGTGTGCCCTCTGACCTCAAGCAACACGTCAAGGGCGAGCGTCTGCTTGGAGGCCGGCAGCAGGCACAGGTTGTCCACCACGATGACGCGCATGAAGTCCAGGACGATCTTGCGAGCCGGGTGGCTCGCCAGCAGGGCCTTTCCGGCCACGCTCACCGACTCCGACTGGCTGCGGTTGAGGCCGCCCCCGTCCGGCCCCACTATCGACTTGTACTCGTCAGCCGGAGAGCCCACGTCCAGGATGTCCTCAAAGTCACTCGACTGCCACCACCACGGAGGAGGAGGGAGGGGCGGGGAGGGTGGAGTACCGCCAGCATCATCAGCAGCATCGGTATCTTGACCGTCATCATCAGTTGTATAATAGTCAAAAGCAGCATTGTCAAAATCATAGTCATCGTCAAGAGCATCACTTTCATTGTCACCAATATAGCATCATTGGCACAATCGTCATCAGCAGTATCCTCAGCAACATCATCATTATGAGTATCACTATAATAACCATCATCATCGTGGTGGCGTTGGTGGTTGTGGTGCTGCCCGAGGGCCTCACCATCTCCGAGACAGGGCGGCTGTGCAGAGGGAAGAGCGTCGCCGCCAGCGCCGAGAGGAAGTCAGGGCTGCTCCACAGCGACGCCATGTCGGCCACGTTGTGGTAGAGGTAGCGGAAGAACTGCAGCAGCGTGACCGGGTACTCCCTGAGCCACGAGCCCTCCTCCTCCGACTGCCATGGCTGCACAGCAATGACAAAGATCCCCCGTATAGCCTTAACAGACTGTTGGGGCAAGTGCTGTTAGTGAGCATCGATGAAGGCCGGCATGGTAGACGAGGGGGTGAGTGGCCAGCACCACCCCCAACTGCCTTCGTCTCCCCAGTGGCGATATTTTTGCACACCACACCAGGTACTCATTTGACGCCAAGTCGACCTAGGGGAGGCACAGGGCCGGTTCAGATATTCGTCACTGGTGTTGGCCGTAAGCGGGAATTGAACTCGGGTTGGTGGGTTCGTAGCGCAGCGCACTAACCATGACACGACAGCTCCCCACGGCTGCACGGCACCATAACACACAAACTCAATCGTTGTGGGAGGGTGGCGCAGTTGGCCTGTGTTACATTCGAGTCTCGGGCGCCATTCTGTGCGGAGTTTATATGTTCTCCAAAAGTGTTCTGTGTGCATTTCCTCCGGTTTCCTTCCATAATACAAAACTTATATGATGTAGCTGGTATTGACCAAACATCCCAAAGCTGAAAAATCACCTGCAAATTACTCAATTGGGATGACACAGCAGCAACATTGCCCCCTACTGCTGAAACTTAGCAGGACCCTCCCAAATAAGAGTTTCCAAAGTCAGTGAGGATTTGCTGGGTAAACAGGCAGTACAAACAACAACAACGTGTTATTTATATATGGCGTTATTCATGCAAACTGTGTCTCAAACTGCTGTAGAATTCGTGAGGAGGAGCTGTACCTGGTTCAGCATACTGCGCAACATGGACAGCAGGAGAATAGCAGCCTCAGGGCAGATGCCATTGATGGGCGCCACTGCTGCCAGTCCGGAGGAATCGCTCACGGGGACCCCGAAGATGAACGTCCAGATCGAGTCCAGGTCAAACTAAACCAACAAGACACGTACATGCGCCAACATCATCATCATCATCGTCGTCACCAACCCAAACTCACCAATAACACACACACACACATGCACCCACATGTGCACAATAAACTCATGCTAACACACAAGGGCACGTACACAGAGACATAATATAACCATCACAATGAATTTAATTCTGAATTTAATCAGGCCAATTTCAAGCTCTGAGAATGAAAATGTCGATTTGACCATCATGCGAAAAGCCGCACTCTCGTACGCAGAGTGGGTGGGAAAGCGTTGCCCTCCACTGTGAGGACCAGAGGGATCTCAGAGGTAGTTATGTGATATTACCTTCCGTGGACCACACTGCACGAGATCTGAGGCAATTCTTCATCTCGTGACTTCCCAAGGTGGGTGGTCACAGATAAAAATATATTTTCAAATAGGGCCCCTATATTAACAATAATGAAAAAAAAACATTTAACATATTTTCTCTGGACAATATCATCGTGCCCCCTTCCCCTTGGATCCGCCAGAGTGCCACACGACACCGGGAGCGTTGTACGGCGGTCAAACCGGGGAAAATCCGCACGAGAAAAACAAAGCCCAGGGGGGGTGGGGTAGCACCTTGAGGTCGCCGGGAAGGCGGGCGATGGGCTGCTGCAGCAGCAGCGCCATGAGCAGGAAGTAGAGCTGTGGCACGGCGGTGTGGCGCGGCAGGAAGGCCTGCAGCACGGCGAAACCCGGCACGTGGCACGCCTCGCGGTTGATCTCGCGCACGCTCGAGCGCCCGCCACTGCGGCCTACATTGATGCCTGCCGGCCGGCCGGGGAAATGGGCGGGTGGAGGAAAAGCATGGAGAGATGGAGGGGTCACGGCACACGCTGGACAAGAGGCGATCGCAAATCTGTGTGGTGGCTCGCGAAGCCTCTTCATTACCCTCAACAATAGCCCTACATCTCACATCATCCTCTTCACCCACCCCTAACACACACACCCCACCTCCAGCCCGAAGGTGGCTCGGCAGTAAAGCGAGCGACTCGCAATCGGAAAGTTGGGAATTTAATCCTGGTTGGGGGGTTGACTCAGCCCATCATCACTCCAGGATCCATAAAACAGATGCCACTTTGTGGGGAAGTTATCAGTGTTTGCCCAATGGAGAGATCACCCCCGCCAAAGTAATGTGGAAGTTCCAGGGCTGTAAACAGGCGAAGGGCATCAATGACTCAATGCTCACTGGGCAGGAGATCGCCACTTCACCGACTTTTTCTAGCCCCCCCAGCCTTACCATTGCCCCAGCACCGTCCGGACATACCCAGCACGGAACCGATCTTGTTGGTGAGCACAGGCTCAGTGTGGTCGAGCCAGCCGCCCCCCGGGGCACCCTCGCGGAAGCGCGCCAGCACCGAGGGGTGGGACAGCAGCGCGAGCAGCACGCGCATGCTGGCGAGCACCGTGCTGGGGTGCAGGTGGCCCTGCGTGAAGAGCAGCAGCCAGTCGAAGCCCAGCGTCCTGATCACGTCCTCGCACGCCCTGCAGCGCCAACGCCACACGCGCACAAACACAGAGATTCCCCCACGAAACCTTTCAGACTTTTGAGAAAGTGCTGATTGCAAGGACCTATTGAGGCCGGCATGGCACCTAAGGGGGTGGTGTGGCCAGCACCACATCTGGTCGACTTTGTCTCCCCAATGCCGTGGTTTAGGCCTAAACACCGTGCCAGGTACTAATATAAGGATGAGGCAACCAGGGGAAGGTTCAGGACCGGATGTTGGCTGTGAGTGGGAATCAAACTCGACGAGTCTGTCGAGCAGCACGCTCACCACTGTGCTACTCACACGAACAAAGACAAAGATCACCCGTATAACCTTAACAGACTGTTGGGGCAAGTGCTGTTAGCGAGGCTCGCACAGCACACGAGGGGGTGGGTGGCCAGCACCATGCCCGGCCGCCTTCGTCTCCCCAGTGGCGATGTTTACAGATCGCACCAGGTACTCATTTGAGGCTGAGTCGACCTAGCGGAGGTCCAGGACCGGTACAAATAATCGTCACTGGTGTTGGCCGTAAGCGGGAATCAAACTCGGGCTGCCCAGTTCGTAGCGCAGCGCGCTAACCGTGTTAAGGGTTAGGTATCAGTAATTGGTCAGATATGGTGAGTGTTAAGGCGAGGGCTGGCAATGGGATCAAAGGTATGGTGGTTAGGGTTACAGTTGAGGTCGGTTGGCGAAGGGATTTGTGTGAAACTTAGAGCTAGGGCTATGGTAGGGGTTACGGAAATGGTTATGGCTAGGATTTATGGTTGGGATTTGGTTAAGGTTGGAGATAGGCGATAGGGTTAGGTATGGTGATGATGTTAGGGCCTGGGTTATGGGCTAGGGTTAGAGGTAGGTGTGAGGGTTAAAGTAAGGATAAGAGTTGAATCTCGGGTTATGGCTATGCTTAGGGTTAGCACTCGCGTTGGGGCTATGTGTAAAGGTTATAGCCAGGGATATGATTGTCCTGGGGCTGGGAGCCAGGGTTAGGGTTGGAGCCAGGGTTCAGGTTGGAGCCATGCTTAGGGTTGGGAGCCAGGGTTCAGGTTGGAGCCATGCTTAGGGTTGGGAGCCAGGGTTCAGGTTGGAGCCATGCTTAGGGCTGGGAGCCATGCTTCGGGTTGGGAGCCAGGGTTCAAGTTGGAGCCATGCTTAGGGTTGGGAGCCAGGGTTAGGGTTGGAGCCAGGGTTCAGGTTGGAGCCATGCTTAGGGTTGGGAGCCAGGGTTCAGGTTAGAGCCATGCTTAGGGTTGGGAGCCAGGGTTAGGGTTGGAGCCAGGGTTCAGGTTAGAGCCATGCTTAGGGTTGGGAGCCAGGGTTAGGGTTGGAGCCAGGGTTCAGGTTGGAGCCATGCTTAGGGCTGGGAGCCATGCTTCGGGTTGGGAACCAGGGTTCAGGTTGGAGCCATGCTTAGGGCTGGGAGCCATGCTTCGGGTTGGGAGCCAGGGTTCAGGTTGGAGCCATGCTTAGGGTTGGGAGCCAGGGTTTGCCGCGGGCAAGTGCGCTCACGTGAGGCTGACTGCGCTCTTGTCGCGGGCACCGTGCGTCAGCAGCGCGAGGAGCGTCTCCAGCAGCTGGTTCCTGAGCCACACAGTGCGTGCCCCCCCCTGACCCGCCACCTCTTCCTCCCAGCCTGCAAGCGCCGCACACGCCACAACCACGCGCACGTCGTAAGCCACAACCAAACACGCATCACACCACAACCGCACACCACAATCCCACTCCTGTTGATGTCAGCAAAGTCCTGCTGCTGCAGTTACCACAGTTCTATTACTGCTATTAACACAATCCCACTGCCATGGTTGTTACCACAATCCCACTGCTGTTGTTGTTACCAAAGTCCTGCTGTTGTTGCTGCTGCTGCTCGTCCCTGTCGGGGCATAGCGCCTTCTCGCTGAGCAGGTGTGGGGGCAGCGTGGCGGCGAGGAAGTGACCGAAGCGCAGCAGGTCGCCGGGCGAGGGGAAGGCCTGCAGCAGGAGGCGCAGCACGCTGGCCACGGCGCCCACGGAGGCGCGTGACAGCGAAGCGTCGCGCAGCGTCAGCAGCAGCCGCGGAACGAGCCCAAATTCACGCATGAGCCGAGCGTTACGGGTCGCCTCACTGTGGGGGGCAGACGGGGGGGGGTGGGGGGGGAGGGAAGTGAGTGGTCCGAGTGTGAGGGGTAGGGGGAGTATCCTGGTACGTGTCTCTGTGTGGAAGCGAGATCGAGCGACCTTGGCAGGTAACGGTGGGCGCGGATGCACCTTGACCTTTGGGGTTTGGCAAGAGGTGGGCAGTTTAGACGTTGGGCATGGTACAGTACAATGGATGTTGCTGCGTGGCCCTCTGCTGCCCACCATGCATGCCCACAGCATCCTCTAGCACCTGCTCTAAACAGTGGTCGGTGACCACTCGGAACCTGGAGAGTGCTTGGATGGGCGACCACTATCCAGGTTCAACCCCACTTAGCGTCCGGGATCTGATGAGATGGTTACCGTTGCCATGAACTTCGCTCATTGATTCCTCCTGTCATGTTGAAGTCTACCAGACACTGACAATTTTGTCTCATCAACACTCACTCACCACACTGCAGGTCACAGCACTCACCTACTTACTCACTCACTCATCCACTCACTCACCACGCTACAGGTCACAGCACTCATCCACTTACTCTCTCACTCACTCATCCACTCACTCACCACACTGCAGGTCACAACACTCACCCACTTACTCTCTCACTCATCCACTCACTCACCACACTGCAAGTCACAACAAGTCTCTTTCTGCGTCTTCGCTCACACTGCTCCACTTTTGGAATCCCCTCCCATCGCCTTATTCCACAAGATTTTTTAATAATAACCTCGCTCAATGCAAGATACAAGTTAACTCGTATATATTACAACTCTAATATTGCTGTTTGTTGCTGACCATCTGACTTTTTAGGCCTTTTGACATATGATCAGCCATTGAGTTAAAATTAATATATATACCGGGTGATTTAGCCGAAGGCCACACAGATGCTGCATGAATGTAATCTGTTGCTGTGGCTGTTGTTGTTGTTGTGTTCACCTGGACTCAGTAAGCAGCTCCACAAAGTGCTCCAGCAGAGACAGGTGGAGCTCGTAGGGTGCATGGAGCCAGACCTGTGGTGAAACAGCGACGCACATCGCTCGCAAAACAGGACGAACACGGACCCTTCAACTAAAACCAAACTCTCAACGGTCGAGGTCAGGAGGTCATCACTCCAATGGCGTTAGTCCCCTTCCTTCTGCTAGATGCCACAGCTGCTGCAAAGGTGGCACTCCACCTTCAAGGACTACACGGCCCAGTGGTAGCGCGGTCGCTGTTTGTTGCAGAGGTGCGTGGGTCGAATCTGCAGACCACTCTGGTTAATACTGCGGATGTAATAAGTGGAATAATCCGCACCGTATGCTTCACAATCGATGTTAAAGAACCCTTGACGTCATTCACAAGCGTAGAAACCAAATTTGGCAAATTAGAAAACTACCCACAAATTACTCAATTGGAATAATAGGGTTTTCCTCTTTTTTCTGACAACAAAACTGAAACCTTTTTACGAGGAATCATGTCTGCATTACCCACAATACTTGTGGTCAAACAAAAACACTGATAATATATGTTTTGTCCTTGAAACTGTTGGTCCACACCAGAGACGGCTTTCTTTTGAGCCTCGTCTCAATTCGTGCTAGACCAGAGGACGCCAAAAGGCGCACAGCTCAAAGACAATGCACTATCAAAGTAATGAGGGCTCGGGGTAAGCATCTAGATCTGGTGTGGACCAATCAGTTTCAAGGACAATGCATTAATTATCAGTGTGTTTTTTGTTTGCATTTTGACCACAAGTATTGTGGGTAATGCAGACATAATTCCTTGTAAAAAGGTTTCAGTTTTCTTGCCAGAAAAAAGGGGAAAAACCATATTATTATATTTTGGTACTGGCAAAGGAGGTCCAATGATACTCACTTGGAATCATACATTCCAATCATCGCCCCCTCCGACTGGCAGATGAATTATTAGGATGGGGGGGTTTAGGAGGGAGGGAGGGAGGGAGGGGGGGCAGCACCTCGAGGTCGCAAAGCAGGTCCTGGAAGCCAGCGGGGTTGGGGATGAGGCTCGTCTCTCGCCCGCTGTCCAGCGTGCCGACCAGCGAGAAGGTCAGGTGCAGGATGTGGCTGTTGAGCAGCGAGCGCTTCCTCTTGAGCAGCATGGCGAGCAGCTGGTGGCGGCCATGATGACGGTTCGCGGGCAGGGCGGGGGGAACAGGGAGAGAGCCACTCCTTTGGTAACCAGCGTCGGGCAGCAGTCGGTCGAGGCTTTTGTTGTTGTGGGGGTGTGCTCACCTGGTAGCCGCGAATGCGCTCCATCTCCTTGCAGGCGAGTGGGTTGCTTTTGACGACGCACACCAGGGCCTTGACGGCCGCGTACAGGCCTTCCACGTCCGCCGCCATGGCAACCAGGCCCAGGATGGCCGCTGCGCCGCCCACGTACTGCAAGGTGCTGGCGAGCTGGCGCGGCACAAACGTGCGCACGCCTGCAGCGACCAACGAGCCACAACCACAACCGCCACAATCACCGTGAAGTGGATTACTCACAAAAACCAAAATGACCATTGCAATCACCGTTAATTGGATTATTCACAACAGCCAGCTGAGAACACAGGCATCTTCAACCAATTGTACAGCGATTTCCTGCTCAAACAAACATTGAAATTGCTTTGACTCTAAATATATAAATGGACAAAACAAGAATCTTGGTCCACGTGGCTTAGCGGCGTCCAGACAGGGCACACATTCCCCGCGGACCCCACGGCCCCCGTGGCGTGGCTCACCGAGGTAGCCGAGGAGGGCGGCTCCGATGGTGCGTGCCGGCCCGGTGAGGTGGCACGCTGTGTTGAAGAGCAGCCGAATCGGGGTAGCGTTCTCGTGGGACAGCAGGCCGAGCTGCGGACACGCGGCGTTGTTATTCGAAAAGAGTCGATCAATTTGTCCTGGCGTCATGGTCCAAATTTGCCAAATGAAAAAAAAAGTGAATTACGCAATAGGGATTACACATCACAACATTGCCCTCTAATGTGAAACTACTGCAGACTGTCTGACGCACAGCGCCTTCATGATAGCCTTGCACCATAAGAATGGCGTGAATACCCAATGCATATCATTATTATGATTACAGGTGGCAGTGGGGGTCTGCGTGCGGCAGTGCGGGTGACGGGCGGCAGTGGCGGTGACAGTGGCGGGTGACAGACGGACCTGTTTGGCGATGGCCTTGCTGTCGGCGCGGTTGTAGACCTTGCGGATGCGCGCGACGGTCAGTGAGGACTCGGACAGCGCGTTGAGGCCCAGAGAGACCCTCTCCTCGACCACCAGGGGCCCAAGGCTGCCCTCGGCCTTGGGGTCTTTGGGGTCTGTATGCGTCACCACCAAGCAAGGAGACGTGTGCGTTAATGCGCATGTGTGATCAGGTGTTACAGCAAGGGCTGGAATAACATTTAAAATAAATTATTTGTGATGGTTAATATCTAATTGCAATCTGATTGGTTGTTTCTGTTAGGTCATGACACCTATTTAAGATGCGGAGTCAGGTGCTGCGGTTGTTGCAACTCCCTGGATTCTATCATGACAATGCTTGGCACAGTTTAAGGGAACCATCGCCTATCTAATCGCGACATGCGATTGTGGGAATTGCTCTCCTCCCGGTGTGTGAGCTGAAACAATATTAACTGCCGCATTAAGGCTTGCACACCACGTGACAGCTTAAATATGGCCAGATCATTATGTGGTCTCACCCAACATTCAATTATGCATCGTAACATTGGCTGTAAAAACTTCCGTCTTAATTTAACACAAGATGTCTGGTGAGAGCCAGGGAATTTCAAAGCTACAATGGCTCCGTTCCTCGGGCTAATTAAAGCGGGCTTCGGAAGCGAAATGACAAAATAACTCATGCTCACTCGAGGCTCCCACGGCCTGGAAACTGCCCACGTAGCTCGAGCCCAGCTCAAATATGGTGGCCACAGCTGCCGGGGTCACGACCTCCTCCAGCAGGTATGTGGGGCCAAGGCGCCACACGAGGTGCGGTGCGCCCAGGAGCCGGGGCCCGGCGTCGCGCTGCGAGGGCACCGTGCCGATGAAGCCAAACACCGACAGGCCGGCCGGCGGGTTTGCCGAGCCACCCGGGAAGGAGCGCACGTAGTGAAGCTGCGGGGGCGACACGCACCAAAGGAGCACGGGCATAGAGTACAACGTCGCATGAGAGACCGCGGTGTCATTGTGTGTTCCTAAAGACGACCACAAAGCTGAAGGTCGCCCTGATTAGTTCCTGCTGGTGTATAACTATAAAACACTACATGCTGTCTGCTTTACAGTAGACGTTAAATATCCCTTGATATAATTCGAAATGAGTAAATGGTATTGTGTGCTGGCGTCTTCGAACATTAGCTGCAATGCAATGCAATCGAGAACACACACAGCAACAATCATCGCCCCCTACTGACAGACTCATGCACACTTGCAGGCGGGGTGCTGAAGAATCACCTTTTGCCGCACAATGACAGACACCACTGGGGGAGCCCCTCAATAACCCAGCAGGCGTGTGTCCGGCGACTGCATAATTAGGGTTGCCAGCAGCGACACACGACTGACTGGTGCCACGCGATGAGATGCTGAGGGAGGTGGGGGGGGGGGGCGGCACCTTGGCGGAGCCGGCAGTTTGCCCGTTGAGGTAGAGCGTGGCGGTGCTGTTCTTGAGCACTCCGCGACCCAGGGTGAGCACCAGGTGGTGCCACACGCCCTCCTGCGCCAGCTCGGCCACGCGGAAGCGAGCGAGCGATGGCAGAATCTCATACGAGGAGCTCTCCTCCGCCGGGTCCTCCACTGGACGGACAAAGACAAAGGTACTTGTGTAACCATTCAGGTTAAACCAATTGAGGGCTTAAGAGACCTGGATACCTGGATAGGTCCCGGGTTCAATTCCTGACTGGTGCCTTTCTGTATGGAGTTTGTATGTTCTCCCCCTCTTCTGCATGGGTTTCCTCTGGATTCTCCGATTTCCTCTCATAGCAAGAACAACCATACAATGCAACCGGTATTGGTCAAATATCCCAACGCCGAAACATCACCTACAAATCACTCAATTGGAATCATGCGCAGCAGCAACCTCGCCCCCCTTTCTCCCTTTTAGAAAACTTGTCAGAACCCTCGAGAAAAAGTTCCTTGAGCCTGGGCGAGCCCCTCCTGGGTAAAAGGAGCGCGAGAGCATTGGCGGCGAGGAAGGGCGGCAGCGGCGGCCTCACCCAGGCCGTGGAGCGGCTCCTCTCGCGTGGACACGACGAGCGAGCGGTCGCGCGCCGACAGCGTCACGGTGAGGCACACGTGCTGCAGCTCCGCGCCGACGCCGCGGCGCACCAGCGTGAGGAGGCGCACCGGGTGGGGAGGCCGGCCCGGCGGGGAGAACCGCTCCACGCAGAACCACGCCGAGAAGGAGAGGCCCGACGCTGGCGGGAAGAGGCGCTCGCCTGCACGTGGGGTGCACGGGGCAGGGGGAGGGGGGTGGGGTGGGGCGGGGATGGCGGGGGTGGCGGGCACAGCGGGCGGAGGAGCGAGTCTGTCACAATGCAGAAACAGTGAGGCATTGTTGCCAGATCGGGAAGTCACTTCAACTGGACCACGTATATTTGTCCATTTCAAGCCAGTGTTGACGGTGACAGTGTTCGGTCTATTTATTGATTTATGCTGTGGGAGGGGGTCCCGTCCGGGCCTTGCCTGTGCCGATGCCGCTGGTGACGGCACTGTCCCCGGTGCCCCCCGAGCCCCCCGCTGAGCCCGGCTGAGCGTTCTGTGGCGCCAAGCTGGGCAGGAACAGGCAGCTGAGCACACAGGAGCCAGGCAGGGAGGGGGCGGAGAGACACAGAGGTGGCGTGAAGTCTCGCCCGAGTGTGCGAGTCGGAAAAGAACGGTTTGACTTCGTGTCATTACAGTTTCACGTGTTTGTTTGGTTCTTGTAATATCTTTAGTTACAATTTACATCTTCAATTACCTGATTGTATCTCGAATTTACATTGATGATAATTAAAGACTCCTCAAATTAACACAAAGGTTTTTGCAGCCACTATTACGAATCATAATTGGGTTAAGCCAAGTAATGATCTGGCCAAATTTACTGGCGGAGCCAGTGGGGGGGTGGGGTGGCACGTGCCCCATCAATGATCCGATTTAAATCCCTAACTTCGATCGGATCATTGGGGTTCATTAGTAATAAATCGGCATTTTGCGACCCCCACTGCCACTGTGTAGCATATTATTATGTGCCAGGGACTCTATGAGATGATAGGACAATAGTCTGAGTCCATAATTGGCAATAAGTAACGGCAAAGCAGTTATAAGCGACTCAGAATTGTGCGCAGTTGCGTATACAGTACACGACTTGCCTGAAGACATTCACCTTCAGCGAGCGCGATGCCGATCACACACGGTTCGAATTCGACCCTCGATCGATGGCTACGCCATCGCCACACACACGTCGAATAAAAAGCAAGGGACAAGTCCTTAATTACTAACTCCTATAATTTTTCATTGCTGGAGGGGTTGCCCCCCCACCTGAAAATCCTGGCGCCGGCATTGGCCAAATTTGTGTGGCCAAGACCCTCCACAAGCCGACAGCCAAATAAATGACATCTGTCATGCGTACAAGCGTTTAACGTGCCAATCGTTATTGGTGAGCCACACCGGTGAGTTGTAGAACAATTCTCACAAATATGGTAGTCATATACGCGACGTTTTGCTTGACAATGCACCAAGCAACTTCAGGACAATCCAGGAAGCCAAAATAAAATCCGGGAAGTGAGAAAACACGTCCTATCTAATCGCTAAAGTTAGCTGTGAGATTTGTTCTTCAACTCAGCAGTGTGAGACAAACCAATGATGATTGGCACGTTAAGCACTCGCGCACGTGATAATTGTACCTTATTCGGCAATGTTTGGTGATTTCACTACAAATATTTAGCGCTGCCGCCGGGCTGTGTCACCGCCGCTCGCTGTTTCTGCCTCCCTGATAACTCACGTACCCGAAGCCTTCGGGGGCCATGTCGAACTCGACGAAGGGCGGCGTGCTGCCGCTTCCGCTGCTGCGCACATCGCGCGGCGTCGTCATGGAGACGAGGCACTTGACGCGCGTCAGCGGCACGGTCACAGAGTCCAGCGGCCGCAGCAGCAGCAGCCCCCGGTGCCAGCGCTGCAACTGCAGCTGCTGCTGCTGCTGCGGAGATTCGGAGCCCGGAACCCCGTTGGGGCACTCGGCAATGTCTCCCAAGATGCCTAAGGGGCCGGGGCGGTTAGGGTTAGGTTCGGGGAGAGTGGGGAGCAGAATGGGGAATGGGTGGGGTAGTAAAGAAGAAAGGAGGTCTACTGGATGTGGCGTGCCAGGTCCAGAAATATATGAAGGTCACCACGCCGGTGACTGAGGCACCGCTTTGCGGGAAGCTCGTGAGGATTCGTGAGCGTGGAGGGGCGGCGCGGTGACTCACGGGCCGCGACGCCGTCGCTGTCGGAGGAGGAGGAGCTGGAGTTGAGGCGGTGGAGCCGGTACACGGTGGCCGCTCTGCTGTCCCACACCAGGCAGCTCAGCGGGTTCCCCAGCCGCAGGAACTCTCTGGTTTAGCGGCCAACGACGGTCACGAAAATACACGAGAACACGACAACAATGTGCCCGTCACTCCGCTCGTACTCAACCTTCCTGATTTAAGATCTCGTCAGGCTGAGAGGTGATGAACGAGAAAGCGAGGCAGAAGTGGCTATCTCCTCCTGCACCGGCGGAGGATTAAGAAGAGCTCGCAACGTGACAGTGGTTACCTGGCTCAAACACTGCTGCCGACATCCATCATACAAGTCCATCAGTCTCTGTGTGTGTCTATGGACCTCTATGGTAGTCTCTTGGATCTCTATGTCTACCTATAAATCTCCATGTGAGTCTCGATCTCAAATTATAGACCACATAGTAAAGCCACTGCCCATGTCTATCACTCGTGGGCAGCGCTTGAGATAAACACCAGGCTACTCCTTAAGGCGTAAACTGGGTCACTCATCCAACGTCTAGATGAACGTATTAACACTGCTGTTCAAACTCGCCGCCATACGAACAATGAGGAATATCGTGGAAGCACCAGGGGCAGAGACCGGGAGGTGAGTCGAGTGAAAGAGGTGCTTTGGAGAGGTGAGTAGCCAGGGCATAAAGGGCTGCGGAGTAGATGTTGAGACGATGGCCCAAGACAGGAGTGAGCGGATGGATAGGAAGGCAAACCCCTGCCAGGAAGAAGGCAGATGCCAGCGTAGAAGAGGGGCGCCAGTGTCTGGGAGAAGCAGCCCCGTGTGGGAGTCTCACCGTAGCTCGGCAGGCTCGATGGCCTGCGACGCGAGCCGCTCAAAGAGCCGCTGGAGCGGCGCGTGCAGCGGGTGAGCCTCATCGGCGAGAGCCGGGCCGCAGCGTCGCACCAGCGCGCCCTGCAGCCCCGCGCGACACAACACCTGCTGCGCCGCATCGCCCGGCGACAGCAGCTGCAGCAGCCCAGCCAGACGCAGCTGCAGCTCCAGCGCCTGCTGGCTCACGGGTGGTGGGGAGAGAGAGCGCCGCACGGAGCACGCGTCACTCCCCGGCGTCGACGCGGCGAGCCGGCACCGCAGCGAGACCGCGGGTTCGAGGGCCGTGTGGACATTTGCAACATTCACGACCTCAATAACCCCTGGGCAGATCGTGAAGCAGATGACCGTGACCTTATCCCCCATCCATCAGTGTCAGTCTGGTTTCTAGGCAGCTGATGAGGAAGTGGCCTGAAGCCCAGATTAGAACCAAGGATCTCAGCAGTGCCGACTCAACATGTCTGAACTCTGCGATTACACCGAGTTCTATAAATCATGTGCAAATGTACTCAGGAACGCCTCCTCTGAGTCTCATGGCTCAGGAAGGTCCCGCTACATTGGGATGTTTGGCACTGCGGGGAGTAGCGACAGCGGGCAAAGTGGTGAGGAAGGTGATGGGGGCGAGGAGGTTAGAACGGCGTGAGGAGAGGAACGGAGAAGAGTGAGGGGGTGAAGAGGGGGAGGGTGTGAGATGGGTGAGGTTAGGAGAGTGAGGGTATGAGGAGTGTGAAGGAGCTGAGGATGAGGGGGTAAGGGTGTGAGGAGGTGATGGTGGAGGGCGAGCGGTCCGTATTGTTGTCACCTGGGGCTGCTCCTCGTATGGAATGGAGGGCAGTAGGTCCACCATGGCCAGCACAGCTCCCGGGTGGACAACTTGAATGTCCGTGGAGGACGTGTTCATGGTGGACCTGTGGATAAGGCAGCCCAACAGTCACTCACCACGTGAGGGTGTGCACTGGCCTGGGTGTGGCATTAGTCTGCCAGTAGACTGAGTAATTCTAGATAAATTAATAATTTCTTGGATTTAGCAATTTGTACCACGACGGTGGTATACAATTGCCTCCATGATTCAAATGATGTCAAGGAATCTTTAAAATCCACTGCAAGTGAAGTATTTTGTTAACATTCAGGGTGGCCTGCTGGATTTGAATCGTGAACCTCTGCTACTGCAGGGCCACGGGCCCACCCCATTCTTGTTAAGTATTCACGGCAGCAGCGATAGAGGAGTAATGAGGAAGTGACTGACTGCCGGCAAGTGGGTCACTACACCACGAGGCTACAATGATTACACCCACAAGACGATAACCGCCGCACAGCATACCCAGCTGATCAAATAAAGAATGAATCAGCGGTTTAAATAACATCCATTTCACATATGGGAAGATTGCTGCAATGTTACATGCGTGTCCATGGCCGTAATAAAGTCGTTATTGAGTTGTTTATCGTTGCAGCTTCAACGATTTAGCCGCTGATTCATCCGCACATTTAAAGGAGGTAGTTTAACATGAAGGTTTTCTTAGTGGATAATATGATTAATAGCAAATTTCTGGGTTAGGCCATGCAGTGATCGAGCCAAAATCTTGTTGCAAAACCCTCAATCACCCAACACAGCCAAACAAACTGTCACACGTACACCTGGCAATTATTATCGTTTCAGCTCCTTACCGGTGGGTTGAAAAACAACCAAGTTTAGCAATTCAAAACAATCATTAAATACAATCACATGTATCAGTAACAGGGGGTGTGTTCCGGTTCCACATCACTCACCCATCAAACGAGTCCGTGGCCATGTGGTAGAGATACACAAACAGCCTGCCGCAGTGCTTGAGCGACGGAGACACGCGCTCCCCCGACCCACAGCCAGTGCCGCCTTCCGGCAGCAGCAAGGCATCGTGGGAGGAGAACGGCAGTGTGGGGCCTGCGGCATCGGGCTGGGGCAGCGCGTCGTGGGAACAGCCGGAGAGGGCGGCTGTCGCCCCCGCCAGCTGCCGCCCCCCCGTGAAGCAACCCAGCAGCCTCAGCGCCTCGGCCAGCTTGTCGTACTGCACCTCTCGAGCGAAGAAGCGCGCGTTGGCCGGCTCCGAGTGCATGGCGGCCGTGAGCGTGCGGAACGTGGCCCTGAGCAGGCCGAACACCTCCCCCTCGTCGGCCTGCTCCCAGCAAGCACCGGGGCTAGCGTTCAGCGAGTTCTCCATGGCGACGAGCAGCGAGGTGACATAGACGAAGCCGCCCACCTTGCGGAAGACGGTGCGCGCGCGATGACTTCCGGTGAGCACCTCCACGAGGGCCTGCGCGGGGGCAGGGTGCAAGCGGCCAATCGGCAGCGCCGGGTGGTGAGCGGAGGGCAAGGCACAGGGGTGTGGTGTACGCTCAGCTGGGAGCGGTGCTAGCGGTAACATGTCTGTCATTTCCTCTTTTTTAACTCTCCCCCTTTGCTCTCCAGCTCCTGCTCGTCCTCCAATGTTATTCTACTCACCCTCTCCCTCTCTCTCCCCGTGCGTGTGTGCGTGCGTGTGTGCGTGCGCTCACGGCGAGGATGTCAGACTTGAGCGTGATCTCACTGGGCCCGGCCGTGTGCATGAACCCAAGCAGCGTGCCCATATCATCGTCGCCGCACGCCGACAGCACGAGCTGCTGCACCACGCGCAGCGCCAGCGCCCGGCACTCGGCGTAGCGTACGATGTTGTGCACGCAGCGCGCTCCACCCAGCTCGCGGAACGCTCCTGCAGCACGACACGCACAAACACAAACATCCCCCCTCTGTAGCCTACACAGACTGTCGGGGCAAGTTGCTCTTGGTGAGCACATTACATGCGGCATGGCACACAAGGGGGTGGTGTGGCCAGGCCCGTGCCCGGCCGCCCTTGCCTCCCAGTGCTGATGCTTACACGCCGCACCAGGCACTCAGTTTAAGGCTGTTGGCTGGGAGAAGGAATCGAAATAGGGTCACTGGTTTTGTAGCACAGTGCGCTTACCACTGCAAGACCGCTCTCCATAAACACAATTGAAAAAAAGATCCCCCGTATAGCCTTAACAACTGTAGGGGCAAGCGCCGTTAGCGAGCACCTATAAAGGCAGGCATGGCAAACGAGCGGGTGGATGGCCAACACCACGTCCGGCCGCCTTTGTCTCCCTAGTGGCGATGTTTACACATCGCACCAGGTACTCATTTGAGGCTGAGTCGACCTAGGAGAGGCCCAGGATCAGTTCAGATAATCATCACCGGTATTGGCCGTGAGCGGGAATCGAACCCGGGTCGCCAGGTTCGTAGCGCAGAGCGCTAACCGCTACACTACCGTTCCCCACAAAAAACACGCACGTACACACACACACACGACGTTGTGTACATAGCGCATGCCGCTCAGCTCACGTAACGGATCAGCAACACGTCACGCAAAATAAACACAAGCAACAAACATGAGCACGTAAACAATAAAAACATTCACATGAACAAGGTGATGCCAAGTACCCAGCACACTCTGCCAAGCTCACAGAAGATGACAAGAACAACACTGGGCACCACCTTCCACAACCGCCACTATCACCTGCGTTGTTGTTGGAGTCATGCAGCAGTTCTGTCAGCGTGTCCATAACGAGCCACGCCAGCTCCCTTTGATCCTCCGAAGCGGCAGTGGCAGTACCAGCGGCTGTTCCATCATAACCACCACCACTACCACCGACGCCGCCGGGGGCTTGCTGCGAGGGATCCTTGAGCAGTGCGGCGTAGCGGTGCAGGCAGGTGACCAGCGCCTCCAGGATTCCGACATCGCGAAATACCTCGCGGAAAGTCTCGGGGTGTCGCGCCAGCAGCCGTGCCAGCGAGCGCACGGCCGCCACGCTGCAGCCCAGCGACTCGCCGGCCTTCAGCAGGATGCTGACGCCGATGAGCTCTTTGCAGGGCACGTAGTCCAAGGTGAAGACCACGGACTCGAGCAGCTGGAAGAAGCGCTCTTGTACGCGTGCCGGCTTCGCATGCAGCCGCTCCACGAACTGCGGCAGCGGCCGCTGGGACTCGAGGATGAAGAAGTTGGCCGGGTCGGAGGTGAAGAGGTTGGATGTCGCGTCTAGGATGGTGCCGCACAGGTGGGTCGTGTGGGCCTTGATGAAGGCCGACTGCAGCACGCCGAACGCCTGTAGGTTGCGCACGCTCATGCCTGCCAGGGCGATGCCGGGTGGGGCGGGGTGACAGTGTGCTTATTAAACGGGAACGTGGAGATTTGTGCCTTTCTGAGTTATGGTTACGTGCTGTTGAAGAGTAATGCCGGCGACTGAGAGAGGTATTAATTTGCAATAATGTGAAAATTCAGGGGAACAGGAGAACACGTTCAGGATGAAAATTAATAGAAAGGTCTGGATGAGTGGGAGAGTGGGCGAGTGATTGGGTTAGTGAGTGAGTGGGAGCGTGCATATAAATAACAACACACAAAGGTGTGCTCCCAAACAGCAGCAAGCCACAACTCCCATAATGCCTTGAATGCATGTTATGTGATCACTGCATTATAAGTAGAAAGCTCTCAGCCTTATCCAGACCACCAATTCAGGTGATGGATGTGTGGCCGTATTTTCGTTAAGACAACCGGACTCAGCGTTGGGATGAATGCCTGATTAATAATTATAATTAAAATGTATAATGCGCATTCTATGCTCGGATCCCAATGCGCAATGTATGAATAGCAAGAAACAAAAATAAACTAGTGCAACTGACCAAACGAAAGAGGGAAGGCCAGTTTAGAGATGGGTTTTCAAAGCAGACTTATATATATATATCTACAGACTCTGATTACCTGATTTCAAGTGGCAAAGTGTTCCATAGCTTGGGTGCCATGCTATGAAAAGCCCGATCACCAAAAGATCGCAAACTAGACCTGGGAGTGCTGAGCAGTTGGAAATCAGAAGATCTTAAGAATCTTTATGGAAGATATAAATGTATTTTCTGCAAGTAACGTAAGGTGAGCCCTTTTAAAGCCGTATAGATGAATAGCAGTATCTTAAAATCCACTCGGAATATGACTGGTTAGGCAATGAAAAGATAAGAGGACTGGTGTAATGTGTTAACGTAACGGTGCATGTACAAGTACTCTAGCAGCTGCATTCTGAACAGGCTAGAGTCTGCCTAGTACTTTGCTCAGAATCCCAACCGAAAAGGTGTTGCAGTAGTCGAGTCGGGACAACACAAAAGCATGGAAGAGTTTCTCCAAGTCAGCAGGTGACAGGAAGCGATGCATTCTGGCAATATTTCTAAATTGGAAAAAGGAAATTTTAACCACCTGAGATATATGTGCCTCAAAGGATAATAACCGGTCAGAACTGAACACCAAGGTGTCTGACCTCCCGTGTGGGACTGACATCGTGACCATCAATCAACAAACCAATTTTAGAAAGATGCAGAGAGGAGCCGATGAATATGGCTTCGGTCTTGTCGGCATTTAGTAGCAAAAAGTTTTGGACGCAACCATGAATTCACTACTGTTAGTGATGCAGATAGCGCAGAAGATGCTGTTGCATCGTCTGGTTTTAACCGGATATAAATTTGAGTATCATCTGCATAGCAATGGTAGGATAAGCCAAGATGTCGGAGCAGAATACCCAATGGTGCCATGTCGATGCTAAAATGTGATGGGCCAAGCACAGATCCCTGCGAAAGAAGAGAGAATCGGTCTAATTGGTGACTTGAAGCCATCCTTTGTGACAAAGTAATTGGCCATTAGGCAAACGCTTACGGGGACCTCCATGGTGGAGAGGAAAGCGCTCTTCATGTGTGGCTTCCCAGAGGCATTGGGCAGCAATGAGCATTGAAGACAACCGTACTGACGAGTCCTGATGAGGACAAAGCCAGTCTAGAATTGTCTGATGGCAATTTTAACAACAGAATCAGAATCGGCAAAAACAATGGCGACACGGACGAGAGGCCGGAAGGAGGAGGGTGGAGAGAGAAGGGAGGGGGGAGGTGGGGGATGGAGGGGGGAAGGAGGAGGGGAGAAGGGGGCAGGAGGAAGAGGGAGGAGCACCTTTGCCGAGCGGTTGCGGCACGGTGAAGCCCGGCAGGAGGTACGGCACGCCGCTCGTCAGGCTGCTAGATGGACGCAGCTCGGCCGCTCCGCACGTGGACAGCGAGGCCACCAGCAGCACGAGGTTGCGCAGCCCGTCCCGTGCACCCTCCTCCTCCGCCTGCTCCAGCCTGCGCGGGCACCAGCCAAACCGCATCACACGACTCTTACGCCGTGGGCCACCGGGGTGGGTGTGGGCGGGTGATCGGTGGATGAGTAGGTGGGCGGGTGGATGGGAGAGTGGCTTTGGGTGGGTGGGTGATCAGGTGGGTGATCAGGTGGGTGGGACAGCTACAAACCCAAAACATTTCAGTTGTGAGAAAATTGTGCTCCCACAGTAGAAAACCCGAAGGAGGGGGCACGCCAGCCGTGCCGAGTTGCCGTTACCTAACGCCGCCGCCGTGCTGCAAGCAGCCATATGACTCGACAGCAGCTGCAGTGGAAATGGAGGCGTGTTCCAGAAGTGACTCGTGATTGTCCGTCGTGTTTTCCTTTGTTTTATAATCGTACATATATACTTTTAACACAGAATATAAATAACGTTACATTCTGGAAATACAAATAACGGGGACGTTGTTGAGAAAATTGAAAAAACGGAACACGCCACACACCTGCTTTGGGCCCCGGTATTCAAAGACACAATTTACATTGATGGATATCTGGATAATAAAGTTAAGTATGAACAGGTGACTGAACGAATGTATTAATGAATGCATGGACAGACATACAGATGAATAGGGTAGGCGAATTAAAGCATGCATGGGTGAACGGGCGAGCGTGCACAGGTAGGGGGGACAGACGGACGACGGCGTGCATTGGCGCCGTGCCTGAGCATGAAGTCACAGAGGAACTGGTAGCCCTGGCAGCAGCGGAAGTCGTCGAGGAGGCTGTGCGACACCTCGCTCGAGTCCTTGAGGAAGCACAGGAGGCTCACAAGGATCTCGAGCAGCTCCGCCAGGCTCAGCTCGCTCGACTGACGCATCGTCTGCAGGCAGAGCCCCACGCACTCCTTGTCTGCACACGGAGAGGACGGGGGGAGGGGGGAGCAGCGTGTTTCACAAGCGCCTCGTACCGAGGACAGAACACTTGCAAGGTTCTCACTAAACCAAAACACCCCCACGGTTATCACTCATCAGAAACACTCGCACGGTTATCACTCAACGAAAACACTCGCACGGTTCTGACTCATCCAAAACACTCGCACGGTTCTGACTCATCAGAAACATTGACGTGCTTGTAACTCATTCTTTGCTCGTGCCCCAAACACCTGGGGGATCCCTTCGCTTCATTAACGTCCCTGCTTCCTCTCCCGGCTCAATCACAACCTGATGCTGAGCTCTCGATTCTTTGCGATAACTTCCCTTGCAGATGCATTTGACATCATACACCCTTGTCTGGCTGCATACGAGTGCAATAATCACCCTACATTCGAGCCAATTTTTGTGCGTGGAAAATCATTGCATATTGATTATGTTTGTGCACTGTTTTCTATTTTTCCTGTCATGCAGTTGTTTTTGCCACAAATTCAATACCGTTGCATACTCTTTGGTTCTTTCGGTAAAGTCACGTAGGTGAAAATAAAAAGAATAAAATAATAATAAAATAATAGAAATACTATAAAATAAAAGTAACTAAATTAAATCACAACGTTTCTGAAGCAACACAAGCTTCTGTCATCAGGTAGGGCAGCCACAGCAAGAAATAATTTTAATTTAGTTATTTTCATTAAAATTTTATTGTATTTTTTTTTAACCTACGTAACTTTACCGAAAGAACCAAAGAGTATGGATCCTTGCAGTCACGAAAACTTCAAATCTAGAATCAACACCGTTGCTTTTGCCATGATTAATATTTGCTCCATTGTTGTATTTTACGTTATATTTGCTTTCGTAATTTTGGTGACGCAGATCACATTTTCAAATGACTCATCCTGGTCACTTGCGTTCTCGCCCGATCACACTAAATACACTTGAACTTTGAACTGGAACACTCCTGTACACAGTTCACTCATGCCGTGGATCGATAAACATTGTTTGCACAAAAACATATTTTACTTGCGCCCTGGTTTATGCGCTGCTCCTCACTCATCGAGGGTGAGTGACCCAGCGCCCACGTGACTGCAAGTATGTCGGCAAGTCACCGCTTACTTCGAGAAGCGGCACAATAACAGACATAGCAGCATTCTCCATCTTCACCCCGATTCCACGCGGCTAAATACACACGAGTTTCGTGTCACCGTGTTAGTGTTTTAGCTCGTTCACCTCTCCCACCAGATAGTCAAGAGTTAACAGATTAGTTGGGGAATCAAACCTATAGCCAGTAGAGTCATCAATAGAGTAATCGTTCACTTGGGTAATCGGAGCCCTTAGATTTTTGTACGACCACTGTGTGGATTCGAACCGAAGTTCTCTGCGTTGCTGGCTCAGCGTCTCTTCGAAAGTTAAAGCCAGAGTGAGTCACAGCTCACATGCACACAGAGGCATTTGTTCTCATCTCCTGATTGACAGTCTGGAACAAGTGGTGGAAATTCCCCATTCCTATCGTGGGGGTGTGAGTTTAGGCCAAGGACATTTACTGTTGACTTCCCCATGAAGTGGTACTCATTTTACTGACTGTAGAGAGATGATGGCCAAGTCAACGATTGTCTTCCGTTTGCGAGCCACTTGCTCCAAGCCCGAGCCAGCTGGCCATTATGAGGCCTTGCAGACAGCGTTATAAATACCAGCCCTGTACTCAATACCCTGCACATCAGCATTGTTCCACACGGGCTCACCGCTCCAGACCTGGCCATTATCAACTGGTCGGTGATTTAGAGATGAGAGCGCCGATCTGGCACCGATTACAATCGGTCAAGTAAGCGATTACTCAATAATGCTCGGATGACAGGCCGGCAGGGGGGAGCAGCGCCGGCGACCGCGCACCGTGCAGGTACTTGAGCACGTTGGTGCTGAGGCCGTGTCGCGCCAGCGTGAGCAGCGCCTCGGCGGCGCTCTGCCGCCACGCCAGGTTGTGTGCCGGGCACCACGACGTGAGCGCCGTGAACACCAGCTGCAGGTCGTCCTTCTGCGCCAACTCCTCGGCCGGGGACACGAAGCGACACAGCCGCACCAGGATCTGCGCAGCACAAACACAAACAAATTGCTGTTAAGTCTTAATAGTCTCTTGGGGCAAGCGCTGCTAGCAAGCGCCTATAAAGGCCAACACGACGCACGAGATGGTGTTGCGTTCATCACCACACCCAGCGGCCTTCGTCTCCGCAGTGCTGATGATTACATGCCGCACTAGGCACTCATTGAAGGCAGAATCCAACTAGGGGAGGCCCAGGACCGGTTCGGATATTCGTCACTGATGTTGGCTGTGAGCAGGTTTCGAACTTGGGTCACTGGGTTCTTAGGGTAGTGCGCTAACAACTAAACTACCCTCTGCTGACAACGTAGACCCACAGCAGCTGACACCACCTGTTTGTGCAAGGTGGTCACCCATCCAAGCACTGTCCAGGATCAACTCTGCTTCACTTCCGAGATCCAATGAAATCTGGTGCATTCCGGGAGATTTTGTGCTAGGCATCTCAAAAGAGAGAAAGAGAGAACAATTTAGTAAACCATAGACGAGCAGGAAGCCATCCAGAAACGGCACCAACAATTGTCCAAAAACTGTGGCCCTCTAATGATTGAGACGATTGGCCAATTCCACTCCTGAGCTTTTACGAACAAAGTCATCCTTTGCTTACGACAAGCATGATAATCGCCCACTCCCTTCGTGTGGTACGTCTCACCTGCCCGAACACCTTCTGCAGCGCCGCGCGGCGCTCGAAGCACGACACGTCGGTCTGGTTCGCCAAGCCCGGCGCCGGCACCGGCGCCCCTGCCCCCGCCGGAGTGGCGGCAGCGGTGGCGACGGGGGGTGCGGCCGTGCCCCCCGCCGCTGTGGCCCGGCTGGGCCCCCCAGGGGGGGGCAGGTCAAAGAAGAGGTAGAGGCACTTGACAAGCGTGGACGGCAGCGACATGGTGGTCATGCAGTCGACGGTTTTCTGCGAGGAGAGGCGGAGGCACGGCCCGTCAGGCTGTTACCACTGAGACCGTGGTATCTGTATACGATCATCGTTGTCGACATCATTGTCAGGCATGGTCATTCCACTGCTGGATGGACTCCCCAAGCCACTGGCACCACCTCTCACTATCCACCTCATCTCCACCTCAACGATTATCATCACCCTCACCACCACCAAAATCATCATCACCACGATCATCACGATCACCGCCACCATCATGACCATTGCCACCATCATCACCATTACAACAATCACTATCACACTCACCATCACATCATCATCACAATAATCACCACTGCCACCACCCTCACGGCCGTCACCTGTCCCGAGGCTGCGAGTAGCTTGAGGGTCTTGAGCAGCATCCACCCGCGGCTGCTCTCCTCACTCTGGTGAATCTCCAGAAACTGGGCGATGGCGCAGCTCGCTGCCTCTGTGAGACCCACAGGGCGCCATGCGTCACTCTCGCGCTCTCAACCACGGTCGCTTCCCTTCCTTTCCCCTCCCCCCCCCGGGTGAACAATTGTTGTGAGAGTGATTTGTTTTGATAATGCGCTCTGTGCGCCGGGTTATCAGAGCGCTTTATATGTATGTATGTTGAAACTCCTTTCGCACCGTACGTAGCCAAGCGTGATAATCGGAGATGTGTAGGAAGGACCACAAACTAAACACAAAAAGCAGTTCTAAAGAAATACGTTTTCAACGTAGCTTTAAAAGTGCATAGCTCTAGTGGTTTCCTACAGAAGAGCATTCCAGATGGTGGCAGAAGTGCATCTAAAAGCGCGTGATGCAGCGACCATCTTTGTTCGATGGCCAGCCAAATTCCCGCTGCGAGGATGACCTGAGTTTGCATGAAGGTTTATGCTCCTTGACGAGATCAGCGAGGTATTGTGGTTCATTTGTGGCAAGCACTTTGTCTGTAATGATAAGTGACTTACATCGCATCTCATCTCAACACATTCCAAAGGGCACCCCCTGCCCCGCCCCCCGGCACAAGAATACTCAGCGCTTGACAAGCGGACATCAATCTGCAGGTAGTGGGCGATGGTGCTGTGTTTCACAATTGAAAAATTTGTAGGTAAATTTACGAATTTGATCAATTTGAACCATGACGTCAGCGCAAAATGGCCTACTCTTAGAATTGACATCAAGGGATCCTTAACGTCAATCGTGAAGCATAAGGTGGGTATTGTTATCGTTAAAACCACAGTAAAAATCAGTTTCGGCTGTCGGAATCGAACCACAAACCTCTGCAATACGCGGTGAATGGACTACTACTGGGCCATGCCACAGCCCAGCTACCCGAGTTTGATTTCCGATGGCGACTAACATCGTTGGCGAAAGATATCTCATCCGGCCCAAGGCTGCTCGCTCTCAACATCCCACAATGGCCAGCGTGGTGAACTATGGCCAAAGAATCCCCATGACACACACGGTATGGGGAGGCCTTCACCCAGCCGTGGATTGAGAAAGGGCTGTAAACATTAGCACCTGCGCCACTGTTGGAGGGTGCTAGGCCCTCCCCGGACGGGTAGAGCAAGTGGATTGGACGACCGCAACGGAACGGAGCATCAAAGAAAGCGTCGTGTACATAATCAGGAATGAGGAGATGTGACGTTGGAACACGTGTGCAGGATGCAGAAGGATAGGATAAGCGACTAGGAAGTTCACAATGGAGCATGGAAACAAAGTGGTGTAGGTGTCACGGCACTCCGCAGTCCATCGCCCACCACGCCGGCATCTCAAAAGCGGAGACCAGCGACACAAGCGTGCGACACGGCACCTGTAATTAAGCCTCTAATCTATTTGCGACGGAGGCAATACAGCTCGTGCGCGAGATGAGCAGCAACCCGGCAGAATTACAGCGCAGGCAACCCCTCATTACAGCAGCCACTGCCATTAGCAGCACGACCACCACTACCATTACTGTGCTGTCTACACACAAACAGAGGCAGAGGCAACACATCATTAAGGCACGCAGTCCGCTTCACTTACTATTCCAAAAATATCCATCCAAGCTTCCTTGTACTTCAACAAACGAACAAGGTTTATCCTTAAAATAACATTACAATGCAATTATAAAGGTTAATACCTAGAAAATATGACTTTTTTGTTCCTGTGATGTCATGCCATTTGTACGCATGTATGTTGAACTTCATCCACAATGTACATAGCCAACCGTGCTAATTGGAGGCGTGGGGTAAGGACAACAAACTAAACAAAAAAATCAGTTCAGGTGACAATTATTCCTAGTTCCTGGATCTTGTCCTGAAGATGCTAGGCCTAGTTTCAAGAAAAACGTCGCAATTTATTTGCTGCTAATTTGGTCGTGAGAATTGTTCTTCAACTCACGAGCGTGAGCGGAAACAATAACACTGTGTAACAATTTTGTTTTTGTTCCTGGGTAGTAAGTGTTATTTCCTAATTGCTTATGTCTCAAAGGTACAGAAAATGGCTATTATTCCCCACAAACGTTTGTGACCAGGACAGTGATATTTTGAAATGTACCTATTTTACAGAACATTTCAGATAGATTCAGTGCCGAGTAAACTTGGAGTAACTTCTCGAACATTCTCGAACTTTCCAGTAATATAAATAGTCGTATAAATACACGGGTCTTAAGCCCACCAGTTCAGTTTAGTTCCAGCTGCCTAAGTGGATACATATCTGATTTTTCTGAGATGGCATCAAGAGGCTGCAAGCATCCGGCAGAGGCATTTTGCTATGTCTGCGGCCAATTTATCAAGACAAGAGCGAAAAAGTACTCGGTGGAAGCATCTGCTAAGATGTGTGAGGCCTACAAGGCATATTTCGGCGTGCCTGTCACAGATCAAGACAAATCCTGGGCACCTCATTTCACCTCGGAATTTGTTAAAAAAAATAATTGCCAAAGTTTTCAATTTTAAAATGTTATTGAAAAAATATATCACATATGAAAATTATTGCGAGAATATCTTACACATTACTATTCATGGGTGATATTAATGTATTTTTGAAGGATGGTACAGAGGAGAAAAGACAGCCATGAAGTTCGCTATCCAAAAAATATGGCGGGAACCCACTGACCACTAAAGCAACTGCTACTTCTGCATGGTGGACCCTTCTAAACATCGGACTGGCAAGAATGCACCTGCTATCACGTATCCGGACCTTCCTACATCCATCACCCCGGTGCCACACTGCCATGAGCTCCCCGTACGAACTCCTCCGGAGAGAGAGCAGCCGTCTTTAGAAGAGAGCAGCAAGTCAGAGAGCGAAGAAGACGTTGTAGATCCAGATGACAATTTCAGAGGTGGAGCTGAGGAGAGAAACCCATACTATCCCAATCAAAAAGACATCAAGGACTTGATCAGAGATCTTGGTCTCACCAAGTCCAATGCCGAGCTTTTGACGTCTCGGCTCAAGCCGTGGAACTTGTTGGATGAAAGTGTGCAAGTCGCAGATCAGAGGAAGCATCACCAACCTTTATGCAGCTTCTTCACCCGTCAAGATGGGCTCTGCTTCTGCAACAATGTGACCAGTCTGTTCGAGGCAATCGGATTCGCCTGTAACCAGAATGAGTGGCGCCTCTTCATTGACAGCTCATCCAGGAGCCTCAAAGCCGTGCTGCTCCCTAATGGTAACAAGTACCCGTCTCTTCCCCTAGCTCACTCTGTGCACCTCAAAGAGGATTACAACGGCATCAAAACCTTGCTGGACGCCTTGAAGTATGATGAGTACGGCTGGGAGGTCATCGGAGACTTCAAAATAGTGGTATTCCTGATGGGTCTCCAAGGCGGTTTTACCAAGTTTCCCTGCCTTTGGGATAGCCGGGACACCAAGGCGCACTACCACAGGTGGGACTGGCCGCAGCGGACCGAGTTCTCTGTGGGGAGGAACAACGTCAAGTGGGAGCCACTGGTGGACCGGACATCAAATTGGGGTTTATGAAACAATGTCAGAGCTGTAGATAAGGAGTCAGCAGCCTTCAAGTACCTTCAATACTTCTTCCCTAAGCTGTCTGAGGCAAAGGTCAAAGACGGTGTCTTCGTCGGACCACAGATAAAGAAGATCCTGGAGTGCAATGAATTCCCCAAGAAGCTCACTAGGAAGGAGAAAGTGGCTTGGAACAGTATTGTCGCAGTGGTTCGTGGCTTCCTGGGCAATCACAAGGTCGAAATCTATGTGGAGCTGGTTGAGACTCTGGTGAAGAACTATGGCACATTGGGCTGTAGGATGTCCCTCAAAGTACATATCCTTGATGCTCATCTTGATAAATTCAAGGAGAACTTGGGAGCGTACTCAGAGGAGCAAGGCGAGCACTTCCGCCAGGATATACTGGACTTTGAACGCCGCTACCAAGGACAGTATAACGAGAACATGATGGGAGACTACATTTTGGGGCCGATTCGTAAAAGTGATTCACAGTATCATCGTAAATCTCGAAAAACTACTCACTTCTAAATCTTTTGTAGTAATTTCTGTATTACTTTAGTATAAATACATGTTAATTTTGATTCATGTAGTTTTTTTCTGACTTTATGTGAACGAAAAGACACAAATTCGCCTGTTTTCTCATTGAAAATAGGTAAATTTCAAAATATCACTGTCATGGTCACAGAGGCAAAGTTTGTGGGGAATAATAGCCATTTTCTATAGTTTTTAGGCATAAGCAATTAAGAAATAACACTACCCAGGAACACAAATTATGTTATAAGTATTGGCACTTCATTGAATGCTGGCACACCACCTGCCTAATTGATTTGTTTGGCAGTGTCAAGCGTTGTTTAATCGTTAGACCTCTGAACACGTTTGCCTATTCAGCAATCAGATACAACTTTAGCGTGCGTGCATGCAGGCGTGCAACCCTTTCATCAATCCTCTGCTGGATGAGGACCTTCCCAAGTCGTGCATGGGATTGTGGGGGCTATTTGAACAAATTTCACCACGCTGGCCAGTGCCAGTTGTTGAAGGAGAGAATCATGGATAGACTGGTCCCTGCCATGGGAATGTGGAATTCCCACTTTAGACACAGAAGCGCAAACTTAATCAAGCGCCACCTTTGTTTGCTCATATGTGGACGTAGTGCAGTGGTAACCGCTCATGTCTCACAGCAACAAGGGCCGGGGTTCGAAATCCTCACTCGGGCACCTTTCCGTGTGGCAAAGTTACACTCTCCCCCCAATCTGCATGTGTTTCCTCTGGGTTCTCTGGTTTCCTCCCACAGCTAAAAACACGCACACATACGCATCGCAACCCCCCTGCCCGACTGCAAAATCGTAGGACCATCCTGAAAAAGAGTCATGAGACTGGGTGAGACTTTCCTATGTAAACAAGCAGTAGTAGGAGCAATAATAATGGTGGAGCAAAGAGAGAGAGAGATATCAGAATCAGAATTTTATTTTTTCCCGTCGAAATCCAGCGGCACGGGCCTCACCAGTGGACTTGTTGGAGGCTCGCCTGCGGATCTCGGTCACCATGAGCCGAGACACCTGCGTGGCGAACTGCAGCAGGTCGGAGAAGCGCTCGGCCATCGAGGTGGGAGGAGCCTCGCCAAACACCTGCTCTCGCCGAGGAGACGCGTCCCGCCACGGCTCACCCCGTGCGCCCTCTCGCCGCTACGTCTATTGAATTCTGTGCACGTTGCAAATTCTACGGCGACTTTGGGACGCAATTTTTTGCAAGAATGATGCTGAATACAAATAAGATGCTGTGATAATAATTATGATTATCAGGGACAGCCGAGGAATATGACATTACAAAAGCAATTCTGGAGTCACACTTAAATGCCCTGTCAAGAGTGTTCTTCACATGAGAATAAAAATGAAACGTATAGCCCCTCAGAGCTAGAAGAATATAAATTAGATGCAAATCTAGCATTTAATGTGATGGGATATTGTGCACCCATCATACAGACAGCAACCCAAGTTCTATCCAATGCCGGCTCAAATGTCCCTAACATGGCCATTATGAATCCAGTGGAACAGACACGGACACTCAGCCCCATTGTTCATAATCTCGCATCTCAGCGGTGCACATCCAACATTTCAGACCCGGTTATTATGAACCTTCTGCCTCGGCGCGGCCTACCTTGTTGAAGAGCGGCAGCATCATGTAGAGCTTCTCCTCCTGCTCCTTCTGAGTGACGGGCCGGGAGGTTGTAGTCATCTCGAGGAAGAGGCGGCGCAGGTGCATGAGGCCCAGCGCATTGTCCTGCGACGACGCCGATGGCGGATGCTCCTCCGGCCTCTGCCGCGTCATCATCCTCTTTACCACGTTCATGGTGAGGGTAGCGGGGCCGGTGGCCAGCCACTGGGCGACACGCATGCACACACACACATGGGAGTGAGCATCTGACAGACTTTAGCACTGCTTTTTGTGTTTCTATCATGGGACCTCCTTTGCCAGTACCAAAATATGCGAATAGGTTTACTCATTTTTTATCGCAAATAAACAGGTGTTAAGATGTTAAAACACCAAACTGAAACCTTTTACAAGGAATCATGTCTGCATTAACCACAATACTTGTGGTCAGAATGCATACAAAAAACATACTCTTTGAAGCTGATTGGTCCACACCAAAGACAGCTTTCTTGCGAGCCAAGTCTGAGGCTCAACACCGTTTGAGACGAGGCTCGAAAGAAAGCTGTCTCTGGTGTGGACCAATCAGCTTCACAGACAATGCATTTATTATCAGAGGGTGTTTTTTGTTTGCATTCTGAACACAAGCATTGTGGTTAATGCAGACATGATTCTTTGTAAAATATTTCAGTTTGGTGTTTTAACATTTTAACACCTGTTTTGTTGCAAGAAAAAAGGGGTAAACCTATTCTCAATTTGTGTTTAGTTTGTTGTCCTTCCACACACCACCTATTAGCATGGTTGGCTATATACAGTGCAAAAGAAGGTCAACATACAGTACCTAAATAATAATAATGATAACACTTATCCCTTTGTCAATCCCAGACAGGTGGCTTAGCGGTAGAGCAAACGCCTCAAAGACTCAGCCCATCATCTCTCCAGGGTTCATAAAGTGGATACCACATTTTGGGGAAGATCAACAGTGATTGTCTTATGAATAGACTTTCACCTGCCATGGGAATGTGGAATTGCCACCACTGGCTCAGGAATGTAAACGGGAGATAAGCACCACCTCAATCTCATTTGCACTTTGAAATTCACTTTCTGTCAATTAACTGCTGGATAAAGTCCTCCCATGCTGTATCAATCATGGGGGTTGTTTGACCATACTTCACCACGCTGGTCAATGCAGGTTGGTGGTGAAGATCAGTTAAGATATCACTCACCACTGACAGTAGCTATGGCAAGGAATCGATGGTGTCTTGTTCATAAAGCGTGGCGCTAACCACAGCGCCACCGTGCTACCGCATTACCATTTGTTGAGTTATTTATTTCGTAAACATATGGATGATTATAGATTCGCCACACACATCAAAATGTCTAATAAAATACATGAAAGACCAGTCCTGCGTATGTATGTTTTTGTTTGGGACGTACCACACAGTGACCTATCTATTCCCTGACTTTTTGGAATCTATTCTGAAAACGATTGTTCAAAATCCAGTGCTATATTAACAACCTTCATTACAACTGTGATTGTGTAATTCATAATTATAATTGAAAAGAAATGGGAATTCAGTGATAGATTCTGCTGTAATATGTTATGACTGACACCAGGTCTGTAGTCAAATACTTGACTCACAAACGATTGCAGCAATGACATCCTCATCCAAATGATCACCATTATTATCCAATCCTTATCGAGCAATCATCATCAAGAGTACATCCACAAATAATCATAAAATCATCCCTACCATGCAAACATCAATTACCATCTACACTACTATCATAAAATCACCAACAAATTTGTATCTAATCATCATTAATTGAATGAGATCATAATCATCATCTACAAGCATAGGTTTTACCCTTTCTGGCAATAAAACAAGTGTTAAGATCTTAAAACACCAAACTGAAACTTTTTGCAAGGAATCATGTATGCATTAACCACATATACTTGTGGTGAATCAGGCAAACAAACAATAAACATGATCTGATAATAAATGCATTTTCTTTGAAACGGATTGTACCACACCAGAGACAGCTTTCTTTTGAGCCTAGTCTCAAACAGTATTAGACCAGAGGACGCCAAAAGGCGAACTGCACAAAGACAATGCACATGATGTAGCTGCTCATCCCGAGCTCTCAATAAAATAATCAATCAATTATTCATTCATCACCACATTCATGTAAGAGGGAAGCACTTTATCTTAAAACATGAGTATATGCTGCAAACTAAAGGTATAATATTTAAGGGGGCTACTAGGCTTGTTTTTATCAAACTAGAGATGGAGATTCGGTTCACCGAGTTTGTTTTGATAAAACCACTCAAGTGAAGTGAGACAAAATAAAAAAAACCCCTCATCTGTCAAAGCAGTGCAAGAAATAACACATTGCAAAGGAGCCGCCTTTTCCCTTTCCAGGATACATGTACCGAGTCGGAGGATTTCATGAGCCTGGGAGGGGTTGCGACATGCGCAGGGTCTGACACAACCAATTGATGCGCGGCCGATCACAGATACGCGCTAACAAGCCGTCACACCTCTCGCGCATCGATTCGCAATTCCGCTTTTGTTTTGAGCCGTTAACAATTTGTCGAAGATCCAGGCCAAGGGTCATCATGGCCAACGCCATGAATGCCCCCACACCTCGCCTTCACTTCCTTCTGCTCGATCCCGTAATTGTTCTACTCTCAATATCTTACCCTGAAGGACTGCTTTATCATTTACCCGAGTCGAATCACTCTTGAAAATGAGCCTCTATTCTGGTCTCTTGAGTTCTCACCTGGTTAAACAAAATAAATTTGAATTGACATACGTGCTACTCACCGAAACCTCCTTTTCTAATTACATGGACAGATATATTCCTTTATTGTATAACTCCCCGCCCCCCGCCCCCCTCAATTTTATCCCAAAATGGCCCATTGATGCCACCCATTCGCGTCTCTCACACAGCAGTGCTACTCGTCGTGTTAGAGAATGGCCACGAAGCGGATATCACAGAACTATCTCTCAAACCCCTTGAAGTGGCCGGTGTTCCATTCGGCGGGGGCAGCACTTTCCAACTCGCTATCCTCTGAAGAGCAATGTTTGTCTCTTGACAGTCAATCTGATATTTGTTTAATTGTTAGAATTTAGCCAAATTAAGTGCAGATAGAAAGTAATATTTTATATTTGTGGTTACCAGGACAATATTGTGCTTGAGAAGCCGGTTAAATCAGAGGCAGCTGCCTGGATTCTAATGTAGAATCGGGGTTTTTATCTGGGCACTCTGACCTCAGATCCACCCAGCCTCCCCTTTCTTACTTTATCCAAAAAATGTTTTGACAAATTCCTTCCATCCCCTGCAAATACAGCATCTGAATTAAAATGACTAATTACACAACACAAATTAATCCCTAGAGGTCATGGAGAATGTGAATTACAACAAACATAACGCCACCTTCCCATCTCGCCACGTAAAAAATACAAAATATTTTACCACACGTACCATCAACCACATAGCTTTCTGGGAGTGCATTTCATCAACAGCATTGGTTGAACGCAAGTAATTCAAGCAACGTCTAGACTGGTTTTAACATGCAGTGTCTCATCAGCAGTCCGGCTTCCTTGAACCAATGCTGTCAAAATGCCCGGTGTTTGGGGCAAGGACCCCTCTATGCGAGCTCATTTGTAAATATGGCTCACGTAACACGCCCCACTTAATTTAAACAAATCCACAAACCTGACGTCTGTTAAAAATAAAAAAAAATAGTAAATAATTGCTGCAACGTGCACATGGGCAGCACAGAGCTAACAACTGTTCATGGCCAAGGCTATGCATGCGTGAACACGGAGCCCTTCATTGGCTCTGGGTGACACATGACCCGAGAGGGGAGACATCCGATTGGTGGGGACCCTCACTGGCCTTGCCTTTGTGTTGCGTTAACCCGAGCGAGTGCAGTGGACCTTAGACATTTCTCGGATTCCATCACGGATCAATCACGGCCTTGTGCGATTCACGAGTGGAAGGACGCATTGTCGTCCCCAGACAATTTGTTGCTTTAATATTTTTCCTTAAAGAAACAAAAAGAAAAATCCGAAGACCCCCCAAAACATTTTAACTGTAAATATCAGACAGCCAGCCGTGGTATTTATTCAACACGTAATATTCCGATCTGTGCTGCAGCACTGCACTTAAAGAGCATGCTTATACAGAAGGTGCTGCATCGCAGCGCTGAGAGAGATGGCGACTGAGTGGCAGCCAAGGAATGGAGCGCATCCGAGAATACATCCACAGAGGAGATGGAGCCAATAAATCGGCTCGTGTGCAGGCGAAAGATAAATTATTAATATCGTAGAACCACGAGAGATGGCAACCAGTTGAGGAGGCCTTCATCCAGCAAAGGATTGATCATGGCTGATTATGATGGTGTGGGGGGGGGGGGGTTACATGACCATACTTCATGATGAGACTTATTTGTCAGCCATGGGAGGTTATTTTACCATACTTCAACAAGCTGGTCAGTCATTCATAATAAAGGTTTTTTTGGGGTTAGATCGCGTTATTAGAAATGTGTTGCAACCCTCCACCACCATCAGTAAAAAATGTGTCGCGTTAACAAAACGCCAATTAGTTACTTCAGTGCAAATTAGTGACGGTTGGGAGCATAGTACAACCGGTTTTTTTACGGACAACAAAGAAGAAATACATATCCATTTTATGAAATAATTGTTGCACAATTTACGGAGGCGGCTGGTGTAAGATGCACACACACACACATGCATACGGACGCAGCGAGTGGCAGGCCAAGCTGTGAGACGTTGCTCATCTGCATTTCCCTCACTCCTTTTATTTCCTACGACGTGACAGCCCCATGCATTATGCCCCGGACACAAGCGAGCTGAACAAGCCATCAGCCCCGTCACAGCGGCTGTTTCAAGGCAGGGGAGAGGGGGTGGCGGGGGGTGTTTAGAGAGGACATTGGGTGCTGGGGGTAGGAAGGGAGGGAGAGTGAGACCGGGAGTCGCTTTGTTCCGGAAACCACGCGATGTGACGCTCGTGAGCGAGATCGCTCCCGCGGTTCACCGGGACGAGGACAAACGTATAAAATAATGATAATAGGACTCATATCTTAAAGACAGGGTCCTTGAATATAACGCCAGGCAGTTCGCCAGTGTTGGTTCGAGCTAGCCGGACTGCTGATGAGACGATGTATGTCGAAACCAGTCCAGAGTTTGCTTGAACCAAATCAATGCTCTTGAAATGATGCACTCCCAGAAGGCCGATGAGTTGTGAAAGAAACAATTGCATGATTTAATGCAGAGAGACGGATACGTCAAGGAGAGACGGATACATGAAGGAAAGACGTGATAAATTTCGATTTAAAGCTTTCGTGACTGCAGGGATTCATCTTCTTGGTTCTTTCGGTAAAGTCACGTAGAATGGAAACAATAAAATATTAAAAATAAAACATAATAAAATTATTCTCACGACGTTTCGGCCACAACACAAGCAGCCGTCCTCAGGTGAAGAACAGGTCTGTCGCGAAGACAGAGTCTGAATGAAACATTCCTCTTGATATGCAAATTCTTTTGTCAAGGTGCTCTTCCCCCTCCCACCCAGCTTAAATAGACGCTCCAAGCCTGGGGTTGTTTCATTCAGACTCTGTCTTCTCGACAGACCTGTTCTTCACCTGAGGACGGCTGCTTGCATTGTGGCTAAAACATCGTGAGAATTATTTTAAAATGTTTTATTTTTATCATTTTATTATTTCCATTCTACGTGACTTTGCCGAAAGAACCAAGAAGAGAGACGTGATGTCTGCATTTTGCTGAAGCGGCCGGAGTAACGAGCCAGGGCCGATTCCTGACCCACAGGAATGAGCAGATGAGCGTTAAGTCACTCTGTCCAGTCTGAGAACCCATTGAGCGTATACCCGCATGTACACACATCCCAATATCGGACCATAGACCTTGGGCAACTGTTGGGAGCACCTGGCTCTGGCTATCTTCCCAAGCGCTTGCCTGTAGTCCCCCGCGCCTCCGTGCGGAAACCGCACGCTACAAATTCTGCAGTTTTTATAACACAGTGTGCATGACTTACAACTGCAATGTGTTCACCGCTAGTTGCAGAGGTTCACATGTGTATGACGCTTAAAAGTAGGCCGAGCCGCCTGCTTCACCGTGGACGTTAAAGATCCCGTGGCGTCATTCGAAGAAAGGTTGGCCATTGTGCGCCGACGTCACCGTCCAAATTTGCCAAATAAAAAAATCGTACCGCAGATTACTCCGTTGGGAAATGCATAGCAACGGTCACGCAGTGCTGCGAAAACTTAGCAGGACCCTCCAAAAAGGGACTTGAGACATCGGTGAGGCTCTCCTGGTCAAACAAGCGTCATAATAATATATAGCGTGTATGTATGTTGAACTTCTTTCACACAGTACACAACCAACCGTGCTAATTGGAGGTGCGAAGGACAACAAACACAAAAGCATATCACCTCACCGAGTCTCAAGACTGTTTTCAGGAGGATCCTGCCAACTGTTCACAGGATGTTACAATGTTGCTGTGAGTGATGTAAATTGAGGCATTTTCAAGTCATTTTTCATAACTAGGATATTTGGTCAGTACCAGTTACAAAGCTTCTGTTTTTGTTAATGGGAGGAATGAGGGAACCCATTAGAAACTCATGCAGAACAGGGGGAGGAACACACAAAATCCACACACAAAAGCGCCAGCCGTAAATCGAACCCAGGAAGTTCTTGCTGTAAGGCACGAGTGTTATCACTGCGCCATCCTACGGCACACTCTAACGTTGGGATGTAAACGCGCACAGCCGTAGGGCAAGAACTTCCCTCCATGTGTCTCATTCACGCTCAGCCCAGTTGAATCACGGACAGTGGCTGAAACCTGGACCCAATCCAAGGATCTCAGTGGTGCTGGCTGAGCGCTCCGAGCTGCCTGGCCAACAGAGTTTATAATCGCTGTCTGAAACAATGGGAGGCCTTCATCCAGCAGTGGAGTGACAAAGGGCTGTACCTGTACACAACGCTAATAATAAAGATCGTAAAATATATCCCAGGATTTTTTCGCAATTGAGGCTCCTACACTCGCTGGCACTCCTATACGTCTCTTCGCTTTTATTCTTTGTCCACTCTTATCTTCTGATGGCCCTGCCAACTTTTTCCTCACTGCTCATGTCTCCTCCACATTTCTGTCCAAACACAATTTCTCCAAACTAATTTACATCCCACAAAACATACTTTCTATACCAGTTTATGTGTTGATTTGAAGCTTTCGGAATCTATACTCTTTGGTTCTTTCGGTAAAGTCACGTAGGTAGAAAATAAAATAAATCACGACGTTTCGATCGCAACACAAGCGGTCGTCCTCAGGCGGAAAAAATATAGCCTTGTTGTAGCTGCTTATGTGTGTGCAGTATTTTAAATTTCTTCTGCCACGTGGTTGTCTTTGCTATGATTTATAGCTGCTCCATTGCTGTACTTTGTTTTTATGTTGCGATTGCCTTTGTCATTTTGGTGACCCACGTGAGTCACTCTTGCAAATGAAACTCATGCTGGTCTCCACGGTTCTCACTGGGCTCAACAAACCAACTTGAACTCCTCCAGTGGCCAAACGCCCATATCTTTCTTACATTCATTCACATTAACAGTTCTCATTACGTTTTCCATTATTAAGGGAAATAACAAACCCAACCCAATGTACTCATGCCAAATCAACGCGCAAGGCATCATGGGAGATCGGGGTGGGGGGGGCGACTGCTGTTTACAAGAGAACTACAACCACGACTCCATTATCGCCATGCCAACACCGCCATCAGCATCATCGCGCCCACTCAGAGGCCCCTACGCTCGTGGCCCCACAGGGCCCAGCCGCCCCGCGCGGTTATTTACGACACACACACACATGCACGCGCACGCCACGGAGAGCGGATGTTGAGTCGCGACAACAGCTCTTAGTCTCGAGTCAGTCCTCGTCAGCATAACCAAATAACAATACGGTAATAAGTAAAAGCGTAGCCCTCAAATCGCTTGTTTATGTAGTTCACGTGCAAGTGCTGTATGCATTGTTACATCGCAAGCTCTTCTGAGGTATCGGCGGCTTTGGAAGGCTTTCATTCAAAAGTGGAAATATCATGGCTGAGGAAGATGAAGGTGGTAGAGAGAATTTTCAAGTAGTCAGGGAGAGAGGTGATGAAGGAAGAGATTCGTATCCGAGTCGTAGATGGGACAAGGAAGTGGCAGATGTGAGAGGTGAGAGCACAATGACCACAGTTTCAAGTTCTTAAGTTCAGTTATAGAAAGGTGATCGAGTGGCTCAGAGGTCAGGGCGCTGAACTGGCACCACTGAGGGTTTGAATCCAGGCAGCGTGCCAGTGATTAAATTGAATTCTCAAGTGTAGCAAGGTAATGGTCTCAACCTGGTCACAACTGACTGCACAAAAACACCCTCCATATTCAATTTGGTTCTCCACTTAATTTGACTCAATTCCAACTCTGACAATTAAATTATTGGTTTGATCATCATGCGAGGAACCCCACTCTCATAAGCAGAACGAGTGGGAGAGTGCTGCCCTCTACTGCGTGGTCCAGAGGTCACTTGAAGGAATCTCAGAGGAAGCTTTGTGGATAGCCACTTCAATGGGCCGTTCTCCAACACAAAGGGTTGCGCTGCTCTGCTAGAGATCTGAAGGAGGACGGTCATCTCGTGCCATGCCACCTCCGATTAGCACGGTCGGCTACATGGGGTGCGAAAAAAGTTCAACATACATACAATGTGTCATAAGTGAAATCTTCGCTTGTGTGTGAGAGAGATGTACTTAGAGAGCGGTGGTGCAGTTGCTAGCTTGCTGCGCTACGAACCCGGTGACCAGAGATCGATTCCGGCTCACTGCCACCAATGTCAGTGACGATTATCTGAAACGGTCCTGGGCCTCTCCTCGGTCGACACAGACTTATATTAATATTAGTACCTGGTGCGGTGTGTAAACGTTGCCACTCGGGAGAGAAAAGCGGTCGGGCGTGGTGCTGAAGTTCTACATACATACAATCGGGGTAAAACCAGGGAGAAAGAAGAAAGTGACATATCGAAGTAGGGGTCAATTCAGCACACAATCAATGCAGGCCGAGGAAAATGAGAAACGCGACATGTGGCTGAACTGCTCGACGCAAGACAACAGCAGTCGAGTAGCTATCGAGACTGCTTGCTGCCACACACAGCCACGCAATTACCACCACAAGCTCACGGCCCGCCAACAAAGAGGAGAACCACACAACCATCGCACAAGCATGTAAGATACACTGGCGCTCTCTCCCTTCTGTTTTATAAGCACATCAACACAACCAAGTGCATCACATTTCTCGCTTTAACGGAGTACTGTAATAAAACAAAGCTCTCGCAAGCATTACATCACCCGTCTGACGCTTCACTCCATAATGACTTCATTCCCATGGCATCCAATTCCATGGGACAGTGTTTTTTTGTGATGTGTGACGAGCGGTTGCCTGCTCAGTAATCGTACACCACGCCGTGCAGCACCCACACCGTGCTGCTGTATATATATACAAAGAAACGATCGCCCATACAGCCTTTTCAAGCTATTGAGGCAAGTGCTGTTAGCGAGGACCTATTAAGGCCGGGATGGCACACGAGAGGGTGGTGTGGTCTGCACCACGCCCACCCACCTACGTCTCCCCAATGCTCTTCTTTACTACACACTGCACCAGGTACTCATTCAAGGCCAAGTCGATCTAGGGGAGCCCTAAGGACCAGTTCAGATATTTTCCACTGGTATTGACTGTGTGCGAGAATGGAAATCAGGTCACCTATAGCCTTAATTAGACTGTTGGGGCCAGTGCTGTTAGCGAGCACCTACGAAGACCAACACGGTCTTCAGAGGTGATTGCAATTATTTGATTATATGTGTATATTGATTTACACTGAGGCATTACAAACACATATATAAAGCCAGTAAAGCAAATCCCACTAATGTACGGTACTTATACGTTTCCACATCCATGCTCCCCAGCATCACAAACCCGTAGTGACTAGCGTTGTGAAGTACGATTAATTTAATAAGCCACCACTCCCTTAAGATATAATCTTACTCTGTTACATAGCATATAAAATAGAATAAGATTGAATATTACATGATGATGCCTGGTGGTCAAGAATAATGACGGAGTGGCAGCCAAAAAACAGGAACGCTTCCTTGAATATGCCCACAAGGAAGATGGAGCTATGACATCAGAATAAGTGCAATTGCTTTGTGGATTGTTGTACTGCAGGATCCCGAGGTGGTGGCAGCTTGGGAAGGCCTTTATCTAGCAGTGGACTGACCATGGTCGATGATGATTAAGTCAATGCAAGGGTCAAATTGAACATATGCAGAGGCACGATAATAATGCCCTTTATTTTTCCAGGAAAGCCTCAGAGTCTCAAAACACGTTTTAGCAGGCTCCTGTTACACTGAAATTGTTTAGCCAATTAATTGACAAGTGTTTGGCTTGTGAGAGGAAGCTGGAGCTCCCAGAGAAAACCCATGTATGTGAGGGGGATAGCGATTAATGCTCCACACACAAAGATTCAAGAATCCACAGCTGTGCTGCCATCACCTGGCCACCTCACAGCCCGAGCATACAACAGCTGGTCGTGTCAGGCAATCTCCCATCCGAGTACCTGCTTAGCTTCTGATCACTACGAGTGGATTGGCATAAAGGGCTGTACCCGTACACACACAGCATATAAAATAAATGCCACGGTGTTTGTATGTGTGTGTGTGCCACACATGGTCGCACACAGCACACACCTGCACGCAGCGTCAAATATTAATGTGCTCGGGAAAGTGGGTGAGTGGGGCTCAGGGGTAAGGGGGGGGGGGGTAATTGTGCAGGGACCTGCACACTGCCATCTAAGGGGCCCGATACGTGATGCTGTTTGAAATTTACAGAACTACCTCAGTGTGATTTTATGCATTTGCTTTTTTTTTCTAAAGAGGAGTATGCATAATTCCAGGGATGAAATATGCTTCCATTAATGAAATATTGTCATTATCAAGAGGCAAGTTTGTCTTAATCATCATAGCCTTATCAGCATGATCATCACCAAACATTGTCTTACCATTGCCATCACCATCAAACAATATCGTTTTGGTCACCAATGTCATTATCATCATCATTCATTATCATGGTCATCACCTTAACTATCATCATCTCTATTATCATCATCATCATCACTGCTGTCGTTGTTTCCATCATCACTGTAGCCGTGTAAACATTTCACACGCAAACAGTGTTGTGATGATCAAAGCAGTCCAAATGGTGTTGTCTCAGCCAATGAGAGACAGATCAAAAACAGGCACTATTTGCCTCTAGGAGCAGCAATGTCACGCTTGTGCTGGCAGGAGGTCAAGGGATAGACTCAGGTGCTATGGGTTGATTGACTGATATGACTAGCAGATGGACCACTTGTGCTCCCCACTTTGCCCACTTGCTGCATTTTAGCCGCCCGGTGTTCCACTTTTTGTTGTGGATGCCTCCAACTGCCCAGTAGTGTTCTGCACGAGCTTCCTCCACAGAGACCGTTCTTGAAACCACTGGTACCAATTATTAGCAGGTCAAATTATCCCCAAATACTCCCATACCACAACGGCCCATCTTTTCGACAACCCCACCCCGCAAACGTATTGATTTGCAGGTATCAGGAATAGATGGGAGCTTAAGAACGAGGGAAAGCTTCTGATAAATCAACGCAAACCACCTCCCTGAAAAGGGCTTGGTGCGTGCAAGAGACAAAGCCAATCCCTATTAAAGAAGTGCATTATCGTGTTCTATACGTGCTGTACCCATTACCCAGATAATTAGTCAACAGACATGAGCCTGTCCGGGTTAACAACTGGTACATATCATCAGGCAAGCTTCCTCCGTTGTCTCCTTTGTTTAAGGAGTCACCCAGATTCGGAATTGTGTTGCTATCATTTGCTGCACATCTGAAACTCAGGTCTTAATTTCACATTAACTTTGTGCCGATGTCTTAATCTAAGATAAGGAAGTTGAACGTGGGCAGCGCATGTCGCCAGAAGGGAACATGGCCGTGGTCAGGAATAACGACAGAGTGGCAGCCAAGAAACGGACCACATCAGAGAAGACGTATTATTACTTTGAAAGATCATGAAAGATAGAGGCAGCTTGGAGAGTCCTTTATCTAGCGGAGGCATGGCCATGGTTGATTATACGTATTTAAACTCAATCCCAGGGTCATCTGCACATGTGCAAAATAATAAGAATAATGCCCTCTATTTTCCCAGGAATGCTGAGTCTCAAGACTTGTTTTCAAGTGGGTCCTGCACACTCGGATGTTGAGTCAATTTCATTAACAAGTGTTTGGCTTGCGGAAAAAAATGAGAGTGCCCAGAGAAAAGCCACGTATATGAACGAAGAGTGTGTAATGCGCCACACAGACAGATTCAATAATCCACAGCCGTGCTGTCACCAGTGGAAATGTGCAATGCTTAATGAGTGTGGAGCTCAGATCCCCTGCCGACCAGTCAAACAGGGGGGATGCTGGCCTATTCATATTGTGGTTTGAGCGTTATTCTTGCACACACAAGGGGTTTACTCCTCACACAAGGGTTTTCAATTAAACAAAAATAAATGATTCAATTAGAAATTTGAATGATAATTTAATTGACGAGTGCCACTGCTTGTTGGTTAACTTTAACCTGTTTGTGAGTCTTATAACAGTTAACTCCCAATCATCCATGGGCGTATGTAAAATAAATGTCTTTACGCGAGTGCTGGTTTAATTATGATCTGCTCCTCACTCGTTGAGGGTCAGCGACTCATCAAATCACAGGTTACTTTTGAAGCAATTAATACAGACACCTCATTTCACGTCTTCACCCAAATTCTACATGGGTAAACAATAAAACAAAACACACGTTACGTATGTTTTGCTTTAGACCGTCTTCATTGTATCTGGGCCACCCCTCCCCTGTCACCCTGAATAATGAGAGTTGCGTGTACTTTGTAAGCATTTGCTTGTCGTTTTTAACAGCTGACACCTATGTTTAACTTTGTTGTGTAACAGATTTTTCTCTCTGTCACCGCTTCCTTCAGCTTTGTCCGTTCAGCCTGCATTGCACCGGATCGGTTGTCATGCCTTGGAACTAAAGTTACCCTTGCTGAAGAGCCTCGAAGTCTCAATTGTTTCTCACTTGGTAAAAAAATTAAGTATACGAATACAAAGATCACAAGCAGGACCTTCTTTAAAACGAGTCTTGTGACTCAGCGAGAATAGCCTCCCTGGGTTATTCAGGACAATTATAATGAATTGATGTGGCCTCGAAGCCAATGCATAATATAATAATGGAACAGACAATGCCTGATCACATCCTGAAAGGGTATCATTGTACTGTATTATGATACCAAATACCATCCCACACCTTGGCTATATGCAGGCTTCAATGTTCCTAATGGTAAATAATGTGCTTGCGTTATTTATACATGTGCTAGATTTAAAATATGAAAGAGAAACGCTTCATGTAGAGATTAAATATTGATTTAAACTATGTCTACTTCTGAATATCACGTGAAATAGAAATATGCAGGGGCAATTGTGTGCAGAGCCACGAGGGTTATTTGACCATACTTAACCACCCTGGTCAGAGCAGATTTATGAAGGTGCGCAGAGCACAGATCAGCAATGGATGTTGCTACACTGCCCTGAGAAGAGACGGGACATTCTAGGCACGGCAGTGCTTGGAATGGTACTTTTTGGCAGCAGATAGAAATATAATAGAGCAGGACAGGTAGAGGGCAATATAGGGCTTTGCAAGCAATGCAGAGGATTTGATGGGCATGGCATGATCGGTACAAGACATGGCAGGGACATGCCATTGTATGGATGAAGTGGGGAATTGCAGGGAATGCCAGGGATAGTCCAAAATAGAGCATTTAAAGCAAAGAAGAGTTATTAAAGGACATGTCAGGGCATGGTGAGAGAGGCAAAGATCATGGAAGGGAAAGGGCAAGTCATGGACAGAGAATAAGATGAATGCCAATATTAAGACAGGCATGGCAGGGATATAGCATGGCAGGGATATAGCATACAGGGCAAGGTCGGGCAGGACATCCTTTGGAAAAAGTAATTTACAGGGATTTTATAAAAGCGACATTAAGACATGAGATGCCCTCCACTGCCCTTTGACAAATACGACAACCACAACCACCACAACGACCACCGCTTTCCATTCAACAATGCCACATCGGATACCACAGGCAAGCCTGCACACACGACAGAAACAAACGCAGGGCTGAGTGTGTCTGTCAGGCAAAATGAATGCCGTATCTGGGCAGTCAGACAGCATACAAGGCAGTCCCAGCAAAATAATAACCCAGAACTGACAGCATACAGTCAGATAGCTACAATCATACAACAGAGTGGATATGTACAGTGTAAAGTCAGACCACGAATATGCAGCATATACAGAGTAATGGCAATGCCAAGGGCCAGACTCTACACAATGTGAGAATCTGATAGCAGACCCCACACACCGGCAAAGGACAGAGACAAACCCTTCCACAACCAGAGCCCTGCATTCTACCTCATTCAGACCCCCCCATTAGGTAGACCGCTCACATCCAGGCCTATGGCCGAATCACTGGATCTCGTCAGATGTCGGAAGCTAAGCCGGTTGGAAGCCTGGATGGTAGCGCTTTGATGGGTGGCCACCATGCACAAACAGGTTGCCATGGGGCGGCTGTGGTGGGCACAAGAGGGCAACGCAGCAGCAGCAGCATCCATTGTACTGTGATTCTATGTTCTCACGGATCTGCTTGCCGCCTTCACCAAGCCCCGCCCTGACCAGAGTGGTGAAGTATGGTCAATTAACCTCCACGACCGGGATAAACCCTAATCCAGCAGTGCATTGACATGAAACGGTGAACGTGTACAAAGCCAGACCCTTTAGATGGACCCCTAATAACCAGATCCCTTAAAACGAGACCCCTCACTGTCAGACACATAATCACCCCCCCCCCCCCAATCAAATCCCTAAAACTAGACACTTCATAGGCCAAACCCAAATAACCAACCCTTGACAGCCTGACTCCTTCAGTAAAATGCCCCCTCATAGAATCTTAAAACCAGGCCCTTCACAGAACCCTAATAACTAGACCCTTCACAGAACCCTAATAACTAGACCCCTAATAACAAGATCCATCACAGATCCTAAAACCAGACCCTTCAGTCAGAATACACGATGTGTCACGGTTTTTGTCCCTGGGTAGTAAGTGTTATTTTCTAATTGCTTACGCCTCAAAAGTATAGAAAATGGCTGTTATTCCCCACAAACGTTGCTTTTGTGACCAGGACTTTACGTGAAGGAATGAGACTAATGCACACCGCGTTTTCTCATTGAAAATAGGTAAATTCTAAATATCACTGTCCTGGTCACAAAAGCAAGGTTTGTGGGAAATAATAGACATTTCCTGTACTTTTGAGGCATAAGCAATTAGGAAATAACAATTACAACACAGGAACAATTTTGTTGTTTGTTACATAGTGATATCAATAAGCAGGTCCCTTCCCAGACTTCAACTCAGACCCCTTCGTATGAAACCCTCATAACCAGAACCCTCAGTCAGACCCCTCATAACCCTAATAGCCAGAACCCTCATAACCAGAACCCTCAGTCAGACCCCTCATAACCCTAATAGCCAGAACCCTCATAACCAGAACCCTCAGTCAGACCCCTCATAACCCTAATAGCCAGAACCCTCATAACCAGAACCCTCAGTCAGACCCCTCATAACCCTAATAGCCAGAACCCTCATAACCTGAACCCTCAGTCAGACCCCTCATAACCCTACTAGCCAGAACCCTCAGTCAGACCCCTCATAACCCTAATAGCCAGAACCCTCAGTCAGACCCCTCATAACCCTAATAGCCAGAACCCTCACAGACCCTGCAAATCAGACCCCTTCGTCTGATCCTAATAACCAGACTCCTCAGTGAGACCCCTACAAACAAGACCCCCTCAGTCACCCCCCTAATAACCACACCCCTCAGTCAGACCCCCTACAAGACCACCTCCCAGATCCTTCAAATCAGACCCTTAATAACCAGACAGACACCTCAAGTCAGACCCTTAATAACCAGACACCTCAAGTCAGACCCCGAATAATCAAGGCCCTTGAAACCAGCCCCTCAGTCAGATCCCTCATAACCAGACACTGATAATCAGACCCCTTCGTCTGATCCTAATAACCACACCTCTCAGTCAGAACCTCGAAAAGACCACCTCACAGAGACACCTCAGTCAGGCCTCTCATAACCAGACCCCTAATAGCCAGAACCCTCACAGACCCTGATAGTCAGACCCCTTCGCCTGATCCTAATAACCAGACACCTCGCAGACCCTTGAAACCAGATCCCTCAGTCAAGACCCCCCAGACCAAGACCCCTCCATCAGACCGGGGGACCCCTCGTCTCCATCACACCCGGGCACAGGGCCCGCCTCACGTCGCGACAACAACAACACCCACCAACACCACCACCCACTACCACCACCACCCTCCTCCTCACGTCGCGACACCACCACCACCACCCACCTCCTCCTCGCCCTCCTCCTCCGCCCTCGGCGCGCTCGCTCACGCGCCGACCCGCCGCGCCGTCTCACCCGCAGGTCCACTCGGCCAGAAAAAAACCCACAACTAAAACGCTACTGTAGCCGCCGTAGCCGCTGCTGCTGCTGCTGTCGCGATGCCGCCGCCGCCGCCTTCGCCTCTTCTTCATCCATGTAGAGAGCGCACGGCGGCAGTGGCCATTGGAGACAAACGCTGGGGGATTGTGGGAGAGGCTTCACGGCGGCAGCAGCGGCAGCAGCAGCAGACAGGGGGCGCCTCATCCTCCGCCTCCTCCTACCCCCCCCTCCTCCTACCCCCCCTCCTCCTCCTACCCCCCCTCCTCCTCCTACCCCCCCCTCCTCCTACCCCCCACCCTCCTCCTCCTCCTACCCCCCCTCCTCCTCCTACCCCCCCTCCTTCCTCCTACCCCCCCCCTCCTCCTACCCCCACCCTCCTCCTACCCCCCACCCTCCTCCTCCTACCCCCCCCTCCTCCTACCCCTCCCCCCACCTCCTACCCCCCTCCCCCTCCTCCTCCTATCCCCCTCCCCCTCCTCCTCCTACCCCCCTCCCCCTCCTCCTCCTACCCCCCTCCCCCTCCTCCTCCTACCCCCCCCCTCCTCCTCCTCCTACCCCCCTCCCCCTCCTCCTCCTACCCCCCTCCCCCTCCTCCTCCTACCCCCCTCCCCCTCCTCCTCCTACCCCCCTCCCCCTCCTCCTCCTACCCCCCCCCTCCTCCTACCCCCCCTCCTCCTCCCACCCCCCCCTCCTCCTACCCCCCACCCTCCTCCTCCTCCTACCCCCCCTCCTCCTACCCCCCCTCCTCCTACCCCCCACCCTCCTCCTACCCCCCCTCCTCCTACCCCCCACCCTCCTCCTCCTCCTACCCCCCCCCTCCTCCTACCCCCCCCTCCTCCTCCTCCCCCACCCTCCTCCTCCTCCTACCCCCCCCTCCTCCTACCCTCCTCCTCCTCCTACCCCCCCCCCTCCTCCTCCCACCCCCCCACCCTCCTCCTACCCCCCCCCCCCTCCTCCTACCCCCCACCCTCCTCCTCCTCCTACCCCCCCCCCTCCTACCCCCCCTCCTCCTACCCCCCCCCCCTCCTCCTCCTACCCCCCCCCTCCTCCTACCCCCCCCTCCTCCTACCCCCCCCTCCTCCTACCCCCCACCCTCCTCCTCCTCCTACCCCCCCTCCTCCTACCCTCCTCCTCCTCCTCCCCCACCCCCCCCCCTCCTACCCCCCCCCCCCCCTCCTCCCACCCCCCCCCCTCCTCCTACCCCCCCCTCCACCCCCCCACCCTCCTCCTCCTACCCCCCCCCCCTCCTCCTACCCCCCCCCTCCTCCTCCTACCCCCCCCCCCCCTCCTCCTACCCCCCCCCTCCTCTACCCCCCCTCCTCCTCCCCCCCTCCTCCTCCTACCCCCCCCCTCCTCCTACCCCCCACCCTCCTCCTACCCCCCCTCCTCCTACCCCCCTCCTCCTACCCCCCCTCCTTCCTCCTCCCCCCCCCCCTTCCTCCTACCCCCCTCCTCCTACCCCCCCCTCCTCCTCCTACCCCCCCCTCCTCCTACCTCCCCCTCCTCCTCCTCCTACCCCCCCTCCCTCCTCCTACCCCCCCTCCTCCTCCTACCCCCCCTCCCTCCTCCTCCTCCTACCCCCCCCCCCCCTCCTACCCCCCCCTCCCTCCTCCTACCCCCCCCTCCCTCCTCCTACCCCCCCCTCCCTCCTCCTACCCCACCCCCCCTCCCTCCTCCTCCTACCCCCCCTCCTCCTCCTCCTACCCCCCCCTCCTCCTCCTCCTACCCCCCCCCTCCTCCTCCTCCTCCACCCCCCCCCTCCTCCTCCTCCTACCCCCCCCCCCTCCTCCTCCTCCTACCCCCCCCTCCTCCTCCTCCTACCCCCCCCCTCCTCCTACCCCCTCCTCTACCCCCCCCTCTTCTCCCCCCTTTCTCCCCCCCCTCTTCTCCCCCCCCCTCTTCTCCCCCCCCTCTTTTCCCCCCCCCCCCCCTCTTCTCCCCCCCTCTTTCCCCCCTCTTCTCACCCCCCCTCTTTCCCCCCCCCTCTTCTCCCCCCCCTCTTCTCCCCCCCCTTCTTCTCCCCCCCCCCCTCTTCTCCCCCCCCCTCTTCCCCCCCCCCCTCTTCTCCCGCCATCTTCATCCCCCCACCTCTTCTCCCCCCCTTTCTCCCCCCAACCTCTTCTCCCCCCCCTCTTCTCCCCCCCTCTTCTCCCCCCCCCTTTCTCCCCCCCCTAGTCTCCTCTACCCCCCTCTCTCTCCTACCCCCCCCCTCTTCTCCGTCCTACCCCCCCCCCCCTCTTCTCCCTACCCCCCCCCTCTTCTCCTCCTACCCCCCCCCCCTCTTCTCCTCTACCCCCCCCCTCTTCTCCTTACCCCCCCCTCTCTCCTCCTACCCCCCCCCTCTTCTCTCCTACCCCCCCCCCCTCTCTCTCTACCCCCCCCCCCCTCTTCTCCCTCCTACCCCCACCCCCTCTTATACTCCTACCCCCCCCTCTTCTCCTCCTACCCCCCCCCCCCTCTTCTCCTCCTACCCCCCCCCCCTCCCCCCCCCCCTCTTCTCCTCCTACCCCCCCCTCTTCTCCTCCTACCCCCCCCCTCTTCTCCTCCTACCCCCCCCCCTCTTCTCCTCCTACCCCCCCTCTTCTCCTCCTACCCCCCTCTTCTCCTCCTACCCCCCCTCCTCCTCCTACCCCCCCTCCTCCTACCCCCCCCCTCCTCCTACCCCATCCACCTCTTTGTGCGGCGGAGATCTCATCCGGAGTGCCCCCCCCCCCCACACCACCAGCAGCACCGACGGCAAAGCGCGATCTCTCCACCCTCCCTCACCGTGGTGGTGCGCTTTGCGGCGATGCTTGTTGTAGATGTTGCCACAGGATGTTGTGGTGGTGGTGCCAAATGGGGGAAGCGATTGGTATCGTCGAGGGCTCTCCTCTGGTGTGGGTTTGAGATTGGGCTGCCCTGCCACCTGGCGGGCGGCCACGCGAATTACAGCTTCCACTTGTCGCGGTGACCCCGATGAATCATCGGACTCGGGCAGACGCATTCGCCCCCTTGCCCCACACAGTCCAGAACAGCTCTGCTGCACCAGCCACAGCACGGCATTCATCTGCGTGCGCGTCTTTATCAGCGGTACGCGTACGTCCGCAAAAAATGAATACGTTAGTGAGTGTACAGGCTGATCTAGTGACATGGCAGCGATTCGGGAGACACCTTCATCCAGCAGTGGATTGACCGTGGCTGACGGTGATGACTGAGGTTACATCAAAGACCGTGGACGTTCGCGACGAAGAAAATGATGCTTTGTTAATGAGCTCCAGCTTATGCATCATCTGAATCTCGTGAGCGAAATGACACCGGCTGTGAGAGAACATTTAAATAGCTCATGTGTAATGAGATTGGAGAGACATGTTGAGGCTTTGATACAAAAATGTTGTTTTGCATACTCTCATTCATCCATCCATATTATTTGACCAAATAATGCATTTGCCTCCTTCCAAAATCTGTCCTTAGACTAAAAATGTATAAATATTAAAATGACACATCATCCACCACACAGCCTTCTGGGAGTGGTTTTCTTCAGCAGCATTGGATCAACACAAGCAAACTCTGGACCAGTTTCAACATTCAGTGTCTCACCAGACGTCAGGACAATGGTTTTACTGGGATACCTGAAATGGAACACCCTGTATTGCATGTTTCTCATTTTTCTGCTTGTGTGCCGATGTTAATCACGCAAAACGCATGCAGTCGGCCATCTGTCGCAATGGTAATTTCTACACGGACGTCAAGTTTCATGTTTTCACCAACTCTTAAAAACGGGAAGCACGAAGGCTTGCGCAAAACTGCGACAATCAGCACATTTTATTCAGACGTTGCCCACTTCCTTAGAAAGGCATGGGTTGAGGAAACGAAAGTCACAATAGAACAGAACCACGCAGACTGAAATCTGTCGGGGAAACGTGGTCACACGGGCAGACAGCAGGTTCGGACACGAGCCATCAACTGTTTCAGCAACGCGTCAACCTCTCCTCGTCCACGTACTGGCAGCACAACTACGCGCCGTGAATGGGCTTCATTTTCCCACCGATTGTCTCCTGGGTGGCTGGAAGAATGAAGTAGAGGACACGCGGCCGACTTGGCAGCACGAGAGAGGTCGATGTGATGTGCCGGGTGAGGAACATTTTCTCAAGTTACAGTCTCAGACAAACTTGGTTTAAATTAAGCTCTGGGTCATTAAATTCAAGAGCAGAGTAATTCCAGTTTACACCATTCATGTCATTTATAGCAATCAAAAACTAAATAATAAGTTTATAATTACAATCCATACGCCATCTTCCCGACATTTTGGTCAGCGAAATTGTTTGGGGTGGAATGGAGCTTACATTTCAATTACCAGCAGCTCTTAAGCTCACAATGCACAAAGTGTGTGTGTGTGTGATAAACAATGTTTTCCAGCTGATGTTGTAGTGGTTGTCTAACATCTCCAACCACTAGGGGATGATACATTTCACAATATTAGATTATTTTTTTAATTAAATCGCAACAATTCATTGAATCGTAAGAAGAATCATTATACCCCTAAAAAAATATCGTCTCAGTGGCAATGAACAGTTTTATGGACCACATTCACATTTGACAAACACCATCACTTTTGAGCGTTGCACTCTTTGTTGGTGATAGCAACTTTGGCATTTTCACAACAAAAACAGAAAAAACTAGACATTAAGAATGGCCACAGGTCTTAAAATGGTAGGTCACCATCCAGATTGCATGATTACCAATCATCTCAGTCTACATATAAACAATGCAACGTTCAGTCAAATATTGACCGATGGACAAGGAATGACATGGAAGAAAGCCTGAGGTCGTCCCTCTGGATAGTGGTCACCGCTGTAGTCAATCTGCTGCTGCCCAGAATCATTCAAGAGACAATCTGATGTAACCCAGATATTTTACACTGGTCAGACAGTCAGATCTCACATCTTTGTACGAATGCAGACAATTCCATAAAACAATCACCAGACGAAACACGTGCTTTAATACCATGGTTGTGGGTTTTACAATACCACTCAACAGCACCTCATTCTTCAGGGCATTTAATCATTAACAGTGAGGTCAACACACACACACAGGGCTGAACACATAAGTGCTTGAAAGCAGTGTCTGTATCCTAATTTTACATAGGCAAAGGT